AGGAGTGGAATTGCTGGGTCGTATGGTAGGTTTATGCTACTTTTTGAGAAATGGCTAAGCTGCTTTGCAAAACGGCTGCGCCATTTGCATTCCCGCATCAGCGTCTAAGGGTTCCAATTCTTGTGCATCTTTTCCAGCAGTCGTTATTGTCTGTCTTTTTTTTTTAAAGATTTTTATTGGGGAATTGGGGGGATGGGAACAGTGCTGGGGAATTGGGGGAAGGGCAACAGACAAGTTGCTGTCCTTTTGTTCTTCAGTCTAGTTGTGGAGGACGTTGCTTCACTGGCTCAAGTTGGCACCATCATTGTGCTCTTCCCGGGTGAGGCAGATCAGTCGCCGGCTTCTGGACAGCCGCTCACTGCGGCTGCTGGCCGCTCACGCTGGCTGCTGGCTACACACAGTAGCCCATGGCAACCCACTGCCACAGGGGCTGCAGCCTACGCCATCGCCAGCGACTCACGGCAGCCCAGCTCCAGGTTGAGCTGTTGTTCAGCATCTTAGCTGTGGAGGGCAGTGTCACTGGCCCTCATATGTGGGATCCGAACCGGGGCCCTCTGGCATCCCAAGCGAGTTCTTAACCATCGCGCCACTCGGCCGGCCCTTGTCTGTCTTTTTTTTTTTTTTTTTTTTTAGCTGAGCCATCCTGCTACCTGTTGGTAGCTCAGCGGCTGCTCAGCTTGGGCTGGACTCGAACTGCTGTTGCTCAGAGCTCAAACTCTTGAGCGAGCTCTTAACCAACTGAGCCACTCGGCCGGCCCTCCTTGTCTGTCTTTTTGATTACAGCTGTCCTAGTGGGTTTGAAGTGATATCTCACTGTGGTTTTAATTTGCATTCCCCTACTGACTGTGATGTTGGGTATCTTTTCATGTGCTTGTGGCCGTTTGTTTATCTTCTTTAGTGAAATGTCTGTTCAAGACTTGCCCATTTTTAAAATCAGGTCATTTATCTTGTTGTTACAATTCTTTATATATCCATGATACAAGTACTTTATCAAATATATGAGCTACTAGTATGATCTTGTAGTCTGTGGTTTTTTTCCTTTTCATAATGGTATCTTTTGAAGTACAGAAGTTTTTAATTTTAATGAAGTCCAATTTATCTATCATTTTTTGGCTCATGCTTATGGAGTTGTATGTAAGAACTTTGCCTATCCCAAGGTCATGAGAATTTTTTCCTATGTTTTCTTCTAGAAGTTTTACAATTTTAGGTCTCACATCTAGTAGGTCTGTGGTTCATTTTGGATTAATTTTTTGTATATTGTATAAAAGTCTAAGTTTATTTTTCTTGCATATGGATATCCAATTGTCTTGGCAGCATTTGTTAGAAAGACTCTTTTCTCTATGGAATTATTTTGGTACCTTTGTCAAAAGTCAACTGACCATAAATGTAAGGGTTTATTTCTGGACTCGCACGTTTATTCCACAGATCTGTAAGTCTGTCCTATGTCAATACCACACGATATTGACTGTTGGAGCTTTATGGTAAGTTTTGAAATGGGGTAATGTAAGTCTTTGAACTTCGTTCTTCTTTTTCAAAATCGTTTTGGAGATTTTGGGTCCTTTGTATTTCCATACGGTTTTTAGGATCAGTTTGTCAATTTCTTACCCCCACCTCCCCCTCTTCCCAAAAAACCTTTTGGGATTTTGATAGAGACTGTGTTGACCCTGTAGGTCAACTGAAGAGATTTGCCATCTTTACAATGGTGAGCCTACTAATGTATAAATTATGTATCTTTCATCCTGTCGATGGTCACCTGGTTCTTTCCTTTCCTTTTTTTCGTTATTTTAACAATGTGGCTGTGAACACTCTTGGACACGCCTGCTGGCCTTTCTCTAGATGAAGGCCCAGACCTCGGAGTGGGCTGGCTGGGGCGTAGGGCGTGTGCCTCGTCCGTTTACCAGAGAGTGCCCAGTTCTCCACAGTTTTTGGTGCCAGCTGGTACGCTCGTAGTAGCAGTGGGAATATGAGAGTCTGTGCTGTTCAGCTTCCTCCCAACATTTGGTATGAGCAGAACTTCTATTTTTATTTTTCCAATTTAGGAAGTGATAAAAATCCTACTTTGTTGTGGTTTTACTTTGTAATTCCCCAATTATAATAGGATTGAGCGTCTTTTCGCATGTGTTTTGGCCATTGACGTTTCCTTTTCTGCAAAATGCCTTGTGTCATTTCTTTTGCTCATTTTTTTTCATTGTTATTTTTTATTTTCTTATTGATTTTTAGGATGTTATTTCACGTATTCTGGATAGTAGTTGTCCTCTGATTAATTAATTAGTCTGCTTCCTTCCTTCCACCCACCCATCCATCCATTCATGCTTTCTTTGTACTCAGCCATAGGTTATCTTTTAATGTATCCCTTTGCTTTGGTTATTCAATTTTTTTAAAGATCCAAACTTAATTAGAAAACTGCTCGTGTCCTTCTAGACATTGCTAATTGGAAACAAATGAAAAACACCCTTTTAGGATTTTTCCCGCAATGTGAATAAGTTCGATAGCCGAGTAATGTATCAGTCCGATGTGCAGGGAATGTTTATGACAACGAGACAACGATTCTCAGCCTCGGCTGCACGTTAGAATCACTTGCTGTGTCCTGAGTCCCAGCTGCACCCACACCAGCGTCACCAGGGTCTCTGAGACTGGGAGGTGGGCGCCATTATTTTTAAAAGCTCCCCCGATGATTCTGAAACTGAGAACACTGGTTCGTAGGAAGTTTAGTCCATTCAGCATCTGCTGCAGGTTGTGGGTATCGCAAACCCACTGTGTCCCCAACGTGTTTCAGTGAAGCAGTCACCGGATCCCTTGTTAAAAGAACTAACTGATTTCTTGGTGCCTCAACTCGGCTGGAGGTTGACCAGTAGGTTTGATGTGGAGTAAAGACTGTATTTTTAACACATACACCCCGGGGTGCCTGACTCTGATTTGGGAAACCGCATCAAAGCCTTCAAAACCTGTACGTTCTTCAAAATTATGATTTACAAGGTAATTTCAATTATAACTTTATTATGACTTTAACTTTGGATTTAAAAAACTCTGCTTCCTGTTAATCCTTTACAAAATATATGTTCTGGGACACCAGCTTGGGAGAAAAATCAATGCACAGATGTTGGGAAGCCCCAGCTGTGTTTAATTTGAAATCTTCTGTTTGAATTTTCTCTCTCTCCCCTCACCCGTGGGCAGAAACTCATCTGTGAGGGGCCGTGGGTAAGAGCTGGGAGATGTGACATCCCTAGGCGCCCAGAGCTGTGTATTGTAAACAGCCTCTAAGATTCAGCTTGTTTGTCTTTTCCAAGCCCTGAACTCTCATGGGGTAATTGTTTAAGTTGGAGCGCTCATGAAGGGCGTATGAGAAACACAAAGCAAGGCGTCAGGAAATGGAATTCTGCCCACATCCAAATGCCACGTTCCGTGTCAACACCATTGTTTTAACAGCTCACATTCCCCTCACCTCCCCGCCCCTCCCCAAATAACATTTGGGCTGACAGAGGATGTTTCCCAAATTAGATTCGCTGTTTACTTTCAGGCATGCGATGCTGAGAAGGAACTTGGTGCATCTAGCAATTTAGATTTGGGGTAACAAGCTGAACACAGATGTCAGAGCTACCTGTTGCTATGATGACTAGCATAACCATCATCTGCTCGTTGGAAAAGCATGTATTAAAGGACTCTTTCTAAATGTCCAAACACTTGTCTATCTGAGGGTCAACCATTTGAAGGATAAAATAGGATAAAAGTTTATTTAAATAGTTCCTCATGGTGACTTTTGAATTTGTAAAGACTTCTGGGCATTACATGTAGTGCTTCAAAGCAGGCATTGGTTTTTTTTTGCTTCTGATTATAAGTGATGACTGAATCTGGGGTGTTTAGGTTGTGTGGCTGCAGGGTTCTGTTAAGAGTCCCGGACTCTGGGGCCGGCCGAGTGGCGCGTTGGTTAAGAACTGGTCTGGGACGCCAGAGGGCCCCGATTCGGATCCCACATATGAGGGCCAGTGACACTGCCCTCCACAACTAAGATGCTGAACAACAGCTCAACCTGGAGCTAGGCTGCTGTGAGTCACCGGGCAAAGCCGTAGTCTGCAGCCCCTGTGGCAGTGGGTTGCCATGGGCTACTGTGTGTAGCCAGCAGCCAGCGTGAGTGGCCAGCAGCCACAGTGAGCGGCCATCCAGAAGCCGGCGACTGATCTGCCTCACCAGGGAAGAGCGCAATGATGGTGCCAACTTGGGCCAGTGAAGCACTGTCCTCCACAACTAGACTGAAGAACAAAACGACAGCAACTTGTCTGTTCCACTTCCCCCAATTCCCTAGCACTGTTCCCATCCCCCCAATACCCCAATAAAAATCTTAAAAAAAAAAAAAAAGAGTCCCGGACTCTGGTGTGGATGGCCCTCTGGCTGCAGAGGTAACTTGGGGAACAAGTGATTCCTGACCTTGCAAAGCCGAAAAGCTTCTAGCGTTGAGGATCATAGTTCCAGAGAAACACGTCCTCTTTGAAGGAAACATGTCATTTTCTTTAGAGAGAAATGTGGGCTTGAGTAGATGCTCGTTCAAGAAACCCCGGAGACTTATTTATGAGGTCAGTTCGTAGGAAAGAATGTTTAAGAATCAAGGCTGTCCTGCAAAAAACCAGAGGTAACTGCTGAAAAGCAGTTGGAACAAAGCTGGCGTCATCAGCAAGGACGCTGGTGGGGGGGCGTGGTCATTGACTTCCCCGGGTGACCTTGAGTGTTGGAGCAGAGACCCTCCTGGATGTGACGCCTCAGTGCTGGGACTTTCCTGGAGGAAGGTGACCGTCTTTCCTTAAGAGGCTCGTTGTGAGCAGAGAGCGGCTCTCTTTGTCAAAAGCCCGGTGGTTCTGCTCGCCATTGTACCTCCAGCGTCTTGTTCAGGACTTGGCACATGGTTAACCCCTGTCCCTGTTTGTACAAATGGTTCATTGTCCGGGCCTGGAGCGTCCCAACCAAGTCAGACACGACACTGCCATGACTTTTCTTTTCTCTCTTTCTAGTGTTCAAAGCTTCTTTCGGACACGAGTGTCATTCAGTTCTACCCGAGCAAGTTTGTGCTCATCTCTGACATACTTGATACGTTCGGTAAGTTCTGGTCACACTCATCTCAGATCTAGGAAGCGCGTTTGGCTGGCCCGAGGCTGGGTGGTGGAGCTGCTTTCCATCAGGTCCGGTTGTGGTTTTAGTCATTAATTAGGTAAATCGTGAGGGAGACCAACCCTCCGCTCCACCTCTGCTCCTTGACAAGGGTGCTGTTTTCGAAAGAATTCTCAATTATCGTGTTTTCTAACCTTCTGATAGGCCAGGAAAGCCAGTGAGTGAACTGTTGGCAAACCCATATCCTGTAACCCAGGTCGAGTCCGTCGCCACCTCTGTCAGAACCGACCTTGGCACCTCCTCCTAGCCCTTCCCTTGTCCCCACTGGGTTTCTTTTGAGGGGAATGGCAGCACCGTGTACCCCGTTTCCGGAAATCTGAGTGTCATCTCCCCTATGGCCCACGTCCAGTCCATCACCAGGTTCTTCAGTCCAGCCCCTAAATCTCTCCCCAGTATGTCCATTTTTCTCTGTTGTCACTGTTAAAACAGTCCAGGCCCCAGTCCGCCCCCCCGCTCCCCACGTGGGTGATGGCTGCAGTGCCTGTGAGACCTTCCTGCCTCGCCGTGGCTGCCCCTTGTCCCACGCACACCCCTCGGGCCCAGCGATCTGTGCGGGCCCAGCAGGGAGGTCTGGCTGAAGAGAAGGACCTGGGCCCCTGAGGAGAAGCAGGCTGTCTGTGCTGTTAGGCAGTAAGGAGCTCACAAAAGCTGGCAGGCAGAGCCGCCTCCTGATAGCTGCTCACGGGCGATCAGAGCAGAGGTGTCCGTGTCTCACCTGGCAAGGACCAAGCCGGCAGGTCTTGCCTGTAACCCATCAAAAGACCAGATATGTCAGAAAACAAATGTCATTCAGACCCATTTAGCTCTACACACGAGACCAGTGAGTGATAGAAAGCCTGACTCGTGCTAAGCTTGGATGTTCATTGGCTTGTGCTGAAAAGTCCAGTTGTCATTTCTGGCTTCAGGTATAGCTGGAGTCAGACGCCCAAAGTGTCTTCAGGAGCTTGGCTTTTTCTAGTCCTTTCCCGGGGGCTGGCTTCACTCCCAAACTCTACCAGGTGCCCTCAGCTTCTGCTCACTGCTGGTAGGCCCAGGACAAGGAAAGAAATTCTTGTTTCTAAGCATTCCAGCCAGAGTCCCAGGATTCCATCTCATTGGCCTGGCTTGGGGCCCGTGTGAGTCCCTGAGCCATTCGTGGCATCTGGGGGTGAAACATGTATATTATCCAGGCCTGGGTGAGGCTGTTGCCAGGAAAAGGGGACTGGAAACTAAAAGAAGTGTGCCCCAGCTGAAAGGTCGCACCTCTCAGGTTCAGATGAGCTGGAGAGGTGGCCTCCGGCACTGCTGGTTGCTGAGGATGTGTCAGCAAATCAGACACAAAAATCCCTGCCTTTGTGGGCTTCTGTGCCAGTAAGAGAATTTACAGAACAAATAAGCAGACCCGATGGTACGTTAGATGGCAGTGCTGTGGAGTTGAGAAAGCGGGGTGAGGGGAGCTGAGGGAGTGGGTGAGGGCCGGGGCAGCTGTACTTGCACATAGGCTGGTCGCAGGTGGTCTCGCTGAGAAGCTACGTGGGCAAGGACTTGAAGGAGGGGACAGGTGAGCCACGTGCCTGTGGGGGTGGGAGTGCAGGACCAGCTTAGCCCAAGGAACGGCTGGTGCAAAGGCCCTGGGGCTGGGAGCGTGGTGGGCCTCGGAGGCCAGTGGAAGGACTTGGGTTTTGAATCTGAGGGCGTGAGGAACCATGCGGGTGTCAAGCAAAGAAGGGACGCAGTCCGACTGGAGTTGTAATGGGCTCCCTCTGGTGCTGTGTTCGGACGACCGCAGGGCAAGGATGGGCAGGGGTACCGGCTAGGAGGCCTCTTTGTGACGGTGGCACTTTAGGTGAAAAATGAGGCTGGCGTGGACCCAGGGAGGTGGTGGAGATGGCGACAGGCAATCCAGAAGAGCTAGGCGCCTTAGGCCCTGAGAATAGGTAGCGACTCATCCACCCCTCAGGCCTCAGTTGTCCTCATACACAGCTTGTCTTCATGGCGTGAGGACACCAGGCAGGGAGACAGGCCGGTGGCCGTGTCTGGTCCTCTCGACAGCTGTTTCCCACGGTGAATTAACACACTGGCCTCCTGCAAGCTTCTTCTGCCTAAGTCAGCATCCCTAAGCGGAACTGGCTCGGGACGCCAGTGAGATCCTATTTCTAACCTGCAAGCCTGGCCAGATCCAGGCATTAACCTTGTGAGAATTTGGGGCTGCCATCCTGCCAGCCTCTGCTGGCAGCGCCCCAGCCCCAGCCCTCAGCCCAGCCGGATGTACTGCAGCCGCCTGCCGTCCTTGCTGTAGCCCCAAAATTAGCTGGGCTGGGAGTTGACAGTAACGACGGTGATAAACCCGCAACAAATGATGTCCTTGGGCCCGACTCTGTTTTCGGTGCTCTAGAAATATTAAGTCACACCGTGTTGATGACAGCCGCCCCTCCCCCGTGAGGTCGGGTCTGTGATTATCCCCATTTGGCGGATGAGGAGCCCAAGGCCACAAGGGTAGTGAGCTGTCTCTGCAGTCTAAGCACCTGTTTTATTGCTAATGTACTCGGTGCGTGGGAGAATTTTGGTCTCCGTGAAAATGACAGACACGTAGACCTTTGACCCAGCAATCTCACCTCTGGGAATTCATCCCGCTGTCACAGCAGAAGGTTGGCAACAGCCCAGGCGGCCATCAGGAGGGGCCGTCTGTACTTTGGAGCACACGGAGGCCTGTGAGAATGAGGAGGTGATGTGTTCCAGCCTGGAGAGATCTCCAGGGGGTATCGTCACGGGAAGAAGCCAAGGTGAAGAGCAGCTGGAGAGCGTGTTCCACTTTATGTAAGAAAGGAGGAAAAATTAGGATGCTGTTCAGATGTACTTGTATTTGCCTAAAGAATCATTAGAAGGACACCCAAGAGATGAATAAAAGTGGGAGCCGTCAGAGGGCCTTTGGGAGCAGTGAGGAGGACGTGGGACAGGACAGACTGAGAGAGACCTGAGCACCTCCCGCAGCGTGGGATGTTTTTCCCATTCAAAACCAAACATTCAAACAAGCACCTGCCCTCAGCATCTTCCCCTTCCCCCGACTTCCAGGGCGTTCTCAGCGGTGCCACGTCTGGATCTGTCGCGAGGGATATTTCTCAGGACTGGGGGGACTCCAGGATCCTGTTATGCTTTGGGATTAATGAGCAATTTCCAGCATTTTAGAAAGGAGTGGACTTGGCCTGCTTGGGTGGCACGTCAACATGCTCAGGTCCATCTTGGCACCTGCTCCCCAGGAGGAGCTTGGCGGCACAGGGACAGGTGTTCGCTGGTTCCGGACAGGACTGACCGAGGGCTGGCACCCCTTGCTGGGCAGGGATGTGGGATGGGGCATCTGCAGCGTCATGTGCTGGGCTGTCACTGGGATTCCACTAGCGGCCCCAGCACCGCTGGGCCTAGAGTCTCTGCCTGCATTCCTTGCCTCACCCGCTGCCAGAATTGTGTGAACTTGAGCCTTGATTTCTTGACCTGTGAAAGGGGCATAACAGACCCTGCCTCTGGGGGGCTCTGCAGAGAATTCGATGAGAGAACCTGGGGGAAGCATATAATGTTTTCCCTCTTCTAAGACCTTGCAGGATCAGTGTAAACAGCTTTGTACCTGGCACAAAGTCAGTGCCCGGAAAATGTTAGCGGATATCACTGTCATGATTTATCTATTTTTGTGTCATTCGCTGATGTATAAGAAGGCAAATTAAGAAGTAAATCTAGGATCTGGTATTATTTTTCAAAGCAGTTGTCCACTGACTTAAAGGAAAACAAAAAAGCATTCACCAAATGTGTTTGGCCAAAAGTGATTTTGTAGTTAATGAGGGTGAAATGTAAAAGTAGTGGTTTTAGAGAGGTGGCAAGCTTTTGGAGGAAGTAAGTGCATTTTTTGTGCTCTTCAGTCCACTGTTGGAGGTGACAAGTCAGGCAGCTGCCCAGTGTGGCTCCCAGTGTGACGTGATAGCCCCAGGTACAGTTGTGCAGGCTCTGTGGCCATCACAGAGGCGGCCTGTCACGGCACCAGGTGTGGCTGCCTGGGGAGCCCATGGCTGCAGGTCCCCAGCCACTGCCTGCCTGGAGGACGTAGGCAGGTGGCTTTGAGAACTGGGGTGTGTTCTCTGAGGCGTCCTGGGAGCTTCTAAATTGAAATGATGGTTTGGAGCAGTGGTTCTTTCTTGACCGCGCACCTGGGGAGCCTCACAAACACTCCCAGGGGTCAAGCTGCACCCCAGACCATTTCTATCAGAACTTCTGAGGACGGACGCAGGCACCAGCATGTTTTCAAGGGCCCCAGGTGCTTTGAGGGTTCGGCCAAGGTCAAGAACCACCAGTTTCGAGGGAGGAGAAAGGCTTGTCACTGTTTCTAAGGATCCCCATATCCAAGGCGAGCTTTCACTCAGAGGCCCATGGTGCCGCCTGAACCAGTGGCTCTTGCGCTTGACGGTATAAAAGTTCCCTGGCAAGGTTATTCAGAATTCATATTCCTAGGCCCCATCCCCCAAAATAGTCTTCACACGCTTTGAGGTGGGCCCCAGGAATGTGCATTTTCGGCAAGTGTCTTTAGGAGATTATAGTGTGAGTAACCCACCCTGGGAGGGCATTTTGGTGACGCCTTTTAGCTTGGCTGGCTTCTCGCCCATAATCCTAGCATTGTGTCATTTCTGGATATCCTTTGATCTCAAGTTCTTTGGTCAGAAATGGTCCTTATAACTTTCCTGTCTCTCTATATATGGACAAGGTGTGTGGTTCTTTATTGGGCTGCGTGATGGGGGTGATAGTGGGGGGGTGGGGAGGACACATGAGCACAGGGAAATAACTTTTGACCTTAAAGGTGATTTGGGAGGGTCCGGAAAATGAATAGGGCTGTCATTTTTATCCCTTGAGTATGATAGTATTTTCTAAAAAAACATGCACAGAATAAATAAAGCTTTTTGTGTGCTAGGTTAGGGGTTGGCTTGTAGACCTCAAGCCTGGACTGCCCACTTGTTAATGTAAATAAAGTTTTATTGGAACACAAGCACATGCATTTGTTTGCACATTGTCTATGGCTGCTTTGGAGTGACCACAGTAGATTTGAGTAGTTGCGTCTGTGATGTGTGACCCACATAACCTAAAATATGTTCATCTGCATCTAAGAACAAATAGTGACCACCCACTATATGCCAGACATGGATCTAGGTGCTGGGGATCTGTCAGTGTACAAAACAGACACAAATCTGCCCCTGTAGAACCTGCATTCTAGATGAATCCGCACGCTTCTAGGCACCAGGCAGATGACATAGGTGAGTGGAGCAGGCTGCCGATGAGAGATGGTAGGGAGTGGTGGAGAGTGCGGCAAACTGGGCCGGCTGTACGCCATTCAGGGCAGCCGCTCATCTGCTCCAGCTCATTGTTATCCTTTCTGGATACGGGCCCATTTTTAGCACGTCGTATGTGAAGAAGCAAGAAATCTGGGTTTTCGTGTGAATTCTCCCAATTTTTTTTTTCCTTTTGAAGTCTCCCAGTTATGAGTTGGCTGCTAATTTAGAAACTGTTAAACCTTTGTGGGCTGTTGTGTGGTGGACCAAGCAAAGTGGATCAGTGCTGGATTCAGCCATTTGCAGCCTCTTGTCTAGAACACAATGGGGGCCATTCTCCGCTGAGTGAGTGGAGGTACCAGAGGCACCTTGGATCCTAAGTTTCAGTGAAGACTTTAAGGGGAGTGTGATCACTTACCTGCCTCTCACAGAAAGTAGAAGTCCCTCCTTTTATTAAAAACAAAAACAAAGAAACGTGGCTTCAGATTTGTCCCACTAGATGGCAGCATATTGTCACAGGTTGAAGTTTGTCTAGATGTCTGCATCCCCAGTGAACAAATGCTTAATTGGTGTTTACTCCGGAAGAGTGCAACGACACTGACGCCATCTGTCCTTTCTCCCCAGGAAAGCTTGTGTATGAACGCATCTTTTCCATGTGTGTGGATAGCCGCAGCGTCTTACCAGGTAATGTCACAGCTGGTCCACGGGTTTCATTCTGCTCTGGAGTCAGGATTAAGTAGGTGTATATCACGTCAGCATTTATTGGAACCCCATATAAAGTTTTTTATTTCTGGTGTGTTAAAAGTAAAAGAGGGCCGGCCGAGTGGCGAGTTGGTTAAGAGCTGGCTTGGGACCCGGGCTCTGAGCATCAGGGCCCTGGTTCGGATCCCACATGAGGGCCAGTGACGCTGCGCCCTCTACAGCTAAGATGGTGAACAGCAGCTCGACCTGGAGCTGGGCTGCCGTGAGTCGCTGGCGATGGCGTAGGCTGCGGTGAGGCTGCCATGAGCTGCCGTGAGCTACTGTGAGTGGCTGGCAGCCGGTGTGAGCTGCCGTCAAGTGGCCAGCGACTGATCTGCCTCGCCCGGGAAGAGCACAATGGTAATACCAACATGGGCCAGTGAAGCAACGTCCTCCACAACTAGACTAAAGAACAAAAGGACAGCAACTTGTCTGTTCCCCTCCCCTGATTCCCCAATAAAATCTTTAAAAAAACAAAAAAAGTAAAAGAAACACCTTTCCAGACTTCTGATCCTCTCAGCCTTCTAAAGACATTAGAAGAATTTTCAAATAGCCCGCCTAGGAATTTGGGCAAGTAATTTGAATGTGCACCAGTGGAAAGGTATTAGAAGGGAACAGAGTCAGTGGAACTGTAACAGCTCTATACAATGTCGGAGGGGTAGTAGATTGGTGGGGGGGTGTTATCACTTTGTGAGGGGTATAAATGCATAACTATTAAGTTGTTTTGTACTCCCGAAACTAATAGTAAAAAAAAAATTCAGCTGAACTTTCACACCAACTTAAATTCCTCTGCTGCCTGACATTTTAATATTTTCCCTGCATATCTTGCCTGAGAAGCAAATGGCTGTAAAAGACCTACTTTATATGTATTAAAGAACAATGTCAACTAAATCAATAACAGATGCTTTGATGGCCTCTGTATAGTCTTTGCCCAAGTCATGTTTGCATTAAATTTATTGCCAATCAATTTCAAATTCTCAGGAGGTCATAATGGGAGTAGATTATGAATTCCTTTTGTCATACAGACAGTGATGATGTCTGGCAGCATGGAACCCCCACAGCGGCTTCCTGTTCCTTTTAGTCCCCACTTTCAGTCTCCTAGTACTTCTGTGTGTAAACATCCGGACAAGCTAGAACAACACATCCACGCCACCTTCACTCTCTCCTTCTGCTCCTAACCAGATGAGGGCGTCAGCAGCGGAACCCATAGTGTGACCTCTGTTCATTCGTTCGTTCATTCCTTCATTTGTTATTTCTGTCACTCATCTACTTATATTTTAGAAGCTATTTAATATACTTATTTCTCAGAAAGAAAGAGAACTCTACAGACCTTTAGGGCTAGAAGAGCTCTGAGGAATCATCTTGTCTCGTTATAGACGGGCAAACCCAGTGTGAAAGAGTCGGGGACCTGCCCACAGCCTCGCTACCAGCTAGCAAGAGCCCTGCTCTTAGGGCTGGGCCCGTACCATGCAGTATGGCCACAGGTCACGTGGGGCTCTTGAGCGCTTGAGATCTGGCCAGTCCCAACTGATGTGCTGTCAATATATTTTTTTTAAAAGTAACAGTGGACTTTAGAGACTTAATACAAGTAAAAGACCATAAAGTACCTCATTAATAATTTTAAAAATATCGATTACATGTCGAAATGATGTTTGGGATGATCTGGGTTAAATGAAGTATGTGATTAAAATTTCACCTGATTTGTTTTACCTTTTGGAATGTAGCTCCTATGGTATTTATTCTTGGTGCTCCCCACCTTCACATCACACCTGTGATGTTTGTAGTAGCTCCTCCCAGGTTCTAGGCATCTCAGGATTGGGAGATGGTCAGCGGGGGAAGATGGAGGGGCCCGCCCAACTGGGAGGGCGGCAACAGCAGAACACTAAAAGCTGTAGGCAAATTAAACCCAAATAGGTGTTTTCCTTGGCTCTAGCAGTATTTTTTTTTAATGCTTTTTGATACAGGTTCTACTACTTCCTATGGCTGTGGACCTAACCGCTTCAAAATGTTTATCTTACTTGCCTGACCCCCTGAGGCATTCGAGTTTGCATCTACTATCATAATTTCCTTTCCTCCCAGTTTTTGCTAAGTATACAGACAGCATTTTCGAGCCAAGTAAGGAAAAAAATGAGTAATAACTTATTCCCTTACTTCAACCGTAAGAGCTGAAGATAAAAGGCAATTTTCATAGTCATTTTCAGTCCTTATCTAAAGATATTAATGAGCACTTTTAGCACTAAAATTCTTTCTCCCTGAAATACTTATTTTTTTGATCTTGAGCGATGCAAATCAGACTTCTGGTTTCTTAAAAATAACTTCTTCATTTTCTACCCTTTCAGTTAATATCTTCATCTCCACGTGTTTTCTGGTTCCAGGACCCTGAAAGGGAAAGGAGCAAACCTTTCTCAAAAATATCAGCGAGCTTGGAGCTGACTCTTCACAATAATTATGAAGAAAGCTTTTGAAATCTGTGCAGAATTCTGCCCAAAGTGTAGAGAGCAATTGGGTGGCGCGTGCACTTACACTCATTCCTTCCATTTGAATCAAATTCTTTTCTTTTTTTTCTTTTTACTTTATTGGGAACAGTATGTTTTTCCCAGGACCCATCAGCTCCAAGTCAAGTCGTTGTCCTTTAATCTTAGTTGTGGAGGGCGCAGCTCAGCTCCAAGTCTAGTCGCTGGTTTTAATCTAGTTGTTAGGGGCACAGCCCACCATCCCATGCGGCAGTTGAACCGGCAACCTTGTTGATAAGAGCACGCTCTCTAACCAACTGAGCCATTCGACTGCCCACCAGCAGCTCAGTGGCAGCTCAGCTCTAGTCGTCTTCAATCTAGCGGAGCGTGCCACTCATTAGCCCATGTAGGAGTCAAACCGGCAACCCTGTTGCTCAAAGCTCTCGCTCTAACCAGTTGAGCCACCCTGCTGCCCCTTGAATCAAGTCCTGACCGTTGAGTTGAATGTCTGAGCCCTGACCTTTAGGAGGTTTAACTAAGGCATAGCTCTTACAAGCTTAGGAAGACACCAGCGTCCTTTGGATTCATGGAAAGGTTATGCTTCTGGCTGTAGTAATTATTTCCCCCAATATCTCTCAATCCAGCACCTGTGTGGAGAGAGACCAGCTTCTCTGTGATAAAATTGTATTTCCATCGTGGGAGAAGTAATTTGGGCTTATTGTGTGGTGGTTCTCATCATCAACCCTGGGTGTTCCTTCTTCACTTTTCCCCATGGCTGACGGCATCTAGATAAGCTGCGTCCTTATCTGACCTGGCCTCCCAGGCACCTGCTAAGATGACGTTGCACTCCTGTAAGCTCTGTGACTTGAAGAGGCTGCTCACTGCTACCGCAGAGACTTGGCAAAGGACAGAGATATAGACTTGTTGGTTTCCGCTCTCCTCCTAAAATAGCCACAGAAGGTCAGGGTTGGAGAAAGAAGCCCTGTAAGAAAATGGAGTGGGAGCTCGAAGGAAAAAATAAAAATCTCTCCTGCTTGTTACATGGAAGTCTCTTCTGAACTAGATTCCCGATTCTGAATTCGTCTTCCGTGGAGCAGCCCCAGTACTAAAGTATCAATCATGTCATCCCTGTGCTCACAAACTGTTCAGAGGGTTAGAGAAACTCTCAGACTCCTCACGAAGGCTGCCACCCTGCGTGACCTGGCTTGTGATGCCTGTTTATCCCCTTCTTGTCCGCCACACTGGCTTGCTTCCCTGTTCTTTGACGAAGCCAGAGGTCATGCCTACCTCAGGGCCTTTGCACGTGCTGTTTCCTCTTCCTGGAAATACATTTCCTCCACCTCCGAGCATGGCTGGCTCCTTTTTGTCATCAGGGCTCGGCTCACATGCCACCTCTGCGGGAGCCTTCTCTGAACACCCTATCCAATGACAGCCCCCAACTCAAGTCCCTCTATCCCAACACCTAGTTTTATAGCTTGCATGGTGTTGGCTGCTAGTGGATGTTATCTTTTTTTTTAAGGTTTTATTGGGGAATTGGGGAAGGGAAACAGTGTTGGAGAATTGGGGACGGGGAACAGCCAAGTTGTTGTCCTTCAGTCTTAGTTGTGGAGGGCGCAGCTAGCTCAGCTCCAAGTCCAGTCACCAGCCAGCCGCGCGTCGGCAGCTCGTGGCCGCTCAGCTCAAGGTGCCGCGTTCAATGTCAGTTGAGATGGGCATAGCCCACCATCCCATGCGGGAGTCGAACCGGCAACATTGTTTGCTTGCTTCTCCTTTCCCCTTTTTAGTAGGTTTCTTCCCCCACTGGAACGTAAGCTTCATGAGGACAGGGCTCTGTCTTATGTACTATTATCTCCCCAGAGCCTTCAGCACTATCTTTAGTTGATTCTGCAAATATTGACATTGAGCAGATAGTCAAAGAACATACTGTTTAGTTTGCCGTAAGATTTTAAAGTCCCACGTGATGTAAAACTTTTCCTAAATTACTTCTTGAGCTGGAAGGTAAGCCGAGAGCCTATGTGTTGGATACATACACCCTTTGCCGACACTCCGTTCCCTCAACTGGAAGGCGAGGGACTTGATGAGATGATTTCATAGACTCACTTTTGCTTTTGGATTTCAAGTCACGTGATTGTCACGTGAAGGGAAATTAACCCCACCTCACCCTTGTCCACAAGGCAAGATTGACAAATGAATTTAAGAAGAACCCTTATCTTTACTTGTCTGGTATCTCTTGGAGCTTGAAAAAAAAACGTTACTTTAAGCGCACAGGTTCAGGCCAGGAAAGGAAAAAAATGGTAATTTCCCTTCCCTTTCAAAATGGCACGCGCATCATTTGGGAATGGATGAAGCATTAGAAATCACTTAGAAGAAATCATTTCCAGGGGAGAGGTCAGCAGTGGCCTCCTGGTGTTGATGAGTTTTTGTTTTTTTCATTTTTCTGTACTGTCTTCTGTTCCTTATTAAGATGCGTGTCAAGGTTATGCTTGGGTGCCAGTGCCAGGAAGCTCAAAATAACGACAGAGAGGGGTCAGGGCTGGTGGGGCTGCTAGCCCATGTTGCCAGGGACCCTGGCCTCTCTCTCGTTGCCTTCATGGTTCAAGGTGGCTGTGGGGGTTCCAGCCATCGAACCTGCATTCCAGCCAGCAGTGGGGTGGGGTGGGGAAGGAGTGAAGGGGGTCAAGCCCCTTCTTTTAAAGCTGTTTCCCAGAAGTTGTACTTCTGATGTCCGGGGACCAGAACTTGGTCCGTGGCCATGCCTAACTGCAGGGATGGCCGCTTGCCCAGCAGAAAAGTGAGAGTTCTATTATTGAAGAGGAAAAGAACAGATAAGGGAAGGCTCTGGCCATTCTGCCACAAGGTGACTCAAGCCTGAGAGACAGCATCGAGCTGGCACCAACTCTGGCTACTTGCTCACCTTAAGGCCTTGGTTTACTTTCCGTCCTGGCCCCCGTGCTCGTTAGAGCACAAGCTTCAGTCACATTTCATGTGCAGTTGCAGCCTTCTAAAGCATCTAGAACGCAACAGTATCACCACAGTTATCGGTGGGCACACCAAGAACCTCTGGAGTCTATTGGAGCAGTGGCTAAGAATGTGGGCTGTGGAGGGGTGACCGGTTAGCTCGCTTGGTTAGAGCGTGGTGCTGATAACACCAAGGTTGCTGGTTCAATCCCCCATGAGCCCTGCATGGGCTGCACCCCTCCTTAGAAGAGTCAACTATGCCATCGTAGCATGAAAGCAATGTGTAACTAGTGACCATGGCTGTCCCCCAGTAAAAGAAAAAAAAAAGAAAAAAAAAAGAATGCGGGCTGTGGAGCCAGACTACCTGAGTCGAATTCTAGCTCTTAATATTTGCTTGCTGTGTGCTCTGGGAAAGTTGCTAAACATCTCTGTGCCATGGCCTATAAAAGGTGATAATAAGGTGATAAAAAGGGATCTTGTGGGGATTAAGTGAGCTGATGTCTCTAAAGCACTCTGAATAGCACCTGGCACTTAGAAAGCCTTTGTGTGTAAGCTGTCATTGCCACCAGTTGTTTCCTAATAATAATGATTTTTGAAAGGAAAGGGATAGAAGGACTGGGGACCCCACCGTGACATTTTCCTGTCCAGGACTCTTCGTGGCTGTGCGAGATCTCGAGAATCAGGGAGGCTGATGGGTATTATTTTTGTGTTACAGATCACTTCTGTCCCGAGAATGTAAATGACACGGCCAAAGAAACATGCTTAAATTGGTTTTTCAAGATTGCTTCCATCAGGGAACTCATTCCAAGATTGTATCCTTTTTTTTTTTGTTTCTTTCTGTCCGATGATTTTAAAGAGGCGAAAAGAGTTGCGCTGTTAATAGAAGCCATGTGGTGGGATGCCCTGAAATTCCTGTTGAAAATTTGGTCCCATTACAGTTTCTAGGCTGAAAATATAGTCGACTACGTTGTAGGAAAGCCCTCACATTCTTGCTCTCTCCTAACAGTTTTCTGGTTTTTTGCTTTGAAGATGATGCCAACTACTGGGCCTCTGGCTCCTTGAGGAACACTCCGCATGAATTTTCTCAATTTCAGTACTTCATCTTGCTGTTCCAGGAACTTGAAAGGAACGGGGTCGAGCTTTTCTGCACAACTGCCAGTATCAGAGCACAGAATTCTACGTGCACACAAACTGACCCTTAGTTATCCGACGCTCGTGCGTTCCCCGTAAAGCCTTGATTAGAAGTGCTCCAAACCCAGCTTACGTTTCAGCACGCATCTGCATGTAACATTTTCCAAATTTTATTTTAAATAAGTACAAAACCTTGGAAGCCAAATACAGAAACCACAAGTCATTGGCTGGCTTAATTCCCTGGGTTGTTGAGAGCCACTCTGGCCGCCCCCCTCCTCACCCCCACCTATTCTTGTTTGCGGATAGTGGAGACTTTTCCCCTGGGAAGGCCATCTAGGAAATGTCTTTCTTAACGGAATGTTGGTGCAGTTACGTGGAAGCGTCCATCTTGAAGTGTAACAAGTTCCTCTCAAAAACGTAAGTCTCTTCGTAAATGTCTAGAACCATAACACTTCCAAAAAAATCAGCCCTTCCCCACAGACACACACTAACGGCAGTGAAACAGTAGCTGTCATTCTTTGGGTACTTAGCAGGTAGCAGATTTGGTGCAAAGCATTTTCTCCTTGCTGTAAATGAAAACTTAATGAAGCAGAGACGCCAGTTTAGTCCTCATTTGACTGAGAAGGAAACTTGGCCTTGGAGAGGTTGGTTGAGGAGCTCATGGGAGATCAGCTATTTGAATCCTGGCTCTGCCGTTATTAGCTGTGTGGCCTTAGCCAGTTATTTAGCGTCTCTGACCCTCAGTCCCCTCCTCGGTGAACAAGTCCCTAAGAAGAGGTCGGTGCCTTGAGCTGCACACACCACACTGAGTCAGCGCCTGGCACACAGTAGGCCCGTGCTCAGTGTTTGCTGCTGCTGTCCAACACGGTGATGAAGATGGTGCGTCAGAAGCCAGAGCCTTCCCCCCTGAGCCCCATGCTGGCGTGGGTCACTGCACGCATTGTTTGCAGAGGAGTTGGCTGGGCTTGGGGAGAGAAGGGTGGGGGTGGGGGTATGGGTGGAACCTGTCGTGTGCGGTAGCATCTAGGTGATGAACTCCCCAAAGTTCATGGCTGACTGATGGCGCTCCACGGGGGTAGTTTGATTAGATTTAGAATCTAGTGTACCCAGTGTGTTTGAGTGGAATCTAGGGGTGCCTGTGGTCATTTGGGGAGTAACACTGGCGTTGAAGAAACAGTTATTTTGCCTCCCCAGTGGGGAGGATAATGCCCGAGGCAGAGGGAAGTCCCTGAGCCGGAGAAACTAGCACAGCACAGTGGGGGTCCTGGTACCAACCTGAGGGGGATGTGTGGGTGCTGGGAAAGGGGGCCGATTCCGGACCGGTGAGTCGGTGCCAAAGGGATACAGATATGGCAAGAATATAGAGAAAACCAAGGGGTGACCCATCCACGGGAAATAACGGGGGGACAGAAACTGCTAAATGAGTAAAAGAAATGTGACTTTAGGCAGGACAAAAGTGAAGGTTGGACTCCAGCGCTGAGCAGATGGTGAAGATGAAAGAAGCCACTTGATGCATGACTTGTTTGCAAGAGAAAGCCTACGTAGCCTGTCCCGTAGCCTGAGAAAACTCGGAAACTTTGACCTTGGTTTATTCCTGAAAAGGAAGTTTGGTTTTATCTTTGGATTAAAAATGAAAGCACCGGGAGCTGTCGCGTGAGGTGTGATGCTACTCTCTTCTCTCTCACAGGGGGATTTCCGAGTGTCTGCCCCGCCTGACGAGCATGATTCGAGGGATCGGAGACCCACTGGTGTCCGTGTATGCCAGGGCCTATCTGTGCCGGGTAGGCCACGCCCACTCCCAGTGCTCACACGTGGCAGGGTCCTGTCTCCTCAAACGTTCACGCTGGCTTCTCTGCCACCCCCTAAGTCACTGAAGCGGGGACTTGCTTGGCGGCTGATTTTAGAGCACGGCTCCTCCACAGAAAGCAGAGACTGCAGGATTTTTCTCTTAAAAATTAATTGTAAAGTAGACCCACTTAGTGTCTCTCTAATTAGGGGGTGTTTAAGGTCATCTTCTTACAAAGGAACTGGTTTTCAGAATTAATTGTTTCTTCCTTCTTGCTGGGCAGAAGCCTCCCAGGGCCTCTCAGCTGACAGGTTGCTTTGCTCTGACTTGAAACGTGCTCTCCCTTTGTCTTAAATTTGAGGGGCGTATTCGGTTTTCTGTCCTCAAACTCAACAGTTGGCTCAGAGTACGCGTTGGTGGTGCCTCTTCGGTGGGGAGAGGTGCTCCCTGCAGTGACAGGTGACAGGGTCTGTGTCGCCCGGCTCGCCCGGCTGACGAGGGCTGCCGGCCCGTCCTCATGGCTGCTCTGATGGGCGAGGCAGTCTGGGTGGAAAACCGCTTGGCCTTTTTCTCCTTTAAGGCATCGTGACGCTTCCGCTTAAAACTTTTTTGTTTTTCATTTGTGAAAAATGCAACCCATGGGGAGTTGATGGTTATTTTTCTGGGAGTCCGCCTTGCCTGTCCTGTCCTGCCCCTCAGCACCTTTACACAGGGCTGACTGCCCCTGTTTTGGAGGGTCCTGGTGAACCCCAGTCTTCCTTGAGGACATAGCTGCATGGACTTCCCCCCCGCCCCCCAGTGATTATTCATATTTTTCTGTCAGGAGGCGAGAGCCAGTAGCCTTTGATTGGCTTCTTCTGTGCGACACCTAGCATATGACAGAAGCTCTGCAGCCTCATCTGTCACAAAGAGATCGGTCGCTGCCGTCAGAGTGAACAGCAGACAGCCTTAGGAAGGACACTGTCATAGGTCTGTGTCGTGGTTCCGAGAATGAAAGGAAGGCCGTCCGTTTCAAGGCCACCTGCTCCCCTTGTCACACAGGCCACAGTGTGTCTGCATTGCCATCTGCTCGACCTTGGGGTGGATTTTTCCTGCAGGACTATCCTAGAGCCTCCACTTTGGAGCGTATTGAAGTTTGCAGACTCCTTCCGAGGCTATGTTCGCTGAGGGCCGCCTGTGCACACAGCACGGCCGGGGCCTGGGGGGGACGTGCCAGAACAGGGTCGTTGGCACACTCCCCAGCGGCTGCCTTTCTCGTAGAACCGAGCAAATGTTTTGCACTCTCCTTAACGTCACTTGAGTAATAGAGTAATCAAGATTTAGAATGGCGTAGCGTCTTAGGAAGAAGATGCTTCTGGTTATTAAAGAGAAATCAGAGAGGGGAGAGATAGCCACGCCTCGCAGACCTGTTGGGTTTTAACGTTTGACATAAGGTACACGAGGTAGGGAAAAGAGCATGTTTGTTGCATGTCACGTGCCCTTGGATGGCAGGTGCTACTTTAAAACTTGGTGACAGCGAGGAGAGAGACTGCAGGCCCATCCCAGGAACACTGGTGATGAAGTGCACTTGTACCTATTGAAAGCACTTCTGTCAGTCCAGTCAGTGCGTGAATTCCCCCAAGTGGGTAGTTACCAAAGACCTCTGATGTAAAAAGAATAAGAGACAGTCTGTGCACAGGGAGAATTCTTTCAGTTCGCAAGTGGCAACAACCCAATTGATCCGACTTGAAGCAAAACGGGAGACTTACTGGCTTCAAAGAGTCTCGGGGTAGTGTGAGCATGGCCGGACCTGGTGCCTTCGAGCATCCTCGAGAATGGTCCTCTCCCTCAGCCCTCAGCTCTGATTTCCTCTGGGCCGACTTCCTTCTGGGTCTTGCTCTTCCCACTGATGGCCACGTGGCGCCCAGCAACTCCTGGCTTCCGTCCTCCCATCTTGGGAACCCTGGTGGCGTGAGTGCCTTTTCCCCAGTAGTTCCAGTCAGTCTCAGGAACCCTCTTTGGCCATTTGTCACCATGGCCACGGGATGGGCTGTATTACCTACCGATTCAGCCTGGGTCATGTGCCCAACCCTGGAACTCAGGGTGGGCTGGGTCCAGCTCTGTCACAAACCTCGTTGTCCGAGAGGAAGGTTTGATTCCCCAAGGACAAAAACAGCGATCATGAATGAATGTCAGGCAGGCGGAAAGAGCAGATGGGAAGTGTGAGCAACTCGCCTTGCTACTCTTGGTAGAAACCTTTTACACCCAAGCAGATTTCCAAGCCGCTCATGTGGCATGATGGGAAGGGACAAACAGAACACAAAAGCAGTGAGTGGGCAGGGTGTGGGGGGACCTCAGCAGTGCTTGTTGAAGGAATGTGTGATTCATTCTTCTCCCAACTCACAGCCGCTTCAGCTTGTCCACTGGGCCTTCCTCTGCTGTCACCTAACAGATAATTACTGCCTTTTCTACGATATGATTAAGCAGAAGGAAAGACAGTGGAGTCAGAGCCCAGCAGCGCTGGATCTGACGTTTGTCGTTAGTGGTTTTTTGGTTTTTTTTGTCTCCACTGCTCGATGTGGAAGCATCCCCAACAACAGCCATAGACAGACCTGCCCTCGGAACTTCGCGCCCCAGGGGGTCTCGCATAATTCTTCTCCAAGGAATTCTTCACCAGCCACCTAAAAAACTCCGTTGTTAATCTTCATGACCCCTTTGGGTAGGGAGGTGACTGGCAGAAACCTGCCCCCGTTAGAGAAAACAAGGGCTCAGAAAAGCACCGTCCCTTACACTGTTTTTGTGCTAAATAAAGCCAGCAGTTTGGAAGGAAATTGTGTGCAACTGAGGAGCTGAGTTCAAGGAACATCGGGACGCTTTGGGCTCTGGCCACCTTCTCTCTGATTAGCACATTTTTTTCAGCTATAAGTGTTAGTCTTTTTCTTAAACAATGAACTCAGGAGCCAGTGGGTACTATATATAGCATGGTTACGCTTCACGCTAGTCTTCTGTAAAATCGCTTAACATACACGAATGTGTCTGTCTGCTTCCATGATTGCCCTGCAAAGCATGTATTGTAACCATGCAGCAGTGAAGTCCCAGCTGACTCTCTCACATACCAAACTCTTTTTTGCTTCAGTTCATAAGCACAGCCACATGTGTGTGTTTATCGTTTTTCAGCGAGGAAGGAGAAACATCGTATATAGTCCTGAGAGTACATTCCTCCTCGGTGTTGTAGGGATTTTCTTCTCTTGGTCATCTGTTCAGATTTACATTTCTTACCTCTGGGAAATTGCAGCGGTGATTGCCGCAAGCGTTGCCCTTTTTTTTCATTGAAAATCTTTCCTGTGGTTTTTCTTAGAAAAACAATGCATGCTTATGGAATAAGAAAATAGATAAGCAAAAAGGATAAAAAGGAACTTTCTGGGCTTGTCCTCTGTGCCTGTATCTCTCTGTGTGTATATGTTTAATGTATAAAACTGGCATCCTGCTGTATATATTACTTGTTTTTTCCGTTGTCAAGGTAACTAACTTCCTTTTGTTTGGCTGCAGGTGGGAATGGAAGTGGCCCCGCATCTCAAGGAAAGCCTCAGTAAGAACTTCTTTGACTTCCTCCTCACATTTAAACAGGTAAGAGAACGGGGTCAGAGCAGCTAATTGACATACGTAACGGTTCCATGATCACGAATTCACAAAGCCCAGTTGGCTTTCCAAGGCGAGATTGCCTTCCAGCTCTTTAAATGCGTAAACTCCTCGGAAATTGCACCAGCGTCTGTGACAGACAATTAAAATGTGTTGATTGTACTGAACAAGCCGAGAGAATTAATGTGCCTGTGTTAATAGGAAGCGTCTCTGGTTGATCAGCCTTTCTTTCTTAGCATCTGCTGGCTCTGTTTTTATCGGGTTCCTCCTCCTTTGCACAGCGCACATTCCTGGAACAGCTCAACGTGGTGATATGGGAAACTTTGTGTGTGTGTTTTTTTCTGAGAAACCAGGCTGTTTCTCTCTCGTTGCCATCCACATGCTTCCAAGTACGCACAGTCTGTGAGCTGCGTGCTCTCTGTTCCTTATGTGACTTTCTTCCTTGTCTGTGTGTCTTTGGTCTCCTGTAGATTCATGGGGACACCGTGCAGAACCAGCTGGTGGTCCAGGGAGTGGAGCTGCCATCCTACCTCCCCTTGTACTCGCCTGCCATGGACTGGATCTTCCAGTGCATCTCCTACCATGCCCCCGAGGTAACTGACGGAGGAGGAATGCTGGGGCTCCCTCTCCTCCATATGGAGGTGGGAGTGACCCTTAACACTGTGCCTGGAACATGAACAGGGCCCTTCCAGAACAGCTGCAGCAGCACAGAGCCAGCCAGCCGTTAGAGAGGGCTGACACCCACAGTGGCTGGGTCAGTGCTGCAGACTTTTCCTGATTGTCTTGTTGGACCACTCCCGGAGGGGCGTATGGAGGCTCAGAGAGGCCATATCCCTCCGTAAGGTCACACAGCTGGAAAGTGGGTGACAGGCCATAAACCCATGGAATCTGGTGCCAGGGCCAACGGGCTTCGTCACCGCTTCTCTCACCTTCATGCACAACGGCTATAGAACGGGTAACGTTTTCCCCATTTGACAGAAGGAAAGTGGGTCTCAGATATGTGATTGCTTTTGTAGGTTTTTTTTTTTCTAATCGAAGCATCGTCAGGAATTAAAAGAGAAGTCAGAATCATAGCAGAAATTAACTGATTTTCTCCCCCAAGACTGAGAAGCAGTTTCCGTAGGACACCAGTTCAGATCGTCATAGTAACTGTGAATGATGAAGCTTCCTTGTTTTCTCGTTGAGCGTTGAGAATTTATTCTGTGGGGAAGACAAGAAGGGGCCCTGCTAGAAAACATGGGTACATAGTGCAAACCAAAATTCAAACACCCCTGCCTTTTCCCAGAAGCTGCAGACACATACTGACAGCCCTAAAGAAGAAGAAAAAAGCGCGTGACTTTGACTAAGCAATCCCGTTTCTAAGAAAATTTCGCACGGAAATAATTGGACAAATGCATACCCCTACCTACCTACGTATGTGTAGGTTTCTCACGCCAGCATGACATGGCAGACAGCCACCAGAGGGTAAATGATGTTATATGCAGTCAGTGGAATGTCAGCACCGTTTAAAGGGATGGTGACCCTGAGGACCTGTGTGTGCTGACATCAGGGTGTTCACAGCACAGGTCCCAGTGGCAAAGGCGGCTACCCCCACGTATGTGTCTGAGGTGGCGCCGGCCTGGTGTTCAAGTGTGTACAATGGAGCCGGGTCTGAGTCTCAGCTCTGTTGCTTAGAGCCGTTGGGATAAAGCAGAGGCCAAGTCACTTGTCCCTACCACCGTGAGCCGTTTTTCTTCATCTGTCACATGGGAGCAACAGTAATTCCTGTTTTCTAGTCTGTTCCACGGACCAAGCACAACAAACAGTCCGTGTACAGGGCTTAGCCGGCGTGCCCCACACATACTGCTTGAATGTTTGTCACATCGTCAGGATCGTAAATGTGGTTTTTACATCCGCGCCAGAGAAGGGGGAGGGGAGATAGGACAAAATTATCGCCGGAGGGTGAGGCTTTGGACCCTCCTTACTTATTTTTTCTGGCCTGTGTTTTCTTAACTTTTCATCAAATACAAGGCACTCCTTATTTCTTCACTTTTTCCAAATTCGAAAGTATGAGGAGAACCTAAGGACGTCTTGTACGTCAGGTGAATTTTTTACCGTTAAGTAAATGGATTTTCAGTCAAGCCAGTAGAAATGGATTGCTGGAAGTGTGCTGGCTCGTCTCAGCCGCTACGCACTGGCCCACGGCTCCTGGGAAGAGGCACCATGAACTTGACTGTAGACAGAGCCGCCCTACCTTTTGGCTGAGTGACACACACACGGGCACCACTGACGTATTTGAAAATGAGAATGCTTTCCCCCCCCCCCTTATTTTAATGACAGGCAAAATCAGATTAAAAACAAAAGGAACGTGGCATAAGGCGTTTGTCCTTTTATTTTAAGCACCGGTAATCTCAGAGGATGGCAGAAGCTGGGAATAGAGCTTTCCTGGGGAGTAAAACTCGAGGAAATCATTATTGCACTAGAGGAAGTGATTAAGAAAATTAGGTCACCCGAATAATAACAAGCTCTGATTCTTAGGGCACTCAGATAAGGAACGTGCGAAGGGGTTGTCTCCATTTTCAAAATGGAGAATTGATGTCAGCATGGAAGGTGGTGTTGAAAATGCATGTGACAATTTGATGCCTAAAAACTGACAGTGGCTGGGGTGTGTCGGCTGGGGAGTTAGAGCCGTGTGTGTCTTTAAGAGGCCATGCCTCCAAAGTAGAGGATTGTCAAGTTTGGCTGCAGCAGTTGCTAATGTACAGGACAGGCAAGTAGATAAAGGGGAAAGGAGAGGAAGGAAAAATGCCTTTAGCTGCGAATATCTGACATACAAAATTTCAAATCAAAATTCAGAGCCACACTCCCTGCCCCCCCCCCCCCCCCCGCAACCCCAAATCGGGGAGTGATTTTTCAAAAAGGCTTTTTTTGTTGTTGTTTGAAGATAGGTTTTGTGTTTTTTTTTTCCTCCTTATACAATTAAAATTATAGTAAGTAGAAAATAGATGTATTCTCCCTATTTCAGGCACATTCTACACAGAAGGAAAGCAATCATTTAAGGAAACCAGCTTTTAGGCAATGAAAACAAATCCCCATGATAAATTTATCGTCACTTTCATTTTTGGCAGCTTTTGGTTTGTTGGGGGTGCGGGGGTAGGAATAGAGGAAAACGGGCTGACTCCTGACGTCAGAGGCAAGCCTTGTCTGATATGAATCCCGTGTGATTTCTTGTTAAACTGTGAGATGCATAATACCCTCTGGGTCCATCCATGTTGTCGCAAATGGCAAGATTTCATTCTTTTTCATTGCTGTGTAATATTTCACCCTATGTATGTATGTATGTATGTATGTATGTATGTATGTATGTGTGTGTACTCGTACATCACATCTTCTTATCCAACCATCTATCAGTGGACATCTAGATTGCTTCTATGTCTTGGCTATTGTAAATGATGCTGCAATGAACAAAAGGATACATCTTTTCAAATTAGCGTTTTCATTTTCTTCAGATAAGTACCCGGAAATGGAATTGCTGGGCTGTATGGTAGTTCTACTTTTAGTGTTTTGAGGAAGCCCCATACTGGTTTCCATAGTGGCTGCACCAATCTGCAATCTCAACAGTGCACCAGGGTTCCCTTTTCCCCACAGCCTCGCCAGCACTTGTTGTTTGTTGATTTATTGATGATGGCCATTCTGACAGGTGTGAGGTGATATCTCATTGTGGTTTTCATTTGCATTTCTCTGATGATTAGTGACATTGAGCATCTTTTCATATGTCTATTGGCCATCTGTATGCCTTCTTTGGAGAAATGTCTTTTCATATCTTCTCCCATTTTTTGATTGGATTATTTTTATTGTTGAGTTGCATGAGTTCCGAATGTATTTTGGATCTCAGCCCCTTATCATATATCATTTGTGAATACATGCTCTGATTCAGTTGGTTGCCTTTTTGGTTTTTTTTTTTTTTTTTCCTTTTTTTTTTTTTATTAATGAAATACACATTTTTTAGAATTAGTTTCAGCTGTACAACACAGTGCAATAGTTATACTTTTTACCTTTCCAAGTGACAACCCCCCTCCCCCAGTCTGCCGCCCCACTTCCCCCTAATATCACACATATGTATTACAAATCCCTTGACTCCACTCTCACACTATACTCCACGTCTCATGACTATATATATATATATATATATATATTCACTTATAGTTGACATACAATATCATATAACATCAGCTTCAGGTGTACAGTGCAGTGGTCAAGCCTCTATCCCCTCCATGATGTGGTCTCCCTAACAAGACATGTGACCATCTGGCACCCTACAAAATATTTACAACATTATTAATTATATTCCTCGAACTGTCTTTGATGTCCCTGTGGCAATATTGTAGTTGCGTATTTATGCTGTCTAACCCCTTCCCCTTCTCCCTCATCCCCACCCCCTCCCAACTAACAGCCATCAGTTGTTCCTCTATATCCCTTTTTGTTTTATTGATGGTTTCCTTTGCTGTGCAGAAGCTTTTCAGTTTAATCCATTTATATTTCAAGTAATTATTGGCAGGTATGATGTGCTTATTGTCATTTTGTTAAATTTTTTTTGGTTGTTTTTGTTGTCCTGTTTTTTTCTTTTCAGTTTGCTTGCTTTTCTTTAGGGTTTTGTTTGGGTTCCTTTCTCTTTATTTTTTTTTGTATTGTGTTTAAAATTAAAAAAAGTTAAAAATGCATCAATTAGGGCAGCTTGAATAACGATGTTGTATTTATGGTATGGATTCGTCAGCCATCAAAAATAATGAGGTAGTGTGCTAACATGGGAGGAGGGAGGACCATGCTAGATTCTTTTTTTTTTTTTAAGATTTTATTGGGGAATTGGGGGAGGGGAACAGTGTTGGGGAATTGGGGAGGGGGACCAGCCAAGTTGTTGTTCTTCAGTCTTCGTTGTGGAGGGCGCCAGTCGCCATCTGGCTTCCTGTTGGCAGCTCGTGGCCTCCAAGCTCAAGGTGCTGTGTTCGATCTTAGTTGTGGGTGGGCGTAGCCACCATCCCATGCGGGAGTCGAACCAGCAGCCTTGTTGCTAAGAGCGCACGTTCTACCCACTGAGCTATCTGGGCGGCAGCTCAGCTCAAGGTGCCAAGTTCAGTCTTAGTTGCAGTGGGTGTTGCCCACCGTCGAACAGGCAGTCTTGTTAGGAGCATGTGCTCTCACCAGCTGATCCATCCTGCCACCTGTTGGCAATTCAGCGACAGCTCAGCTCGGGCGCAGTATCACTGGCCCATGTGGGAATCGAACCAGCGGCCCTGTTGCTCAGAGCTTGCGCTCTTAAGCCAATTCTTAACCAACTGAGCCACTTGGCCGGCCCCATGCTAGATTCTTGAGTAAAAAAAAAAAAAAAAGGCAAGTTGTAGCCCAGTATCGGTAAACTATCCATTTTTGTAAACCAGGCACAAAAAACAGGCTTTGAAGCACCGAAAGCTGTACATTCAAAGGGCACAGACAAAGGTCTACAAAGATGAACTCCACATTGATGACCCTGGTGACCCCTAGGAAGCGGGGGTTGGGAGGGAGGCCCTTCACATTCACCTTGCTGCATGATGATACTTTTATAATTTTTCTTGTTTTTATAATTGTTATAAAAACAAATTATAAGTCAATGGAATGTAGGGGCCTAATCAATCTTCTAGTTGTGATGTGCATTCTACAAACTAAGATGCTGAGTTGCAGGTTTTTCAGTGGCTCCTCTCAGCCATCAGGCTTGTTTCGATCTCAGGCTGGTTTGAACTGTTGTTTGTCTTGTTCTTGTCAAACATAATCAATCCTGTCACTCCTCAGAAAAAAAAAAATGAATACCCTCTAACAGATCTGCCTGGGACCCGTAACATTTGGCCTCCTGTGCACTTATAAGTATTCCTGTATAACAGTCAAGACGTTGCTTTTTTTGTTGTTGTTATATTCTTGGATGCATTTTTCATGCATTCATCTCTCATACAAAGAGACCATGTTAAGTGTTTGTTTTGTCCGAATGGCCAGAATGGTTTGTCCGTCTGTTGGCGTTTGCCCAGCTTCACCGTTTTAGAAGCGGTGGCGAGGCGTCTCCTTCGTTGGTGCGTGTGTCTGTGCGCGCGCACGCCGCCTGCGTGTGTCTGAGGGAAAGAGGAAGCCCCACGCGGGCTTGGATTTCTGTCTCATTTCCTCTCTGCCTAGAATAGCGGCTGGCACGTTAAAGCTGCCTGCTTCCTGATATGAGCATGTTGTGTGTGCGTGCCAAGGCGTACCAGTGTGATCGCGATATGGAATACCCCTTTCTAAGCCTTTCCTACAAACCACTTTGGCATTGGTCTTCAAGGATGACTTTTTTTTTTTTTTAAGATTTTATTGGGGAATCGGGGAAGGGGAACAGTGCTGGGGAATCAGGGGAAGGGGAACAGACAAGTTGCTGTCGTTTTGTTCTTCAGTCTAGTTGTGGAGGACGTTGCTTCACTGGCCCAAGTTGGCACCATCATTGCGCTCTTCCCGGGCGAGGCAGATCAGTCGCCGGCTTCTGGACGGCCGCTCACGGCGGCTGCTGGCCGCTCACGCTGGCTGCCGGCTACACATGGTAGCTTATGGCAGCCCACTGCAGCAGGGGACTGCAGCCCACGCCGTCGCCGGCGACTCACAGCAGCCCAGCTCCAGGTTGAGCTGTTGTTCAGCATCTTAGCTGTGGAGGGCAGTGTCACTGGCCCTCATATGTGGGATCTGACTGGGGCCCTCTGGCATCCCAAGCCAGTTCTCAAACAACATGCCACTCAGCCGGCCCAAGGATGACTTTTTGAATAGAAATACCCCATGAGTCGTTAGGTAAGCCATTCGTGACATCATCCATTTTATCGCTAGCTGGATACCTTTGGTTGCAAGGAACAAATACCTAACTGGCCCTGCAAAAATAATTCATCACCTTCTGTCTCAGGACAAGCGCAGGCTGTGGACCAGGCAGGTCCATTCTATCTCTCTGCTCTGCCATCCCAACTTAGCAGCAAGGTGGCTGCAGCCGTTCATGTCCAGATATGGCTGCATCCAGAGACGGAAAGATGGGGAGTCTTCCGTTCCTTGGGTTCCTGTTTCAGGACAAAGAAATCTTTCCTTGAAGCCCCCCATCTCAGCAGCTAGAAATGGGTCACGTGCCCATGGCTAAAACCACCACTGGCGGGGAAATGAGACGACCGTGCTTGGTTTGGATGTGTATTACTATGTTTGCCTAGTCTGTTCAGGCTGCTCTGACTGAATACCGTAGACCGGGGGTCTTATAAACAACAGGAGTTTATTTCTCACAGTTCTGGAGGCTGGAAGTCCAAGATCAAGGTGCCAGCAGCGCTGGTTTCTGTTGAGGCCGCTCTCCCTGACTTACAGACCTCTGTCTTCTTACTGAATCCTCTCATGGTCTTTTCTCTGCGTGTGCGCAGTCCTGCTTTCTCTCTTCTTCTTATAAGGACTACAGTCCTGTTGGATTAAGGCCCTACCCTTAAGGCCTCATTTAATATTAATTCCCTCCTGAAAAGCCCTATCTCAAACCAGTCACAGTAGGGGTTAGGCTTCAACATATGAATTGGGGGCGGGCACACACATAATTCAATCCCTAACAGGACCCAGCCTGATTTTTGTTGAGCAGAGAAAGAAATCTGAAAAAAAATCGGGGTTTGGGGCTGGGGGTACCAACAGTACCTCCAAAGTCAGCTGTCACTTTAATTATTCAGGGAACACCTAGGACCCAGAGATGCAGCTGGAAGGGATAGAATTGCAGCAAAAAAAGTACTGCTTGTTTTAGTTTTTGGCTTCGGGGCCAGACTTCGATAGAAATCTCATTGTCACCACTTGCTAGGAAATGGCTTAACCTATCTGATATTTGGCTTCGGTGTCTGTAAAGTGGAGTTAACGTACTGGGTCTCACAGGTTCTTGTGAAGAATAATTAAGAAAAGGAATGTGAGGCACATGGCCCCGTGCCTGGTGCATAGTGAATGTCAAGATGGCTCTTTTGTCCTAAGGGCGACCTTGTCTGTACCCTTCAAAACCTTCCTAAACCACTGCCCTATAGGGTACTTCCATTGATTTTTTTAAAAAACAGGAGCTCTTTTAAAGACACATAATTGTCTTAAGATAGCTCTAAAGCCATTAACTATTCCAATGTGTAATACGTTTACTTCCTTTTGGGTTGAATATATGCTTCAAAATTTATGGAGAGGGGGTGGAGAGTATGGCCTTTGATGCCAGGCGGCCCAGGTCACGTCCAGCTCACCACAGCTGCCCTGTTTTCCCGAAAATAAGACCTTGCTGGAAAATAAGCCCTTGCATGATTTTAGGTGCCAAAATATGGCACCTTGGCATACTGAATATTTTAAGCTGAAGGAGTTTGTGAAAAGGGCACCCTTCTCCCTGAAACAGGTCATAAAACCTTCATGTGAGGGCTGCGTGCCCTCCATATCCTGGAGGAATCATGCCACGGCTCTTCTCCAGCTACATCTTATATTGGGGGAAACACGGTAGCTGAGTCACCTGGTCACTGCTCTGTGGCTCGGTTTCTCACCTGTGAAATTGATGAGAACCTGCTGATGGGTGGTCGTGAAAAGTGAGAGCATGGGTGCCAAGCACTGCTCACCATGAGAGGAGGGCACCCAGCACCGGCCCAGTGTCTGTGATTTGTTCTACTGAGAAGTCCACTGGAACCCTGTGAAGTGGGGAGGAATGCGGGGGGGGGGTCATAGGAGAGGTGGGGAGTAAATTTCCATTCTCGTTGGTACCTCTCTCATCATCCTGTAGTAACCCTGCAGGTGGGATGGTACCCCCTGTATCATCTGCCTGAAGATGAGGACACCTAGGCTTAACCAAATGGGGTGACTGACCTGAGACCTTGCTGTTGGTAGTTGATGAGATGGGCTTTGAACCCAAGTGTGCCTGATGCCAGGGACCCAGCTCTTAGCCATTATACGAAATGCCATAGGTGTGAGTTCCCTGCCCCGTTCCCCCCAATCCTTGCCAGACACTGAGAATTAATGAGATGGGCATGTGGTTACATTCGAGCGGTACTTTGGAAATCCCTTGGTGAGAAATGTTGCTTTAGATTCTCCAACCTGATCATTTTCATTATTTTCTAAAATTTATTAGACTCTGCTGACCGAGATGATGGAGCGATGCAAAAAACTAGGAAACAAGTAAGTATTTTAAAATTCATTCATAAGACTTGATTTGTTTTCTTTTTTTTTAGCTTGGCATTGCTTACATGGGCGAGAGAGCCAACAGCGGGGTAGGACAGCATGGCGGTTAGGAAACTAGAGTCCAGTTTCCTGGCTTCAGATGCCTGGCTCTGCTCTTTCTTAGCTGTGTGAACTGTGTTACTTGCTTGACCTTTCTGTGCCTGTAAGATGGGTCTAATAATAGTTCTTTCCCCAGAGGGCTGTGACAAGCAGTAGGGTTAGGATGAACTCCATCTTCCTGTCTCTTCTTTTGGATGTAGATGTCCCTGAATCACAGTGTCCTTAGGTCCTAGAGTCATGCTTTTCATAAGAGAGATGGATGGATATTTATTTGCAGCCTGGATCAATATTGCTACTGAATGTTTAGTTTTATTAGTGCAGCAGCCTATTGAAGGCTCAATTTGCTACTGTTTAAATGGATTTGATTGCTTGCTTATTTACCTGTTCATCTATTGATCCATCCATCTGTCCATCATCCATCCATTCGTCCATCATCCATCCATTCATCCACCCATCCATTCATCCATCTATCATCCATCCATCCACCCATCCATCCATCCATCCATCCATCCATCATCCATCCATCATCCACCCATTCATCCATCCATCATCCATCCATCCATCCATCCATCATCCATCCATCATCTGCCCATTCATCCATTCATCATCCATCCATCCCTCATCCATCCATCCATCTATCCATCCATCCATCCATCATCCATCCACCATCCATCCATCCATCCATCCATCTATCCAGTCAATTTAACATTTTTCAAGTTCGCAGTGTGCACAAAACACTATGTTAGTCTCTAGAGGTTGCCTTTTTGTCTAGTTTTTTTTAACCTTACCATGAAAGGACTGTTAGTCATCCTTCCTGGTGACATACATCCTAATTAAATTAAAGGGACTTTCTTAAGGGGGCACCCTGTTGACATGGGGCGTGTGTGTGTCTTGCAGTGCCTTGCTATTGAATTCCGTGATGTCAGCTTTCCGGGCCGAATTCATTGCCACAAGGTCCATGGATTTTATTGGCATGATTAAAGAGTGCGATGAGTCCGGATTCCCCAAGGTACGCTCTGGGCTTCATGCTCCGCATGCGGGAGAACAAATGGGTAGCGTTTCCCCATAGCTCTCGAGGGCGAGCGTCCAGGGTCCTGGCCGCTTGGGCCCCCAGGACAACGAGCAAAGGTTCAGTTACTGAAGAACATGGTGGAAGCTGAGCTGGAGACTGGAATTGTTGTGCACATGTAATTGCTGCTAGTCACGCCCCGTGAGCCCCAAATTCATGGCATTAGCTCACTGTGACATATTTAGGAAAGACTGTGCCTTCACATCTTTAAGAATACATCTTCGCTTGTTATTTATGCAAAGCATGGGTCCCACAACTTAGACCACACGTGGAGCCAGCTCTTTATTCTGTGCTTCTCTGTCTAACGTGTGTCCGTCTGTGGTAGGACTTGAGATAGGGGCGATGGAGGACTAGCCCCGAGGCGAGCTAAATGTTATGACCTGAAGCCTGAAGTTGCCCTGATTTAAAATCTCCACTATCGTCATGGTTTGGTATTTTTCTTAGCATCTCCTTTTTCGCTCCCTGGGGCTGAACTTGGCCTTGGCTGATCCTCCCGAGGGTGATCGACTTCAGATTCTCAATGAAGCTTGGAAAGTTATCACGAAATTGAAGAATCCACAGGTGGGTGACCATTCTGACCTGAGCTCAACTGGGGGCTAGGATCTCAACGTAGATGGTTTCGGGGCCACAAGCATTCAGTCCATAACACAGCGAATAACTGAACATGGATATGTAGCGTTTGATAGAGGGAAATCGCATTTCTCAAGGGGGAACTATTAAAACGAGCTCAGTGGTAAACCCCTTGCGAATCCCCACGTTTACAAGAGCATACTGAGAACAGTGGAGTAATTTAGAAACAGTCACAAAGCTGTGCACCAAGGTTAGGTTTAGCAGAATCCTCGCTCAGCTCCAGCTATTGAAATTCTCTGTTGAACCGAACTCTGATTGGCTAACAAAAGCTGCTTATTTAGGATACCTAAATAAAAAAATCTCGGATTTATGGAGCCTGTACCCCAGTGTGTCAAGGCAACCTGGCATCAAAACCCGTGTGAACGGTTTTCCCTCCTCACAGGATGGGAAGACAGTGAGTGAGGGAGCTGTCCTCATTAAGTTTACCTTCTTAGCATTCCAGCTAGACCGAAGAATATTCCTGGTTTTTCTTGTGCGAATGAGATAACCGTTTTTCCCCTCCCTCGTTTCTTTTCTTCCCCCTAACATGTCAGAACAGAAGAGGTATACTTGCAGACTATATTTTTCCTTGCCCCCCCCCCACCTTTTTCCCCCATTTCAGTGTTTCCCTGGGCAGGCAGCCTTACTGAGTTGGTCATTGTCATTTCCGTAGCCATCTCATTGTTTCTCCATGGGCCGCCTTCCTACTCGAATCTAGCACGCGATTCCTTACCTAAAACGTGTGTGCTTTCTTCACCTTTTCCCAGCGTATACACATCTCCTCTATGGGACAAGTGGTTTATTTTTTAAAGGCAGGAAGCCTTTTTTTTTTTTTTTTTTTGCCTCAGAACATGCAAAAAATCACATTTTCAGCACAGCTAGAATCTTCAACCAGAGCTGCTGAGGTGCGGTGAGGACACCCCACTGTTAACCACCCCCCCTGCCCTTTGAGCCCCCCATTCTCTAAGCCTGGTAGAGCTTTCCAGACTTATGTCTCGTCCCAGGTAGCGATTCTGAAATGAAAGTCTCCCTAGTGTAAGCAACTTATATTTTTCTGTAGCTCACCTCTTAGAGTAAAAATACATCTGTGGGCGAGGTTTCTGTAGATGAACGCTCTTGAAATTCCTACCGCTTCTCAACTCTTCAGCTGTCACAGCCCTCATAGGGATTTGTGCAGGATGAGCTTGTGCCATAAGGTCGACCGTGGTGTTCTTACTGTAAAGCCACTTTTGCTTTTTCTTTGCAGGACTACATTAACTGTGCCGAAGTGTGGGTGGAGTACACCTGCAGACATTTCACGGTACATGTGGCTGTGGTATTTATTTTTGAAAGCATTCTATTTTTTTTTTTTCGTGTTTGTCATAGTGACTGAGTCTGGTGTTGGCATTGTATAGTGGCAATTGGTCTTCATTCATAAAAGTGCAGCCTTTAGGCTGTAGTGTTAATATGTGTGCTCTCACAGAAGGGTTCCATGCTTCCCATGTGAATTTGGGAAATGCTGCCCTTGCAAAGGGGAAGCAGTGTTTTTCACTAGGAGAGACGTTAGACGCTTAGATGCTGAAGTGCACTGTGACTTTCGTGGGTGTCTAGTAAGTAGCGTTCCCCAAACTTGCATGACATTATCTTCTAAGCACACAAAAACCCTTCCTTCCCAAGGCCCCGACCAGAACCCCAGTTTGGGAAATACTGGGCTTGTCAAAGAGCAGAGAGCCTTTAGAGGCAAGTATAGAAGTGGGTTCAAATCCGATTGCGAGAGTTGTTTATTTTAACCAACTTTAAAAAATGGCAGTGTAGCAAGCATGCAGAAAAGCACGTACATCGTAAGTCTGCTGCCTGATAACTCTTCTCAAAGTACGCCCAGGAAGCCATGGTCCAGATCAGAAAATAGGATGTAGGAAGTACCCCCCACCCACCCCCTGCCCCTGCCTTTGGCGCGGAGTTGGAGGTAACCACCACCCTGGCCTGTAACTCCGAAATTGGTTTTGCCTCATTTTGATCATTGTATAAATGTCAATCTGTTGCTTTTGTTTCTTTTGTCCAATTTTTGTTTTATGTTTTATTCAGGAAATTTCAAACATAGGGTCTCTTTTGTACTTCTCACCCAGAAATGATCCACTTAAGACCAGTCTTGTTTCATTTACGTCCTTACCTCTTCTCCTTAACCCCTGGATTATTTTGAAGCAAATCTAAGACGACATATTTGATGAAAATCTGTTCGCATTTAGCACATATCTGTAAAATATAAGAATTCCCTTTTTTGAAATACAAGCCCAATACGTTATCCTAACTATTGGGTTGTCGGAAAAGTCATGACGCATTTTTGCAATGAAAAACAGAAAAAATATGTCATGGACTCTTCTGACAACCCAATAAAAGAATTAATGCTTTCACGTCATTAAAAATTAGTCAATGTTCGGATTTCAGATTTCCCCAACTGTCTCATAAGTTTTTTACAGTTTATTTGTTCAATCAGGATTAAAATAAGGTCCCCACCTTGTGAGATTTCTTAGGATTCTTTTGCTCTGTAAGTTTTCTCTTCCTCCCTTCCTCCCTCCCTTCCTTTCTTTTTCCCTATAATTTATATGTTAAAGAAATGGGTCCTTTGTCCCGTGGAGTTTCCGTCTGGATTGGCCAGGTATTTCCCTGTGGTGGCGTTAGCCATGTTCCTCTGCCTTCAGTATTTCCTATAAGTTGGCAGTCGGTTCTAGAGATTTAATCCACTTCCAATCTGCCGTTTTGGACCCGTGGGTGGTGCTGTGGTGCTTCTCCAGGGCCGTTCACGGGATCTGCTTGTCTCTATGACGGGAGCAGCCCGTGAAGCTCTTGGCATCTCAGAGTTTATCAGAGGTCACAAAATGGCGGTATTGAGTTACTACCATTTCTTCTTTGTTGCCTGGGAAACTTGTATAAGGAGAAATTCCTCTCGTTGGGTATTCCGTTGGGTACAGTTTGTACAGAAAATGTAGTATTGATGCTCATCTTCCTCCCTGCCATTAAATGGGTTGTCGGAAAAGTCATGACTTTTTTTGTTTGTTTTTCATTGCAAAAATGCGTCATGACTTTTCCGACAACTCAATAGTAGCTTTCAGAATAAGGATTTAATCCCTCAGCATCCCCAAACATGACTGGTGAGTTGTAGTTACTGTTGGTGTGTCTTTAGGAACTCATGGACTTAAACATATTTGAATTATATTCTTCGTACTGATGCTCTGTTGTCCCGGCTGACTCCAGGGTCCTCATACATACAGCCTGTGGTCTTGGATGCCTTCCTTGCTTTCTAAGATGGTCCAGCCTCCTTTGTGTATTTCTTACCCCAGATTTGGAATCAGCTTTTTCTCCAAGGAACTTTGGTTTCTTTTAGGGCCGTTTTCAGATTTTTTTTTGCTGTGTGACCCCGGCTAAGTCACTTAACTTCTCTGAGCCTCCATGTCCCCATCTGTAGAATGGGAATAATGCTGTCCATGCTGGGGAGTGTCATGAACATTCAATGAGAAAGTAAACATAATGGCATCTATTTAGAGAACATGTCTCATGGGCCAGGCACGTTCCCTGTAAGCTACACAGCCTCAGAGCAGCCTGGCCAGGAGGGTTCACATCACATAGACTAGAGGCCAGCACACTTTCTAAAGAAGGCCAGAGAGTAAATAGTTGAGGCTTTGTGGACCATCCGATCTCTATCACAAGTATCTGACTCTGCCATTGCAGTCCGAGAGCAGCCACAGACAACACACGAGTGAGCACGGCTCCGTGCTCGTAAACTCTGTTCATGCACACTGAAGTTGGCATCTCCAGTGCCCGTTACAAAATGCTATTTCTTCTTTTGATTGGAGTGTAAAAACCATTTCTAGCTCGCGGGCCATAGAGAAACAGGTATTACGTTGGATCTGGGCTGTGATTGGCTGACCCCGATGCAGACAACAGAAGTGAAGTGGGCATTGGGTCACCTGGTATTAGGGGGCAAGTCTATGCTCTTCCCAGAATGCCTCGCTGGGGAGGGCCTGGGACAGGCAGGCAGAAAATGGTGTGGCCGGTTTTATCAGGAGAAGTAGGAGCCGTGTGAAGACCCTGAACCTTCGAGAATGGTGTTTCTGTCCTGACTTGGTGTAAACAGCTTTAGGGCCATGGTATAGGTGGGATTTTTTTTTCCCCCCCTTATAGTATTTCCAGCAGAATTTTTGAAATGATTTTCTGGAAGGTGTGTGCTGTATTCTGAAAATGTTAGTCCTTTACCCCTGAAAAACGGTCGACAACTACCATTTTGTGTCTAATACAGGTTTTCTTGATTTTCCCCATGTAGAAACGAGAGGTGAATACCGTTCTGGCTGACGTCATCAAGCACATGACTCCAGACCGCGCATTTGAGGACTCCTACCCTCAGGTAACAGGTTTGCACTGCTCACTCCCACACGGGTATTCTTAGGAAATGCAAATGAAGCATTAAGGGTAAGGGCCATGATACATGCAGTCTGCGGTCAAATGGATTAAGAAAAAAATGTGACTTACGGAAAGAGAACGATAAAACAAATATGGCAGAATTTTCAAAGTGGGTGAATTTGGGTGAAGACAATATGATGGGGGTTTTCTGTACTGTTCTTTCAACTTTTCTGCAAGTTTGAAATTATTTCCAAATAAAAAGTTAAATGTGTGTGGATTGTGTGTTTGTGTGTCGACAAATTCTGCCATTGGCTGGATAGGGGAGGAGATAAAGTGAATACAGCAAAATGGTAGTCATTGTAGAGTTTAAGTAGTAAGTAAATGGGCATTTGTTATATATTCTTTGAATTATCTTTGTTTCTGCATTTTTATCGTAAAATGTTGATGGAGAAAAGCCTACCCTTTTAAATAAGGAAATGCACTATGTGTATGTATTGCTGTGTGTTATAATGCCCTTCCTTGAAGCGTTGCTTGTCATGAAGTTTTTAAGTTTTTTATTAATCTTTTGCTTGACTGATCTATTGAGCTACTTAATTATGAAACAGGTTCGTACCTTTTAATATTCTGTTTTTAGAGTGGTTTCTTTTGCAAAGGATTTAAACAGCTCTATTTTTAGTGTAAACAAAGTACTTGTCAGTACGTTTTCTCTTCGTAACAGTAACCTGGGGCAGGGGTTTATATTTTATTTAGAAAAAGCAGTTCCCTCGTTCTCTGGTGCCGAGGTCCTGTCAGAGGGACTGTGTGGGTCTCAGGGTGAGGGCTGGTGGACATCAGTGCTGGGCATCGGGGGCCGGCCTCCCAGATGTGCCACCGTCCTCGGGTAGTGATGTCGCCTCTGACTGACGGGCACACTCGGCCCAGTGCATGTCCACCGAAGGAGCCAGGAAACCCAGTCACGAGGTGCTAGAACAGAGGTCTGAATACTAGGGCCCCTTGACCACGGGTAGCCCATTGCCTATTTCTGTGAATAAAGTTTTATTGGAACCCAGCCATGCCCACGTGTCTGCGTGCTGTCTTGGGCTGCTTTCCAGCTGCAGTAGCAGAGCTGAGTAGTTGTCATGGCTGTATGGCCCTTTATAGAAAGTGTTGGCTCCTTCCTTGAACATGCATGGCTGACTTTACTGGAGGGCTTTGAAGGGCAGGCACTGCGTACCTGCACCATTTAATCCTACAGTGCGCTGGGTGCTTTGCTCTCCACTTTATAGACAGTGCAGTGGAAGCTGAGAAATTGTATCCCCAAGATTACAGAATAAATTGGGCAAACTGAGACTGAGATAGGGCCAAACCATATTTCTCTGTTCCTTGAGCAGTCCAGGATTCCATTACTGTGATTGCGATTGCAAATTATTAAAGGGTTGCGTTTAAAAAAAAAAAAAATCCAAGTTTTTCTTAAGTAAGATGTGCCTTTTATTTTGTTTTGCAGCTTCAGTCAATAATTAAGAAAGTGATCACCCACTTGCACGATTTCTCAGTTCTTTTCTCGGTGGTAAGTGACATTCCTTAATTATCTGTGGAAGTTTGTATCTGAGTCAGAGGTCCCCTTGGTGTCTCAATAATGTTTTCATGGTGCCCAATGCCAAAAGAAATACTTAATGGTTTTTTTTATAAAGTAGAGGGATCTCAACAACTTAAGTATTTATGTTATAACTTCATCAGCGTTTGAAAAAATACACAGACTAAAAGAAAAATATTATCTTTAGCTCATTCATTGCTTGCTAATGGGATGAGTGTGCCAGTCGGGCACCACATGGCTGCTCAGACTTGGGCACCTGCTTCCTTATTTCTAACTCTTCCTCATCTTCACATGATACTTGCTTTTTTTCACCCAGTCTAATGTTGAAACTATGGCATACATCGAGCTAAGCGTTTTCTCGGTGTCTGACAGAGTTAAGGCTGATTATGTGTTCCTCAAAAACTTGAAAAATCCTGCGACACCCCTTCGAGTTTGCAGCAGTGCCCCGGGCAAGTACATATCTAGGTGATTCTACGCACTGCGACGTTCTCTTTCCTTCCCTCAGCCTCCCTCTTCCCTGGCACCCTTCTTTCTTCCGCTTTCCATTTACATACATTCACAGGATTGTACGTTTCTGGCTTCTTGTTGATTTCAAAATAGAGGCTGTTATTTATTGGACATGTGCCACGCTCCAAGCACTGAGCTAGAACTTTCCAAGCATTGCCTCCTGTCGTTTTCACCCCACCGCTGGGACGTGCGAGGAGTTATTATTCCCACTTTATAGATGAGGAAACTGATCCTGGAAGAGGCGGAGTAATCTGCTTAAGGTCACACAGTCACTAGATGTAGAGGCAAGAGGCAGAGGCCAGTCTGCTCCTTCCTCTGCTCGTCAGTACCATCATCAAAAGACTGAAGTTGGCGTTTCATGTTGTACCCAGAAGAGCTTAGGGTCCTCTAAATGGCGCCTAGATGGTTTGCCAGCCCTCATCCCGGGCACACGTCACTCGTGTTACAAACCTCAGGGCCCTTCTCCTTCCTTCCTCTGTTTAGACCTTCAAAGAAAAAATGACCCACAAATTCCTTCCAAACGCTTGTATAAATTGCATAGAGTGCTATTTTTTTTTTTTAGGAAAAATTTCTGCCATTTCTGGACATGTTCCAAAAAGAGAGCGTGCGGGTGGAGGTTTGCAAATGCATCATGGAAGTTTTTATCAAGTAAGTGTAACACATCATAATCGGAAGTTTCGATGCGCGACACCTTTGAAACCTGTTGATAAGACATCGGTCTGCACCCTCTGAGGCCCAGTCAGGTGTACGTATGTCATACCTAAAATAACATAAAAGGAAAACCGCACAGCAGGAGCAGTCCTGATAAAAAGTTTACAATTAGTGCTTAAGAAGACAGAGTCATAAGTATTGACAAGAGCCCGGCCAACGCTTAGGGTGTTTTTGGAAGGAACAGTCTATTGGTAAACTACTTAGTGAGAAACATTTTATAAGATAAAGCCATGCTCATCAAGGTACCAACGCTAGAAACTTCCTCCTTCAGTGTGTATGTAGGTTTGTGATCAGTTTTCAAATTTACCTCCTTTTATGTCATTAAATTTGTTTCCCCAAATGGCTTACAGCTGGTGCCACTGAAATAATTGTAGGTAGTCCACCGAGGAGAGATTTTTATGTTTATTTTAAAAGTGGTGTATTTCTAATTATTCTAAAGTTTCTTAGATAATATATAACTAGTCAGTGATTTCGTGTATATTGTGTTTTACGACAAGGTTAAGTTAAAAGTTAAAGCCACTCTAAGTATTAAGTATGTAGCTACGGTAAAAGAAAAATAATGTTAAGATGGAACTCAACCACAGTTTGGGAAATTGAGTTAGATGTTGCCTGAATATGTGTTTTAAACTGCTTGTATTGTCTTCCTAAAAGATTAATTCCATATGCTTGTAACAAACACACCTACTTTACTTACATAAAGGTTTCTATGAGGAGCTTGTCCTTTTTTATATTATTCGAAAACCCCAATGAATAATTGTGCCTGGCACTTGACACAGTTGTAGACAGATTATGAACAACTGTAGAAGGTTCTAGAAACTCGGTAAGAAAATGGGCTTGCCCTTTGCCTATTTTAGGACATGGAGCAGTTCTGCCAGGATTTTGCAGTGTCAAGAAGTTATATTATGTGTAGAAAAACAAACTTGTTATGGAAAGAAGAATTAAGAGATAACCAGAACTTTGCCCATTAGTGGAAAACTGGGCTAAGGTCATTGCAGCCAGGTCACTGATTGCTTCTGAAATATGTACAGTAGACAAGAATGAAATCCATGCTTTTGTTCTCAGCAGACATAGCTCCTCCCATTATCTTTAAATATCTCCTAGGCATCAGCAAGAACCCACCAAGGACCCCGTCATTCTGAACGCCCTTTTGCACGTTTGCAAGACCATGCACGACTCTGTGAAGTAAGCCACGCTTCAGGCTGACACGTAACGCGCGGATTGGGTCTAGTACCACCTCAGAGATTAATTCCCTCATAGCACATGAGGGAATTACTGCTTTAGGCTGCCACTGAGAATAATATTATTTTATGGGAGCTATTAAGATTCTTGCTAACAGGGACATTCCCGTGCAGGAGAGGAGGGAGGCTGAGGCTAACCTTTGTGAGAAAATGAGATGGCAGGTGTTTTTACACAGGGATTTCTATTGGGAGAAAAAGGCCGGTTTCATCCCAGGGAACTCAATCTCCATGTCTCCAAGAGATTTCTGAGAGAAGCAGCAGATAGTGGACTAATGATTCACTCATCTAGTAGCACAACCTTTACGTTTTTTTCTCCTTATTAGCCAATTATTTGAAAGTCAAGTGCAACTGCTCATGTGCTTTACGTGAAGGACTTCATTTGTTCCGTATACATGAGGCCCAGACCTATCCACTGGCCGTATCTTTGGGTCAAGGCCATATCGTCACTCCTTTGTTCTCTAGCCTATTCCCCCCGCCCCACGTTTCCATTTGATGATGCTTAAGGCAATTCTTGCTTATTTGTGGTTGAAATTTTAGTCCCCAAAGAATTTTAAACATAGCAGCTTGATTCACTGGAAAATGTTACAAGCATTTGCGAAAATTGTTTTAGTGACTTGACCATCAACAAGATGAGCTGTATTTCTTTTTTTTTTTTTCCCCTCTGAGTTTTAGAATCTTTATTTTATTACTTTCTGTGTTCCACTTCATGGGTAGTTATAAAAATCAAAACATGAAGACTTTTCATGACAAATAGGTTTTAGTTGGACGAAATAACAATGAAGGCACAGAAAACGTCCAGCAGGGCACTTGTATTAGTAGGTTATTGGGTTTTGGCCTGAATAAAATAGGTTTATTTCTCCCTTGTAAAAGTGTGAGGCCAGAAGGTAGAGAAAGGGTAGCTCTGCTTTAGAATAATCCAGGAACCCAGGTTCTTGGCTGGTTTGTTGCTCTGCCATCCCTCTGGGGTGTTGTCCGTGTCTTCCTGGTGGAAGCCAGCTTACCTTGACCATGTCCACGTTGCAGCCTGTGGGCAGTAAGCTTTCTTTTGGGGAACAAAACACATTCACATCCCATTGGTCAGAACGGTCATGTGACCATCCCTAGCTGCAAAGGTGGCTGGATTATGTAGTCTCAAAGCATGAAGGAGACATAGCATACTGGAGGGTGGTGTAAAGTCTCTGCCAATATTTATTTTCCCCTAGAACAAACCAACAAACAAAAACCTTGGTTCCTGTTTTCTCTGGACTCTTAAAACTTTTCAAAATAAACTTGGGGATCTATTTATAGGCCTTCACATGTATAATAAAAACCATGAAGCCTTGACATTTTCCTATCTGTAATTGTAAATTTTCTGTCAAAGAGAAGCGACCGAGGTCTGTGATTGACTTTAACGTGCGTCCCCCAAATACGATGGCCTGATATATGGAGAGGGGAATAGATAGTTATGTGATAAAGCAAATTTTATAAAATGATATTGGTAGGCTCTTCGTGGTTGGTTTATGTGGGTGTTCCCTGTACAATTCTTTTCAGCTTTGCTGCCAGATTGCGATTTTTTATGTTGAACAAAAGTTCTCTGAAATACAACATTCGACGTGAGACCTTTCGGCCCAAATTCCAAAGAAGACAAAGTTACTTTCTCTTTTGCCATTAATAATCATATCTTGAGAACAGCATCTTTGAGAGATGTGAAACACATTTAAATTGTCAAATGACATATTTTTATCACAAGAAACACAGCCTGTTGGGAGGTGGTTGTTTTGTTTTTTTTTAATCTAGAAAATGCAAAATGTGCTTACTTGTTAAATTGCTTTGTTCTTACATATTTTTTCCTTTAGAGACTCATTTGTTACCTCATTGTTAATTATGTACCATTTATTGATTTTAGTGCACTCACTCTCGAGGATGAGAAAAGAATGCTGGCATATTTGATTAATGGGTTTATAAGAATGGTGAGTATTGAGGAAGGCGTTTGTTTCATTGCTCTTGGAAATGTGATGTAATTGTTTGTCTTTCCTCTGGTGAAGGCAGTTAACATTATGTTCCCTAGTGCTTTTCATTTTTATCGAGACAAGATGAAATTAGAAAACATCTGACATTAGCCAATACTCCCCTGGGGCCAGAGGGAGCCAAGACAAACTGGCTTAAGGAAAAAATAAAAAGCGGGGTGGGAGGGGAGAGTTACTGACTCATGAGACAGAAAGCCCAGGGGTGGAACCTTCCTGAGGAGCAGCTGGACTCGGGGTCTCCGTGGTGTCGTCATCAGGGCCTGCCGCCCGTGTGTCTTTGGCTCGTGGCTCTGCTCTCTTGGCGCCTTCCCCGGCAGTCTCACCCCACACGAGACCTCCAGGTTTCGTTTCCTTCCAGCTCTGCAGCCCATCGGGAAGGGCTCCAACAGAATTCCTGGGATGGAGTTCCTTTGGGTTAATTTGGGTCACCCGCCCAGCCCCGAACAAATGGCTGATGTGAGGGAGAGCGAACACCCCGATTGCTTGCCAGACAGGGGGACACATGCACATCTGGACACCTGGGCCATGTGGTCCAGGAGTGGGGAGGAGGGGCTTCCTGACACACCCGATGTGCTGCTCTTGCGATGATGGTGAGAATGAGGCTGTGTGCAAAATGCCGGGATCCACCACCCTGCCTTTCTTAGTTAGCTATTGCTGCGTAACCAATCCTCCCAAACTTAGTGGCTATTAATTCTTACAATTCTGTGGGTTGGCTGGGGAACCAGGCTGCTCCGTGTGGCAGGATTGGGGCTGGAGAATTCAGGATGGCCTTGCCCATGTGCCTGGGGCACTGGTGCTGGGTGTTGACTGGGCTGTCTCGTTTTTTCATCCGTGTGACATCTCTCCACTGTTCCCGTGTTCCTGTCGCCTGTCTGAGCTCTCCTACATGGTGAGGGCAGGGATAACCTGCAGGGCCTTTTTTGAGGCTGCGGTTCAGAAGTCACAGCGACTGGTGCCTTGTTCAGCTGCGTTCTGCTTGTCAGCACGTCACAGAGCCAGCCCCTTGGAGGGGACGGAGGGCAGAGCCCACGGAGGCACTGAAGGACACGCAGCGCGGGAGGGGTCCAGCCACCAGCCCAGCCTCGCCAGAACAACCTCTGCCTTCCTTCTTGGTTCACAAAGCTAGATGCCAGCTGCCCCCAGTGTCCTGTTTTAATAGACAGGTCAAGACAGAAGCTGACCGAGATGAAAATAACTCGATTATTTTGAAAATAACCTTGGAAATGTGACCGGTTCAGCCACAGGGGTCGTTTTAACTATCCAACTAGCTTTGTGGGTAAAATACCAATTCTGATGAAAAGTCCATATTAGCCTGAAAATTCCCTCTTTAGGAAATGTACCTGTGGCTTTTCCATGGTGCCTCTCTCCTGCGCCCTTGGTTTATATGTAGATCATGCAGCATTTGTCCTTTTATGGCTTTGTCCGAAAGCCACTGAGCTGTAATGGAAGAGAATATGAGGAAATAAGATTTGAAACCCGATCGCTGTAATGGAACGAGCATGTTAAACCTCTAGACAGAAGTGACTGCTGGAGCAGCTCAGCTTATCCTACCAACCAGCTGTCCATACACTTGAAGAAATAGGAGAAGAGGGAGAAACTTCCATCTTTGGCTCCCGCAGCCACCAGTAAGCTGCTGAGGTTGGAATCTACATCAGGAAGCAGAAAGGGGTGGCCCTTCTTAGGGAAACCCCTCTAACAAGCGTCTCCCAGGAGCCACATTTATATTCTGTGAAGAGGCCACAGCTGACAGAATGCCAGCCCCTCCCTTCCCAGTAGTCTCCTTCTAGCCTGGAAAATCCTGTTTGTATTTTGAGATTCTTTTATTTATACCCTTTGGCCTCTTTATGTTCACTTCCAGTGCCCGTGTCCTTACGATGAGGGGCAACAGTCATATCTCAGCTCTGCGCTGGGCGAAGTCACGTCAAGTCTGGTTAGGGCGTACTGCAGTGAGCGTATGTGTCTGCTTGTGTAACTGTGACATTCCCACCCATTCACAGCTGGGGGATCTTCGGTGACTTCTCATCAGAGCGCCTTCCCTTCCCCCTTGAAGCTTAGGAAAAACCCTCTCTCTCCTTGATTCCAGGTTTCCTTCGGCCGCGATTTTGAACAACAGCTAAGTTTTTACGTCGAGGCCAGGTCAATGTTTTGCAATCTGGAACCTGTTCTTGTGCAGTTGATTCACGTAAGGCGTTTCTTTCATTCATTTGTTCCCTTCATAAGTATTTACTGAGCGTATGTTTATCTATATACCACACACCGATTTTAATCCAGGATTCTCCTGATCCCACGTTGCTCCCGTTCCCAAGGGCTAAAAGGTGTTTTCTCAAAGGTCCATAAAATCTACAACTTTGCTTTGAAGTCTTTGGATGGTTTTTCATTGGCTTCTTTTTCTCTGAATGTGCATGTTTTCATTCCCGCATGCCAACAGCAAGGAGTTGAGTGAGTTGCACTGATTATTTAGTTACAGAAATACTAACTTGGAGTCCCCTCGTTGCGTAACCAGGGTCCCACCTTCTGTGGGTTGAGCTGCCTTTCAGTAATTTTTCGCGGTGTCTCCACGCCAAAAGAAATAAATACGGTTCTGTTTATCAAGAAGTTAGGCTCAAACAGCTTAAGTCTTTATGCCCTAGCAACGTGATAGCCCTTTGAAACAGTCATAGACGTAAATTGAAAGGAAAATAATATGTTTTTATTTCATTCTTAAATAACCCTAATGGCTTACTAATGAAATGTGTGCCCCTTTTGGGCACCGCACGGCACTTCTCAAACGTTGGAGTCAGACTAGACACCACTCCCCTTGTTTTCTGTCCCACGCTGATTTTTTTTCCACATTGGATTTGGCACAGTGCTCGCTTTTTGTCACAGTAGTCACCGAAATGACATCGCTGCGAGGACTGTGATGTATTCCTGTGTGGATGCTGTGAGCTGCTCACACCAGTACTTCGCTGGTGCCCACCGATTAAGCACTGCAGCGTTTTCCTTAAAAAAAAAAAAAAAAGGTGATGCCCCTGAGAGTTTGCCCAGCACTCTGTCCTGTCACAGTACACGGTTTGGGAACCACAGATGCCGGCTTTTCATGTCTGTGGAAAGATACCCTAAGGCATCTTTAGTTGCTTCATGTAAATTCAAGGAGACCAGCTTTTTTATATATTTGTTTGCTGGTTAGCAGGTTATATAGCGTTGCTAAACTTAAGACCTACATGTAGAGACTCCATCTGTAAGACTGGGGATAATAGCACCCACCTCGGAGGCCGTGAGGATTGAATGGGCCAATGAATGTGCAGCTCTTAGAACGGCCCCTGGCATGCTGGGAGTGACGACGGGGCTGTTATTACTACCTTGCTTACGGTTGCTGTGAGTTTGGCACAGCTGAATTGTATGGTTGATGCTCAGATTTGGAGGTTTCTCACAAGACGTCTAAGATCTTAAGCTTACTTAGTGTGTGGGGTTTCTGGAAGTGGAGTCAGTGAACCCTAGCTATTCATGAAACCAGAAGATGGTCATTTATAATGCCGGTTGACAGGCCTGACTAACTCAGTAAGTGCCTGTCGTTCTACCCTGTTGGAGATGTTGGCTCAAGCCCGGCTAGGCTCAGGCCTGATGGCCTCTTCTCAGGGCTCGGTGCTGAGAGCTGCGGTCCTGCTTAGCTTGTTCTCCTTGACCTGTATGCAGCGAACGTCCGTATCTCTGTGAAAGACGTGAATCGGCCATCATTTCATTCCCCTTTCTGTTTTTACTTATTAACCAATCTAGAATGTGAACCGGCTGGCAATGGAAACAAGAAAAGTAATGAAAGGGAACCATTCCAGAAAGACGGCTGCGTTTGTCCGGGTATGTTCTAAAGATAAGACTCGCGGACTTTGAACTCCAGTGGTTTTGTTTGTGAGTTCCTAATTTGCTTTTCCCAGAAAAAGACACATGTGTCACGATAAGGGTGCTTTTGTATTGATTTTCCAGATTAATTTTTCCTTGCATATCTAGGCTAACCAACTTTCTTAATGTTTTCAAAAGAAACGATCAAAGGAGTCTGAATTTTGACACGCATTGTGGGGAGGCGGTGGAGGGGTGGATTTGGGTTTTGGGGGCCAGCTCAGTTATTTCTGGAGCTGTGCCTGCATCCGGGAGGCCTGATACCTGTTTTTCCCTCTTGGTGAGTTCCCAGCTTTGGAAAAAAATGGCAGCTGCTTGAGTATGCTGCTCAGAATTTTATCAAAGTATTACTTATCCACGTTTTCAAAAATGAAATCCTAGCAAACAGACTACAGTGCATCAGAGGCACTTCTCACCTCCTACCTCTCTCCTCAGTCAACCTCAGGCTCTTCTTAGCAGCTCCTTCTGATTTCCTCAATTTTTTTAAAGTAATTGGTTTAAACGGCTGCCTTTTACCTTCTCAGTGTTAGGTGTTGTCTGTTTATTTCCTTCAGTGGTGGGCGAGGGTTTATAATTCATACACCATTACTCCCCTCACTTGCCCCAGTCCCCTCCCCAAGCGACAGGCACAGCAGAGGCAAGAGGGGAAAACGGGCTAAGATGGGGTGATTATTTTAAGTGTTTTTGCATGAAAAATACATGATGGGTGAAAACAGGAGTCCTAAGCCATGTGGTAGCGTTGCCGACGTAACCGTGTCCTCTGTCCCCTTTCTCCCAGGCCTGTGTCGCCTACTGCTTCATCACCATCCCTTCCCTGGTGGGCATCTTTGCCCGCCTCAACCTCTACCTGCATTCCGGCCAGGTGGCTTTGGCCAACCAGTGCCTCTCCCAAGGTAAGCCTGTCAGTGTCTGCCTGGGGCATCGACGGGGCGGAGGAATGTGCGTGTGAGTGGGGTGTGTGTGTGTGTGTGTGTGTGTGTGTGTGTGTGTGTGTGTGTGTGGAGCGAGAGAAAAAAGATTCCTTAAGGATGAAAGAAAAAGTTACCAATAAACAAGTTTTAAATGTTTCTTTAGTAGGAAGCACACATTGATAGTCAGACTGCAGGGCAGGGCTGTTTTCCCATAAGGACCTGCTTAAACCTCAGACATCCCGGGCTGCGTGGGCCCAGAGAAGCTGAGAAGTCAGGACTGCTTCAGCACGGCAGGTCCATGTTTATTTTGTTGTTGCTGATGTTTGTTTATTTGAAACCCAGAGGCACATGAGTAGAGTCTAGTAAATATAGAATGAGTCCTGTCCACAGCTTGCTGTCAGGGATGAAAATTCTGCTCCAGACCCATGTCTGTACTCGGCACAGAAGCTTCCCGGAGGCAGGGATGTGTATGAGCGGCTTCTAGGGGAGGTGATCCTGCCCGTGTCGGGTGGGGGATGGGGAGGGAAGACGGGGAAGGGAAGGAAGCCAGCAGAGGGCATGCCGGTGGCGGGTAGATGACTGCTGTGGGTGGCTGGGGACCCCTGGGAGGGGGGTCTAGTGGCCTGGGTGTTACCCCACCTGAGGGGTTTCTTTCCCTGTACTCCCATCCGCACCCCAGTCCCCTTGAGCCCAGAGAACGCCCTTAGGCAGAGGGTCACAGCGTATGTGGCAGGGTGATGCCCCCATCATCTCCTGGGACAGTGTGGGCCAGGTGTGTGCAGGCAGAGCCCTGGCTGCTCGGCAGCAAGGTACCTGTCCATCAGGCCTTAGCATAAGGACTGAAAGAAATCCTGGCGCCATTGATGGAGGAGCATTTGTTACGTGGCGAGCCCTTCGCACATGTCGCCTCATTTCATCCTCCCAGCAGCCACGTGAGGCGAGCCCTGTGGTTGGTGCCCCATTTCCCAGGTGAGAAGACTGAGGAAGGAATGGCTAGGGGAGCTTGCTCAGGGTCACTGAGCCAGCGCTCGGTCCCTGATCTAACCCAAGGCCATGTCCTGTCACCAGCCTGACAGACGGTGTGAACCATGCAAACAGCCAGGAAGCTTCAGCAAATAATGTGGGGGTTTCTCCAGCGCTGTGTGAGATGGACTGGTGCTTTCGCTGGTTGTTTGCCCCCGCCCCCCGCTCCCGTCTCCCACCTGACGTCACAGTTTGTGCCAGGGGAGCCACTCGCCACTCGCCGCCGTGGGTTTGGGTGGGCACTGCGTTGGTTGGAGAGCGGTCCTTCCCCGTTCTTTAGCCTTTGGCCCAACAGGTCTGGTGTCCCGATCTGATTCATCTGGGACAGTTCTGGGCCACCAAAGTCTTCAAACATGATCACTATCCAAGAACCTTTTCAAACGCGGCTTGGTTTTGCTTTCGACTCCGGGGTGCTCGGGTCTTCCCAGTGCATTCGGAATGGAACCGGATCCAGATGCCGTGCCTGTAAGTGGCCCCGTGGTCTGGGCCGCCCGCCGTCTGTCCGCACCTCATACCACACTGTAACCTTGCCAGCTTTTTCTGTCCTTTGAACATAGTAAGCTGCCTTCCAATCAGAGCCTTTGCGCTGGCTCTCCCCTCTTTCTAGAATGATCTTTCCCTAGATATTTGCATTTTTTAAAAATCACCAGGTAGGAGAGGAAAATGCTGCTCTGTGCCAGCCTCCTCGTGATGGTCGTTGCATGTCCCATGATCTGACGTTTTCTTACTGTTCATGTTATGTGTTCATTTACTCTTTGTCTGGACACCCCCTCCCCAGCAGGACTGCAAGTCCCACGAGAGCAGGCGGGCACGTGCCCTCATAATTTGCCGGTAAACGTGGAACTCTCTCCCCGTGTGCGTTTTGGTAAGGGCAACGGGTTAGTAAGAAACAGAGTAAAAATGCAAATTAACAGCTGCCACCAAAAACCTGATGATGTGCAAAACGAAGGTTAGATTAATTAATTCGATTAGTTTGGATGTGAGAAATGTTAAGCCTTGTAAACTGGTTCCCTCTCAGAAAGTTCAGGAGCCCAGGACCCTGTGGGAAGGCCTGAGTTTGGTGTCACCTCGATGCCCCACACGTGGGGACCCCAGAGGCCTAGCTCTTTCTCCTCCCAACTTTATAAACTCAGAACCCTGATGGCAAGTGTTGTGGATCCCAGGCAAGTTTACTATGACCAGACCCCCCCCTACCACCCCCCCAAAGATTTTCTGCTCCCGGGAGTTGTTGGAGGAGGGCTGTGGATGGCTGTTCCCGTCGTGCTGCCCTGTATTGCCCTCCGTCCACACTGAGATTAGCCGTGTAAGAACGCCCCGGACTCCGCCTCAGCTGTGGACTCCTCCCCCGCCCCCCTCACTTGAAGCTGCTGCAGGGAGCTGGAAGGTGGCGTCCCCTCCATGTTTAATAATTTATCTGGCGATTTTTCCTTGAGTCTGTAAACACTGGAGTGCTAAACCTTAAAAGCCTGCTGTTGTTCTGAAAGCCATACGCAGCATTCGCTGGCCAAAATAAATAATACATTCAAGGACTGAGGATGAGAAGGCTAAATATAAATGAAGTGAAGCTCATGGAAATGGGCCGCTTTTGTTCGCCTCCCTAAACACCCTCCCTGTCAGCTGGTTACGAAACTCCCCTACCCCCACCCCACCCGAGTTCTTTTCTCGGGCCCCCTGATCCAGGTCCCCTTTGTAAATTCTTAATCAGGTTTTACCTTACCAGGGCTCAGTCCAGCCCAACAAGTAAACTCCCGTTGACCTCCCTTCAAGGAATGCTGACGAAGGCTTATTACAGGGGAGGCCCACCCCGTTCTGGTCCTTTGGACGCGTTAGTGCAGCATGGAACGTGGGCCGGGTGGGATTTAGTCCACAGTCATCCACTGCCCCCGAGGATTTAGGAAAAACAAAGGACTTTTCAATCAGTGGCTTCTCGCCCAGAGGTGGCCGGGAGATGCCTGCCTATCTCTCCTTCAGCCACTGCACCAGATAACGTCTTGCCCTTGCTTGTCAGTGGTTCCTTCTGGAAGATTATCCTCAGGCCACGCCAAGAATAGGTTCTCTTGCCCCGTATTTTTATGTTCGTTCCATCCTCTTTAGCTGCTCACCTGAGAAAGGAGGGCGTTCTACAGGTGGGCCTTAAAAGAACATACGGGTATCAGGATGTGGGGTGGGGAGAAGGGACAGTGGGCGTCCCGTTCTAGCTAGAGGAGATGGCCTGAGGGAAGCTTGGAGGGGTGAGGTCCCGCCGCGTGTGTGGGTGTGTAGTGAGATGAGGCCCCGACTAACGGTGGCTTTCATGTCCCCAGTCCTGACTCTGCCACTGATGAGCTGGATGCCCTGGCACAAGTCGGCCTTTTTGTGCCTCAGTTTCCCTATCTACATGACTTGCCCAGGAGCACCCTGACCTGACTGCAGGTGCTCTCCCAGCCGCTGTGCTTCTCTGGTTGGCTTAGTTCCTCTGACCCACAAAACAATTTTATTTCTAACCCTGGGTGCCTGTGCAGTTGCTAGAGGCCAATTACTGAAGACATTAGATGAAGTTATTTAGGAAACAGAGAACTAGATTTAAGATAAGGAATCCCTGATCCTTTCTGCTTAGGGGAAGCCAAGCCTAGTGACCACAGAGAGGCCTTCACACCTCCGTGAGCTACTGCCGGGAGGGCAGAAAGCTGTGTCACTCCTGCAGTAACACGTGGGCTGAGCGTGCTTGGCTCATGAGAGCCCTGGGTGATTCAGGCATAATCCCTAAGGTGGATGGATCCTGCGTGTTTTCATGGGAAAGTGGGCGACAAGCTTCTGCATAGACCAGGTGGCAAAATCAAGGTTAGATTGAGCTGTCACTGATAGCAATGAAACAGTAATGAATTAGGTATTTGATTGTCCCTACACATTCATATGTCTTTAAGTGTTGCTCTCTTTACCTATCAAAATAGCTGCCCTTAAATGCACAAACCTAACTGCTACAATAACAAGCTTCAGCACAACAACACACTTTAGTAATAAATAGTATTCAGTCTCTATGGATAACTTGCTCGCAGATAGTAACTTGGCTATTTGGACTATGAAGCTTTACCCAAAGGCACCCCGGTCCCTTGGGGACTGCACCTCTTGACCGCAGGCTGCTCCGGCCCATTCAGGCTGCTGTAACAAAAATATACAGACTGGGGGGCTTAGCCAACAGCATTTGTGGCTCACAGTTCTGGAAGCTGGAAGTCCAAGATTAAGCTCAGTGCCTGGTCGGGGGGTCTCCCCAGTCCATAGAACTGTCTTCCCGCCGTGTCCTCACATGGCGGGTGGGGTGAGCAAGCTCTCTGGGGTCTCTTCTTGGGGCACTCATCCCATCCATGAGAGCCCCACCCTCATCACCCCCCCAAAGGCCGCACCTCCAAATACCTCCAAATATCACTGTGAGGGGTAGGGTTTCCACATATGAATTTGGGGGTGGGGGACACAGATGTTTAATCCATAACACAAAGCTGAGACAGTCGGCCATGTCCCGATGTTGCATTTTATACACTCGTTTCCATTATGTGGACATCGTCACTCCAACCTAAACTTACCCAGAGATGGTAAAGATATTTAGCAATGGGTTGGCGGAACATGAGAGAGTGACAAATTCTTCCAGCCAGAACCCTGTTTAATAAAGTATCTTCGAGGGACGGGGCTCTTTCAGCCCTTTGCGACATCTCGTCATAAGAAATTGCGGTTCATCTTCATAGAGCTCCTGGACTGGGAGCTGTCCACCTGAGTGGCCCAGGAAGGCGTGTGATAGCTGAAGGTCAGTCTGGGGGTGAATTACTTCTGTGGTCTTGTTTCACCCGGGGAGTTTATGACTCTGACAAGTAGTAAAGATTTTCATTAGCACTGACCTGAATGCATTATTTTAAAAACCAAAAGACCATTTGTGAAGGTGGTCTGCTTTATTGCTTCGTGACTCTCTTATGATTCATGAACTGAATCATGTTCCGTATCCATCCACCACGACAAGGACACAAAAGGATGGACTCACTCTGTAGGTCACAGTTAAATCTGGGTTCATCATGTATGGAGGGTGTTTGGGGCAACTGTCCTGCATTCTGTTGAAAAACAGACAACCTGTACAGTATTTTACATTTTAATGAGTTTTTTTCAAGTATTTTATTGGGGAACACCCATGGCCCTAATTGCTTTGCTTTCCTGCTACAGTGGCATAGTTGACTCTTTTAAGGAGGGTGCAGCTCACAGTGGCCCATGTGGGGATCGAACCGGCAACCTTGGTGTTATCAGCACCACGCTCTCACCAACCGAGCTAACCCGTCACCCTTAATGATCTTTATTATAAAAATAGTGCGTACTTATTTGAAAAAATTCCAACAGTACAGTAATGAAGACCTTGTTTCAAAAGCCCCCAGAGTCTCCAGCAATCTTCTATCTCCTCCCCTCCAAAAAAACCCCCCAAAAACCAAAAAAAACCCCACTGTTCACAGTTTAGATATATTTCTTGATTTTTTTCTTCTATATAGCCATTAAAAAATACTCATCCTTATACATTCTTTGCCTCCCTTCTGCCCTCCTTCCCTCCCTATCTGTACACCCCGTCCCCCCCACCCCCCCATAGAAATGAGATCCTGTCTTTCACAATGTTCCTCAATTTGCTTTTTTCACTTATCAGTAAATCTAGGACTTTCTTCCCACCCACCTCCTCCCACTCGTCCGTGTCAATACGTACTACGGAAGCACCCCACTCTTTGTAATGGCTGTTAAGCGTTCTGTTGTTTTGTTTTTTTTTTGTTGTTGTTGTTGTTCAAAGTGTTGTAAATTATTCCCCGCCCCCTTCATTTCACCCCCCCAAACTCCTATTGAAAAATATTTGGACCTTTCCAGTGTTTGGCTCTTACAGACAATGAGGAACCTTCATCTTAATTCCAAGCATTTTGAAGCTTCCCGACAGTTGTCCAGCTGACTGCCATTTTCGCCTCCTGTAACATGGAGCCCTTTTGTTCACGCTGTTGTGTGCAGAGCCTCCGTACACAAGACGGCGGTGGGGCCCCTCAGGTGGGCGCCGCGGGAGGCCGCAGCCCCCCGAGTTACCTACAGGAGCTGGACAAGGCCTCCGGGCTCAGGCTGGGACGTTGCAAAGCCTTGAGAAGAACCCATGGAAGTGGGGGTGTCTAGCGAGCTTGAACTCTGCAGTATGACTCACTGCTGGAGCAGCTCATCAGAGAGGAACCTTCTGGGTACCTTGGCTGTGGGGCACAGGGCAGCACCCCAAGCCCTGGAAGGTCTGCGCCGCCCTCAGTGTCACTCCTTGCCCTAACAGGCTGGTGGCCGTCCCTTAGAACGGCAGCACTGGGCGGCCCCTCCCTTCTCCTTCCCCAGTTGCCTGCTCTGGGAAAGAAGGAACGGGGTTCTCAGAAAGGCCCTCAGACCCTCGGCCTGTCCACCTTCCTGCCTCACTTTCCGCATCTCCATGATGGAAAATTATACTTTCCTTGCCTTTGCTAAAAAAATTTTTTTGGAAGTTTAAATTATAATTCCAAACCCGTAGCGTAGGAGTGCGGAAAGACCCCTGTTTCCTTTACCCTCAGCCCCCAGCCCTGCATCACACCAGCAGCTTGGCTCTGCCCTGCCTCACTGCTCTAGGCTTCTACATCAGTATAAACGCTACTTTTTCCTCTCAAAGATAGGATCACGCTGGACACAACTGTACAACTTTTTGTATTTTGTATGTCCAAGACATCTTTAGACATCAGAACATAGAGATGTACAGTCATGTGTCGCTTAATGACGGGGATACGTTCATGCATCATCAGGCCATCTCGACGTTGTGCAAACATCCCAGAGGCACTTACACAAACCCGGACGGTACAGCCTACTGTACACCTGGGCTACGAGCTTGCACAGCGTGTTACCGACTGAATACTACAGACGGTTGTAACATGTTGTGTTACCAGATTACGAGGGCTGCGCCATCAACCAGGTGACAGAAATCTTTCATTTCCGTTATAATCTTACGGGACCACCTTCATCTCAGTGGTCTGTCATTGACCGAAATGTCCTATGTGGCACGTGACTGTTCCTTATTTGTGAGTCACGTCACTTCCATGGCATGTCCGTGCAAGTTTCTTTAACTAGTCCCTTGTAGGGTTGTTTTCAGTCTTGCTCCAGTTGGGCTTAGAGCTGAGAGAAAGACGCCTTCATCCAGAGAGAACAGTTGTCTGTGATTTTTGGTAGCCAGACAGCGTGGACCATCCAAAAGTTTACCCAGTATCTTCAACTGAGCCTGTATTTTCAGCTTCCATTCACATCCCATCTCCTCCCAGGGTTTCTAGTGACGTATATTTGGATGGCTATTCTGTCATTTTCGTGGCTTTGTGTTTGGTTTGGGGTGGGTTTGACTTCTCCATGTCCCTGCAGAAGGTTCTGGAATGTCATGCTCTCTGGGTGTTCTGTGGACCCTTTGAAACTGCCCAGGGTGGGAAACAGGAGAGCCTAAAATCTCAGGGAACGATCACAATTTCTGTGATAACTGTGACCAGCAGCCCTGTCCCTGGCATTGTCACTGCCATCACAGTGGCCTTACTCACTGTGCATGTGACATGACGAGGCAGCCTGCCCTGGCGGACTAACACTGTTGGCCGCCCCTTTCCATTTGCTCCTGACTGAACGTCCCCAGGTTAAATCTTTCAGAGCGCTCCGTTCGCTGCTGCAAAGTCACACTCTGCATTTATCTGAAGGATTTAAAACAGTTTTTTCTGAGCCTGTTGAATTATAAAATTCACTAGAGAGGCTTGTTTAAAAAACAAATGGACCAGATGGTTAAGACGGTAAATTTTATGTTCTGTGTATTTTACACCTCTCCCCCACTCCTGTCCTCCCCCAAACACACACACAAATTTGGAAGAAAAAGCAAATGGACCAGATTCCACTTTGTAGCTATAAAAAACAAAGATGTGCTTTATGTGCAGTGATGGAATAAATGCCAAAACATGTTAAGTGTGTGTGTGTGTGTGGGGGGGTGCAGAATGGTGTCTGTTATGTTGACTTTGGTGTCACGTTTGCCCCCTGCGGTGCTGGACAGTGGGGGGGCTCGGTTTTGTTCAGGGTGCTGTGTGCCATGTTCCCTTGGCATCTCTGGAAATCGTGTCCGACTGGAAGTATATTTGGACCGTGTAAACATACATGATCTTACCGGTAGTTGAAAATTCCATTTGTCGGGTCAGTGTTTTGACCTTGAGATGTTTTCTCGCTGTTAATACCTTGGCAGTTCTAGAAATAACTTTCCCTCTCCCTCTCACCTCTCTCTCTCTTTTTCTCTCTCTCTCCCCCTGCCCTTCCTTTCACCCTTCGAAGTTTTCTTGTTTTACAGACTTCATATTTTTAAAAATATCTTCATTTCTGGGGTGATTCTCAGGAACTATTACTATCAGAAGTCTCTAAATCTCTCTCAATGTGTGTGAGTGTTCGCAGTCCTTCAGACATCCGGTTGTTATTCCTTTAACAATTATGGTGTGCAGTAGAACAGATGCAGGCAGACCAGGGTTTGAGCCCCGGTCCCTGCCACCAGTGCTGGAACCCCCCCCCTCTTTCTTCCTCTCCCCCCACTTCCACCCCCACTCCCCCCGGTTCTGCACTGTATTTCCCATCTGTTGAGTGGGCCCGATGACAGCACTTTTGCACTTTTTCCTCACGTGACCCACGGGAGGGTTCAATGAACGGATCCACATTGAGCCCTCAGCCCAGGCAACTGCGATTTCTATGTTTTCTGTAAAATTTTACCTCTCGCTTTTTTCACTTAATCGCCTAAAGCCGACTTGAGGTTCTCTGAGCTGACCTGCTCAAAGGAGGAAGGAGGAAAAGAGGATGAGATGGGAGGCAACAGCAGTGCCCTCTCAACGGAATGTCACCGGAATGGCCCTCCGCTTCAGTTACAGTTCGCAGAAAGCCTTTTCAGGGCCTGCTGTCAGCGTGGCCTGACGTCGCGTAACTCTCAGGACCAGCCTCCAGCCTCACGTGTGAACAAGAAAGCAGCCCCTGAATTTCTCCGTTCTCACACGTGGACTTTTCCCCTGTCTTGCAGCGGACGCCTTTTTCAAAGCCGCCATTGGCCTCATTCCGGAAGTTCCGAAGATGATAAGTATCGATGGGAAGATGCGGCCGTCGGACTCATTCCTTCTGGAATTCCTCTGCAATTTCTTCTCTACTTTGTTAATAGTCCCGGTATGTCTCCCCAAGAGGGCTGTGGGTGACGTCTTTCTTTGACCTGCTTTGTATGTATCCTGAGCCCCGAAAGTGCAAGGGTGATGTTGGTGACGGGGTTAGAGCTGAATGTCTCAGTGTGACTTCCGTTCACCCTGTGCCCTGCGTGTCGTCGTTGAGGCTGTCTGTATGGTCGGGGGTGTCGCTTCGTGGTTACGGGGGCTCAGGCATCGGCACCAAGATGCCGAGGGCAAAATCCGAGCCCGTCTTCTCCCTTCCCCTGCAGCCTTGGGCAGTTATGGAACCCAGCCCGCCCCCATCCCTGGGTTGTGGTTTCCGCATCCGTACAATGGAAGTATTGACAGTACCTACATGTCAGTGCTGCCGTGATAATTACGTGCGCGCATGTGCAGATTTGGTTAGTACAGAATAAAAGGCGAGGGTGACCCTCTCCTGATGGCAAGTACTGGAAACGAGAGATGGGAGGTCCAAGGGGACATTGCTGGGGTTTCCTGTGGGACGTAAGGGGTGAGCAGTCAGGCGTGGGCTGGAGGGAGTCAGGGCCCACCAGGACCAGCACGAGGGCCCTCACCCTGGCCGGGGCTCTGAACCCAGTATCCAGCTACGCCCTGGGGATCGGGCAGGGCGGCCGTGAATTTCGAGGAGAAAAGAAATGACATCTTTGTTCTTACAAACCTCAGTGACATGTGCCTTTCGCTCCATCATGAATTACAGGCAGCGAGTCCGTGGCAGCCGCGGTAGCTGGGACTCTGTCACCAGTAGCCACAACAGTATGTTCGTATCACATTTCGGGTGTGAAAACTATTTCAGAGGACTTGTTTATGTGCTTCCTTCCTTCAAAAGCACAGTAGTTACGAGGCCCATCTTTAGGTCTGTTTTTAAACGTATTCACTGAGGAACAATAGCTTACAATATAACAAATACATTGGAAAAATATTTTTATATCTATTTTAGGATCATTGGTTTCCTTTGTCGTCTTAGGTATTTTAGTTTCCGCGTAGTGTTCTGGGGCGCCCATCGGCCTTGGCAGGCTGGGACAAGGTCCAGACACAGGACAGGCTGGCTCCCAGCAGAGTGAAATGTCCGCGGGAATTAGGGCTACTTGTTAAAATCCGGGTGTTTGGGGACTTCTCCCAGCTCCCTCCTCAGTTCCGGTGTCGGTGGTCCTAGGACCACACTTTGAGAAAACACCCCTCTGGACTTGGACCATGAAAGTGACTCAGCTCCCATGGGGACAGAGTCCCTTTTTGGGGTGATGAAAATGTTCTAAAGTTGATTGTGGCGATGACTGCACACTTCTGTGAATATTGCTGACCATTGAGTTGTGCACTTTCAGTGGGTGAATCGTATCTCAGTGAGGCTGTGAAGACAAGAGCTTCCCGCTCTCCCAGGTCAGATCTCAAGGTGTCCAGAGAGAGGAGGGGATGGTCAGGGGCCCGGGCTCGACGCTTGACTTGTGTTTTCACATCTCCCTCTCTCCTTTCTGGATAATCTAGCTATTTGTCAAGTGAGGGGACAAAAGGAATCAGGGTTTCTAAAGAGGAAGCCGATCAGTGTCATTGTTCATTGATTACCTGGGATGCATTTCCTCCTGTATATTGTGTTTTCTTTAGGTGAAAAATCATCGGAGCCCTGATGAAAAGCCTTGTGCTTGGCATCAGAAACCTGCGTTTGGTCCTAACCCAGTGACTCGGGAGCCTTATGGCCTTGGGAAGCTTTTGTAACCCCTCAGAGCCTCAGGCTGACGACCCCTAGTTGTCACCTTCCTAAACTGTCATCACAGTGCCCACCTGGCAGGGCTGCTGTGAGGCTGATGGCAGTGAGAGTCATGGAAGCGGTTTGTGAACCAGCTCTGTCCCTGAGGCCACAAACTGATGACCAGTGGGCAGAATCCAGCCCGCAGACATGCTTGCTGGCCACATAATCACGGAAAACATTTGGAATGAATTACCCATATTTAAAAATTGGTAGATCACAGAAAAACCCAGATTTTCTGTTCCTCTTGAAAAAATCAGGTCCTACCATGTGGGTCCATGTTCCCCATCTGGCCAACTGGCCTCAGTTGGGGAGCAGTTGCCCCCTGGAGGGTAGCGGGGGGCTTGCACACTTTCTCCAGTTCCCCTGGGTGCCTCTGGACGCATTAAACCTATTTCTGTTTCCTACCTGGCCCCTGGACATCCTTGGGAATGCCCCCTGGGTTCAACAGATTTTCTTGTTCCTGGTGTCAGTGCTGGGGCTTTTGCCGGGTGGGGTTTACTAACAATAATGAGGTGAAGAACAGCCACAGGTCGTGACTTCTGGCTACAGCTGGCCCTCGAACAACATGAGTTTGAACTTCTAGAGTCCATTTATACGCGGATGTTTTTCATTAAATACACAGTCGGCCCCATATCCCTGGGTTTCACATCTGCGGATTCAGCCAACCCCAGATCCAAACTGTGTTTCTGATCCGCCGCTGGGAACCGCGGACGCAAAGGACCAACTGTATCCATCATTCTATGCTGTTTTATTTAAGGGACCTTGGGTCTTTGTGTCCGTGGGGGGGGTCTTGGAACCCATCCCCCAAGGATGCCGGGGGACTGGAGTTAGGTTTTGGGGAATCAGAAATTACATGCGGATTTTCGACTGTGCCATTTGCCAGTATTCCTCTCTAGGAACCCTCCCCCCAGCCCTGCAAGGTGGGGGTCGTTGCGCCTTTTTCCCTTCAGGAAGCCTAGAGCTGCAGAGGCCGTGCTGCTTGCCCGGGTCACAGCTGATGAGCAGCCGTGTCCCCCATCCTTTCCTGAGCTTCCTCCCAGCCCCGCCCCCGCCCCCCACATTCTGGCTCCTGCTCGAAGGACTTTATTGTTTATTTAACCCACACTTAACATGCCTCTTGCAGTGAGCCCGCCAGCAGTTCTCAAATACTCACCCCCGGCAAGCCTGTTATCATCCTCATTTCGCAGAAGCAGACCCTGGCACAGAGAGGGGAACTGACTCACCCAGGGTCACCAGCTAGTAAGTGGCTGCGACAGAACTCAAAGCCAGGATGCCTGGCTCAGCGCTGTCTCCTCTGCCTCTCATCTTAGCTCTCCTGGGAAGCTCGGCATCTCTAGGGTATTGCCTCTTCTCCCGAGTCGTGACATCTGTTTAGTAGAAGGACTTGTGCTGATGCTGCAAATGGCGGAGCCAGGGCCTGTCTGTCCATCTGGGAGGGAGGCCCGAGTCCCTTCCAGCAGCCCCTTGGGTCTCGTTTGCATTTGCTCGCTTGTCAGAGGCAGCCTTGGCAGGGACACCAGGAGGACCTTTCCCACTTGAATTGCCAACTGAATCCAGGACCTTTTTTTTTTTTAAATCTGTGTTTGCCTTCAGTTGCTGGCACTGAGCCATCCAAGTACAATTAAAAAAATATGTGACAGCCATGGAAGCGTGACTGTGATGTGGAAAGATTTTCCTCGCACAGAAGGTTGGAGATAACGTCTCGTCTCTTGGGTTATGAGCAGAAGCTCACAGACATGGCTTGCCTGCAGACCGTCTCATCTTGGCTCCCCTCCTTCCTTCCACCTTTTGAAGGTGTGTCAAACGGTCTCCCGCAGTAGTCACGGCAGTTTGTGTTGAAATTCAGTTACTGGAACATTCATTCAGGTTGTTGTCTCCTTCCAAGGCAGACCCTGAAATAAAAGGTATTGTCGAACATCCACACAGCAGAACAATATAGAAACAGCTGTCAGCCAAGAAAGGCAGCAGTGAGCTGCCAGCTGAGATGGGCCCTGTAGGCAGTGGGCACTTGTGATGCCGTCCGTCTGAGGCCCCCAGGCTTTGGGACATCACGTGTCCTCTTGCTGACAGAACAGCAGTTCCATGGATGTTGACAGCTGTACAAACCACATCTCCCCCTCCCCCGCCATGCTCACCCGCTGGAAGTGTTTGTTACGCTGTAATGCACCCACTGGGTTTGCCACCTGCTTGCGCCCACCACCGCGGTTCCAGCACTTGTCCGTCTCCGGGCCGCTTTCAGAATAGCTGACGCCGTGTATGCCATCCCTTTAGCTGGCTCCATGGGCAGAGGCGCGCCTAGTTCATCTGTACAGGGGCCGTGTAGATTGAGGCAGTGTTGGCTCTGGCGCCAGGCTGCCAGGGCTCAAGCCCCAGTTCCCACAGACATCATCATGGTGGCCCTGGACCACATACCGTCTCTGGCCCAGCTCCCGTCTGTGAAATGGGGGGGGGGGGCGTCATAATGGTATATTCCTGGAACGTAGAAAAGCTTCAGCAGCTATGATAGTTACCATACATGTTAGCTACGGTTGCTGTTTTTATAGCTACTTCCGTTCCTGGTACTCAGGGAGTGTAGAAGGCACTCAAGAAATGTGACCCATTCAACAGTATTTACCGAGTGCCTACCATGTACCCAGCACTGTTCTAGGACCAGGGACGGGGCACCCTTCAGTGTGTCCCCGGCAGTCCTGGCAGTGTGCTGCTGGCAGACACGTCAGTAAGGTGCCCATGTCCTGGAGGTTCCAGGCCTGGGTGAGAGAGAGAAACAGCTAAACCAAGACACGTTACTGGGCACTTCATTGAAGGAATGAACACCATCGCTTCGGATGGTGAGAACGGCTCGGAAACACGACGGGATGATTTGGGATAGAGAGAGACTCGGGCGGGGCGGGGGCTCTGGGTGACCAGGGAAGGCCTCACTGTTGATGTAACATGTATGCTGAGATCTAGGCTCCAAGGAGCCATCTGCCTTTGAGAATGTCTTGCAGATTAAAACCTCCAGCGGAGGGAACAGTAGGCTGGAGGCCAGAACGCCCTTGGCACGAGCTGCCCCCCTGTAGCATCCTCTGCCCTTGCGTCTGACCTGTATGGGAGCCTGGCCTCTGGAGGCTGCCTCACCTGGGCTTCTTCCTTCTGGCTTCAACTCAGCCAGAGGGAGGTCCCGGCAGCAGGTGGGAGGGCAGGAGAGTGAGGTTGGGGTATATCCACCATGCTCGCTGGGCCATGGTTCGGCAATGGCTTTGTTCCTGCACCCCAGGCCACCGCTCCTGCCAGGTGGCCTCCTCCATCTGCAGGTTCCACTAACGTGACTCCCCGTGTGCCTTCAGCCCGAGGGTGGTAACGGCTTCCTGCTGTTGCCAGGGGCTGGGTGCCTCCCCTTTTCCTCACTAGTTCCCTTCACCCTGCGCGCATCTTTATAAGTCATCCTTCATTTGTCCATGCTCATCTAAATTTAACCCTTTGAGATGCCCTGTGTGTCCTGGCAGGACCCTGAGTGGTCCAGCTGGTCCCAGGAGCTGGAAAGGTGTGGCTAGAGTGAGGGGCACGGTGACCAGCCCGGGCAGGGAGGTGACAGCAGGAGCTGGACATGTACTCCCCATGGGAGAAGTCTCTGGAGAGCGTGAAACAGGAGAGCCACAGAACCCAGCATGCCTCTTTGGAACTGAATTGAAGCTGCAGACTTTTTTGCACCCATCACTTTTTCCGTTCAGTTCAGCATCTGAGAAACACCCTTATGCGCGCTCTGACTGCCTCGGGATGTTCCTCTCTGGAGAGAGCCCTCAATGTAGGTGTTGATGCTGTTAAACGCCCTGACGAGCGAGGCTGTTTTTAAGGTCGGTGCCCCATAGCGACAGTGATCATTCGGGGAGGTTACCTGAAGTAGGTGGCGTCCGCCATTCATCTGCTACGAGCCCAGCAACTCGCTTTTGGAGTTGGAGGATTGGGGCTTTTGACTGCTGTGCACATGAGAACAGGGTTGGAGTTCTGGAAACAGGCCATTAAGCTGACAGGACACTTTGCTTTCTCATTCCTCGGACCCAAAAGGGGAAGCTCTCAAAGCTCATCTCCGCAGGCTGGAGCATGTGGATGCGTGGGTTGGCGACGTTTTTAACATTTTTCTCAGTATTGTTTAACCATCGCTGGCACTTTACTTTCTCCACAGCTGCTAAAGGGTGGGACCTGGGTTTCTGTCTTGATTTTTCTTTTTCTTTTTTTACCTCTTGCTTCATATCTAGGATTGTTTATCCTTTTTTGGTTCTCCACTAGGATCACCCTGAACACGGGGTCCTGTTTCTTGTTCGAGAGCTTCTCAATGTGATCCAGGACTACACCTGGGAGGACAACAGTGATGACAAAATCCGCATCTACACCTGCGTCCTGCACCTCCTGTCTGCCATGAGTCAGGAGACCTACCTCTACCACGTAGACAAAGGTAGGCGGGCCCCTCCCGCCAGACAGACCACTGTGCTTGAATTTCATCTACGTCAAGTGACGTGTGTTCAATCCCTTATTGAACCCACCTTGTGTCACCCACCGTGAACTAGCCCAGGATCTCACTACATTTGCCCAGGGTAAGAATTCCCCGGGGCAACTCTTAAAATACCGATTCCTGAGCCCCACCTGCCCTTCTGACTTAGACTCCCCAGGAAGAGGCCTGAGACTCTGCATCTTTCACAAGCGTCAGATGAGCTCGGAGAAGCCCTCTTTTAGATAGGTGTTGTCTTTGGTGAGCTGCAGAATTACCTAGAACAATGGTTATGTACACATGAGCGTGAGCTTCATCCCAGGCCTGTTCCTAACCTCAGTCTCAGGCGGGTCCCCACTCTGGGTGTTTTTCTCGTTACTTCAAGTGACGCTGAGGCTCAGCAAGCCCCTAGCTCAGCTGCTCGGGAGGAAGGAGTTGGCCCTGGTCCGTGTGCTATCAGCCACTTTGAATGTGCTGCCCCGAGTTTGCACGCATCCTCCTCCTGCCCTGGGTGTAACATGGGACAGTCCCCACTCCAGACCTCTGTGCGCTGAGCCTATGCGTCCTCCTGCTCATCAGACCCTCAGCTCCAAGCTTTGGTTTCCAAAAAAATGGCCCTATTGTTTAAAAGTGCTTCGGCCAGTAGTTGTTTACTTTAGGGTTTAAGCAAGTGTCTCTACTTTTGCAAGTTCCATGGGACAAATTTGCAGTGGTGAGGGATGGCCTTCTGCCTTAACTCTCGGAGGTTTTCTCTAGCTGAGATCTGGAGGCTGATGGTAAAGATGTAACTTAGGCCGGTTAATGCAGGTGATGACGGCTCACACTACCTGAGTTCCTCCTGTGTGCCAGGCACTGCACCAGACTCCAGGGGCCTCTTTCTCCTTTAATCCTCATAGCACTGCGATAGGACGGGCATCCGTGTCTCCACTTTACATGCCACCAAGGGGGAGTCTCAGGACAACGTGGTTTGCAAACCATGTGGTCTCAAGGGCTGAGGGCCAGTTAGTAATGGAAGTGCAATTCAGATCCAGACCTGTGGGATATACATCAGGCTGCATCCTTGATGACAAAACGACGTTTTAGTTCAGTATAACATACAGTGTACATGTATAACAAACTGTGAAGCTCAGTGCATTTTCCCAAAGTGAACACACCCAGGTGACTACCACCCAGATCAAGAAATTGAACAGCGCTGATTCCCCAGAAGTCCCCCACAGGCTCCCTTCCAATCAGCACTGCTCTCCGACTGCTCGTGTTACAGATCAGTTCCTGGCTTTGATGTAAATGGACGCATTTAGCGAGCATTGTTCGGTGTCTGGCTTCTTTCCCTCAGTATTCTGTCTGTGATTCTTCTGCAGTGTCGTGTGTAGCTGTAGTCACCCTTTTGCACTGCTGTATAGTATTCCATTGTGTGGACACACCAGGATTCAGTCATTCCCTTATGGACGACCATTTGCATGTTTCCAGTTCCGTTTCCGGCTGGGATGAATAGTGCTGCTATGGCTGGTCCTGAACATGTCACTTGGTGTGCATTTATGTTGGGTACGCACACCCAGGGGCGGAATTGCTGGCTCACAGGATTTGCTTAGTTCAGCTTTGGTAGGTATTGCATTACTTTTCCGACATGGTTACACCAGTTGCCACTCCCACTGGGCATGAGTGAGGGTTTCCATTGGTTCTCTTGGTGTGCTCAGCCTTTTTCATTTTGGCTGTTCTAATGAGCATAATTTGCATTTCCCTGATGGCTAATGAGATGGAGCTAATGAGTTTTCCTGAACTTGTTGGCATTGTTTTTTAATTTTTTTAAATGGGGAGCAGCCATGGTCACTGGTTACACATTGCTTTCATGCTACAATGGCATGGTTGACTCTTTTATGGAGGGCGCAGCTCACAGTGGCCCATGCAGGGATCGAACCGGCAACCTTGGTGTTATCAACACCACGCTCTAACCAATTGAGCTAACCGGTCACCCCTGCTGGCATCCTTATTTCCTCTTTTGTGAAGGGCATGTTGACAACCAGACACTGACGTGGAAGGGGGTCTAAACCCACGGCCCTGTCAGGAGCAAGCCCCGTCCTCTCTCCTGTTCCTCCTCTGCCTACACCTCCCCCCTAGGGCAGGCTGTAGGGGCAGGAGTGCCGCTGAGGGAACGTGGCTGTTTGTGTTCCGTAGGCGGGACTCTAGTTTTCTGGTGGTGAGGACGGAAAGATGGGTTTCCTTTTCCTCCTCCTTGGCCCAGCTGCGTTTACTTTGGATGCACACTTGTGACCGGACAGTTGTCTTAGCAGGAGAGAGTCCGGGGGCTGCAGGCGGCTTTGCAGGGGCTGGGGTTCCATTTTCCCACCCTGTTCCCACTCTGGGCGGCCTTTTAGACAGTGATGACATGGGTCAGGACTTCTGAAAAACTCGGGTCAAATATTTCTTGCATTTACGAAGGATGCCTTGGCTGCTCTCTTCCCGGACTAATAAATAGAGACGGTTCTGGAATTGCCTGGAGCGAGAACTCCACTGCTTACATGCACATGTGTTTGATGTGGAAGGAGGAATATTGCTGGATGCCGAGTGTTTATTTAATATACAGACAGAGTATCTGCAATGGGAAGAGGGTGCCCAGGATGCCACTGTGAAGCCGGAGGAGTCCCTTCACCGCCCCATGCCACCTGCCAGGCCCTTGAAGCATTCGGGGGTGTGACCCCAGGGCCAGACAGATGCAGAGGTTGTGGGCTATTTTTAGTGGCTGTTGACTGGGGATACCATCTCTCCCGTCCTGAGCACCACGTCTGACTCAGGCTCCCCCTACACTCCGGCCTGACCACTTTCTCTAATTCTCTTAATTCACCGTTTCCTCCCTCCGTCACCACCGAGGGTTACGAGGCACACTCATTTCCCCAATTTTTGTCGTTTTCTCTGGTGAATTCACCCTGCCAGGCTCAGCCTGGATCTTTCTAATCCCAGAATTTCATCCCGTGTCTCGATGTGAGGACACTGTAACCCCTGTACCCCCCTCCTGACATTCGGCACACGCTACTGAGCCTGCCTGTTTGCTCGTCTGCCTCTCCTGACAGACTGTGAGTGCTGGGAGGGCTGGACCGGTCGGCCTTGGACCAGTCGGCCTTGGTCCCCTCTGGGTCCCCACACCCAGCCCAGAGCCTGGCGCACAGCAGGCCCCACCCAGTAGGTGCTGTGTGTGTGTGTGGTCGAGGGAGCGGCTAAGAGAGCACACACAGACGTAGCAAAACGGCTGTCAACTGGTGGTCCTAGGGGAGAGGTAGGCATCCAGGGGACTGTGTTTCCTACTCTTCTGTAGCCTTGACATTTTTCAAAGTAACAAGCTGGGCCAAGAAATGCACAGCAAATTATATTCCTGCAGATAAGCCAAACTGAACCTATTGTACTACAGATGTCCCCAGACCACACCCTCCTGAGGCACCGTCATGGCCTCTGGTTCATCAGATGTCACCACAGCTGGGACAGTGGCCCGTCAGATCAGAAGCAGCAAGGACCCTTTCCCTCTTCTCGGTCCCTTAGCGCCGTGGGTGCTCCAGGGGTTTCTCTGTGGGCCTGTGGGTTCTCCCCTGATTGGCCTCTCAGAGCTTTGCTTGTTCACCCCAGGTTGAAATGACGGTGCTCCACCACGGACAAGTCGGCGCTTGGGTGCTGGGATGAAAGCAGCTTTTAAAAGGGATCTGGAGAGAAAAGGGAGTGAGTTCACATAGACATGGAGGGAAAGAACGGACTCTAATCAGGGCTGTGGTGTCTCTGTGGATCTGGCAACAGCCCGGTCCAGCACTCCCTCCCGCAACAGAGGAAACACCTGAAGAGTCCCCAGCAGGGACTGATTAAATGCACTATGGTCTGTCGTACAATGGGACGCTGCTCGGCCGTGAAACAGAACAGCAGATCTGTATATGCCGATAGGAAAATAGCTGCGAGTGTGTCAAGTGCAGAGCAGCGCACGTGTGGTCTCTCTCCCCTTACCCAGAGTAGGTCATGCTCTGTGTGCAGGTCAGCTGATAGGAAGGAGGAAAAGAGTTCAGCTCAGGCAGTCCTTACTGGGCGTACTCTAGGCAGTGGTTGTCACAGGAGGTGCCCAGGCAGAGTGGGGGTTTTTCAATGGCAAGAGACGTGGTCAGGGATTCAAGTTCACTAGCAGAGAGAACTTTACGGTCCGTCTGAAGAGGGGTGACCAGGCAGGCAGTGAGGTGCAGTGATTGGCAGTTTAGGCTTTGGAATGGGACTTCCTGGGTTTGAATCCTAGCTGGGACCACCTCCTAGCCTCAGTTTCCCCATTTGTCAGAGGGAGACGTTACTATCGTCTCTTTGTGCTGGTTCTGAGGACTTGCAGTAATGTGTGGACAGCACTTCGTCCAGTGGTCAGGCTTGGCGGCCGCTCTGATGGTCACTGTGATTCTGGTTGTCCCCTCCACCCGTGGGCCAGAGGGGACATGACTGTCCACACCCTGGTCTCTAGCTCTGACTGTCCAGAAACCCAGGGCTTTTCTCTGTGATCCCAAAGGCCCCCAAGCCCAGTGGGAAACTTTGGCTGTTTCCATGTGCTGTACATCGACTTGCTGCCACGCGGCTGCCTCTCCCCAGCCAGGACGGCCCGGGGAACGTCTCACAGCTCTGGTTTCTTCCATCAGTCGACTCCAATGACAGCCTGTATGGGGGAGACTCCAAGTTTCTGGCTGAAAACAACAAGCTGTGCGAGACGGTGATGGCGCAGATCCTGGAGCACCTGAAGACCCTGGCCAAGGATGAGGTAGGTGCCCTCTGCCGGCCCCCACGCCCGCTGCTGGCTCCGAACGCATGCGTTCCCAGGGTGGTTGGACGTTGGTTCTTTCTGGAGTGAGGGGTGTGTTCTCGTGCAGACAGTTTGTCGAGTGCTGTGCGGCCCTGGCCCCTGCTTTCTGTCTGCAGTGTGCCTCCCCAGTGCCCCGGCCATCTCCGGCATCCCCGGGCTCCTAAGACTATAATGCAGATGAAAAACTCGGATCTCCTAGTGACACCGCAGCCATCATCACATCACAGCACAAGACATCACTCACGTGTTTTGTGGTGATGCTGGTGCAAACAAACCTACTGCGTTGCCTGTCGTATGAAACCACCGTATACCGTGTTTTTAGGTACCTTTTCTATGTTCAGATAGGCTCACCACTGTGTGACAACTGCCTCCATAACGTGCTGTCCAGGTTTGTAGCCCAGGAGCAATAGGCCATGTCATCGAGCCCAGGCATGTGGAAGGCCCCACCTTGTAGCTTTGTGTATGTGACCCCATGATGTTCATACGACAACAATGAAACCGCCTGACGACATAGTTCTCAGAATGTATCCCCGTCGTTCAGAGACCTGATTGTACCTGGTCTCCCCCCAGTTATGTCGACCATACCATGTTCTGCAGCTTCATGCAAACATGTGGGCGACAGCTGGACCCAGTGGCCCCGTGCCAGGCTGGCGGAGATGGTTGGTGGTTCACAGTGTGTTAAGGTGGGTTCCTGTTGTCTTGTCGCCGTGGGAGAGGTGGGCAGTCTCCTTTTCTCTGCGACCTTCCTGGGGGTTCCCTGGTGTCGCCTGGCTTCATTCTGGCCTTGCTTGTCACCGCTCCGAGCTGTCTGTTTGGAGCTTGGAGCAGTTTGATTTCTATATTCCCCTGACGGCTTGTTCCTGATCGCATCCTGACAGGTCCTGTTTTCCCTCACCGCCCACCCCTCATTCCCTTTCCTAAACCCCAGACAGATTTCAGCCTGCTCGGTTCCCAGCGGCCTCCCCGTCCTCGCTGAGCCCTCCGCCCGTTCCTAGGTTCTGCTCCTACGCCCCCACCCCACCAAACCCTTTGAAGACAAAGACAGATCAAGCTGGATTTGAGGTTTAATTCTTACTCATTTCCAGAACTGCAGAAAATACCACCGCTGCCCTAAACCCCGTCCGCACCCTACCAAAAACCGCAGGAATGTTGTATATGTGTGTATACACACGTATGACGTATATGTGTGCCTGGGTCCCATTCTCCCCGGGTTATTCAGGGAGGTGCTAGAGAATGGCATTTTTCTCTGGACTCCATCCCCTGGCGGCCTCTGCCAAGGTCATGGGCACTGCCCGAAGGTCCAGCCTCAGGGTTAGCAGGCCAAAGGGCAGGGGAAAAGTTCAGCTGCCCTGGCCCCCGAGTGTCTTATGGTGCCCTCTCTAGGGAGGATATGTGGGTGTGTCCCCCTGACCTTGGGGACCCCGCTGGGGTCCTTCATGCATGAGGGCACTTGGCTGTCAGCGGAAGGAGCGGCACAGAACCCCAACTTCTTCATGAACTGGTTTATCAAACCATGAGTATTAGAAGAGGCGCCCCACCTCCCAACTGAAAGGTCTTTTTCAAACACATGCAAACTCTCCGTCAGGGTTAGACCCAGCGTTTCTGTCTTTGTGTAGTTTGTTTTCAGGACGTTCTACCCTGCAGGACACGGGAGGCCCTTCCCTTCAGCCTGGATTTGATCCACTAATTAGATCCCCCTCTGTCCCGCTGCTTGAGAAATTCTTAGTGCCCTTCCCTGAGGCTTCAAACCATCGGCTCTGGCTCCAGCTTCTTGCCCAGAGACCTCGCAGAGCAGCGCTGTGTGTCTGACAAGTTGTACCCAAGAAACACTTGCCACGTGGTTTGAAAATACCTGTCTCCACTGATGTGCCAGGCTGAGTCTCATCCCAAGTGGCCATCTGCAGCATCAGGGACGTTCACTGAAAATGTCGGTCCATAAGAGCATTTAGTAGAAAAACACGGGTGAGCCGCACTAAAATGGACTGTGTCGCCCTTCACTGTAGCCACGCGCTCTGAAACTCACAGGTGACACGGCGTGGCAGGGGCCTCGCGTGGAATCCTCTAGTCTGTGCTCGGGAAGAACGGGTCAGATTTCTCTCTACTCGGTGGCGAGGCCCCAGTGCTGATGTTGGTCCTGAGTGTCTCGGCCCTGGTAGCAGCCCTGCCCCCAGAACTGTCCTTCAAATCTGTGAGAAGGAGCCAGCCTTCTCTTGTGAATTGGGCTGTTTAGGGTAAAATTCTTTCTGAGAAGATACGGAATGGAAAAATACTCAGATATTGTCTTGCTGGACTTGAAAAAGATCTCTCCTTCGGTGCAGTGTAGTTGAAGGGCCTCTCTCAGGGGATACCCTATAGGTGGATTTGCAATAGAATTTTTTTGGGATTGGTCCTCTAGACCCAAGCAGAAAATGGGGCCCGCATGGTCTCCAGGCATCAGACGTCCGGTTTAAAAGGTGAGCAGAGTGGGCTGGCACCTACTGCATGGTGATCTCTGCCCAGGATCCCGGTGGGGCAGGACTGGGACCAGAGCCGACAGTGCCAGCCTCTCACTGAGTCTGTGCCCCGTAAGTGCCACCTCCTCTCCCTGCCATGGCTCAGACTCACACAGCATGGCCCCACTCCTTGATGGAGATGCTGTGCAGTCAGCTCCGCTGCGTCTGTGACTGTCGCCTGGTCCAGGCCGTTGCCGTTGCCGAGGCAGGCTCAGTTTAGGGGGCCTGAGTCTCTTGTCACTCAGCCACCCTCACCCAACTGTGTTCGAAGCTGCTCCTTGGCAGTTTATTGTGGTGTTTCTTTCCACACTAAAAGATTATATTTTTTAATTAATTTATTTTCCAATTAGAGCTGACATACATTAGTTTCAGGTATACAACATAGTGATTGGACATTTATATAACTTATGACGTGATCACCCCCAATAAGTCTAGTACACATCAGACACCATACAGTTATTACATTATTGACTATATTCCCTATGCTGTCCTTTCCATATCTGTGACTATTTTGTAACTATCAATTTGTACTTCTTAATCCCTTTAACTTTATCACCCCATTCCCCCAACTCCGCTCCCATCTGGCAACCATCAATTTGTTCTCTGTATCTGTGAGTTTGTTTGTTCATTTGTTTTATAGATTCGACATAAGTGAAATCATATGGTATTTGTTTGTCTGTATTTGGCTTATTTCACTTAGCATAATACCTTTCAGGTTCATCCACGTTGTCGCAAATGGCAAGATTTCATTCTTTTTTATGGCAGAGCGATACTCCATTGTATCTATGCACCACCTCTTCCTTATCCAATCATCTATTGATGGATACTTGGGTTGCTTCCATATCTTAGCTATTGTAAATAATGCAGTGAACATAGGGGTACATTTTTTAAAATTAGTGTTTTCCATGCCTTTGGTTAAATACCCAGAAGTGGGTTGGGTTGCTGGGTCATGTGGTAGTTGTATTTTTAATTTTTTGAGGCGCCTCCATACTGTTTTCCATAGGGGCTGCACCAATTTCCAATCCCATCAGCAGTGCACAAGGGTTCCCTTTTCTCTACATCCTCGCCCACACTTGTTTGTTGACTTATTGATGATGACCATTCTGACAGGAATAAGGTGATATCTCATTGTGGGTTTAACTTACATTTCTCTGATGATTAGTGTCATTGAACATCTTTTCATACGTCTACTGGCCATTTATATGTCCTCTTTGGAGAAATGTCTTTTCAGATCCTCTGCCCATTTTTAATTGGATTATTTGTTTTTTTTGGCATTGAGTTGTAGGAGTTCTTTATAAATTTTGGATATTAACCTCTTATTGGATGTATCATTGGAGACTATCTTCATCCATTCAGTAGGATGTCTTTTCGTTCTGGTGGTGATTTCTCTTGCTGTGCAAAAACCTTTTAGTTTGATGTAGTCCCATTTGTTTATTATTTTTGTTTCCCTTGCCTGAGGATATATTATCATAAAAAATATTACTAAGAGCAGTGTCAGAGAGTTTACTGCCTATGTTTTCTCCTAGTTTTATGGTTTTGGGTCTTAAGCCTTTAATCCATGTTGAGTTTATTTTTGTATATGGTGTGAGAAATTGGTCTGGTTTCTTTCCTTTTTTTGCATATATCTGTCCAGTTTCCCCAGAACCATTTATTGAAGAGACTGTCTTTACCTCTTTGTATAGTCTTGCCTCCTTTGTCATAGATTGACCATATAGGCGTGGGTTTATTTCTAGACTGTATTCTGTTCCATTGATCTATGTGTCTTGTTTTTATGCCAATACCATGCTGTTTTGATTAGTATGGCCTTGTAGTATCATTAGATACCAAGGTAGGGTGATACCTCCAACTTTGTTCTTCTTTCTCAAAATTGCTGTGGCTCTTCGGGGTCTTTTGTGGTTCCATATAAATTTTAGGATTACTTTAGTTCTGTGAAGAATCCCATTGGTATTTTGATAGGGATTGCATTGAATCTGCAGATTGCTTTGGGTAATGTGGACATTTTAACGATGTTAATTCTTTCTGTCCACGAGCACAGTGTATGCTTTCATTTGTTTGCATCTTCAATTTCCTTCTCAATATCTTATAGTTTTCCAAGTACAGATCTTTCACCTCCTTGGTTAAATTTATTTTTAGGTATTTTATTCTTTTTGAAGTAAATTTTGTATCCTGCTACATTACTGAATTCATCTATTAGTTCTAATAGTTTCTTGGTGGAATCTTGACCTGTTGTATGGTGTCATCTACAAAGACTAACAGTTCTACTCCTTTGTTTCCAAAGCCAAGGGGCTTTACCTACGTCATCTCATTCGATTCTCACGTACCCTCTGAGCCATTAGCTCACTGTCCTACAGATGAAGAAGCTGGCACTCAGGAGGGTGAGCAGCTTGCGCTCCCAAAGATGCATGGTGGGGCTGGCATTTGAACCCAGGCCCACGTCAACAGTGGGCCGGGCCTGAGCCCCAGTGCCCGACAGAACCCTCTTTTTTCTGTTTCAGGCCCTAAAGCGCCAGAGTCTGTTGGGCCTTTCCTTCTTTAACAGCATCTTGGCCCATGGGGATCTGCGTAACAACAGGCTCAATCAGCTCTCGGTCAACCTGTGGCATCTGGCCCAGAGGCATGGCTGCGCGGACTCCAGGACCATGGTAAGACACTTCGAGGGCCCTGCACCAAGCCCCAGAAACATGGGGGTCATGACAAGCAATGCAAGCCTCCTGGCCAGTCACAGCTGCAGTCAGCACAGCATGGGGCCAGGCCATCTAATGCCGCTTCCAGAAAAGGGCCAGGCCCACGAGTTTTCCAGGGTCACTTCTTTGTGCTACAAAGTATAGTATTAAAAGTTGATTCCCTCTGCGTAGAAACCACACATATTAAAAGATGATTCATGCCTGGTCACGTCCAAATTTGATTTTAAAGGCAATTTGTAATCTAAGACGTTTTAAAGACTTTGCTTGTTTCTTCTCCCCTTATCCTTCAAAAGACTTTACTTGTTTGTTCTCTGCTAACAAGATCACGGTATGGCTGATTTATTACAGCCTTGGGTTCCAAGGATAGAGAATTACAGACCAGAAAGAGATGGCTCATTCTTTTTCCTCCTAGGTGAAAACCCTGGAATACATCAAGAAGCGAAGCAAACAACCAGATATGGGTCACCTGACTGAGCTGGCCCTCAGGCTCCCTCTGCAAACGAGGACCTGATGCTGGGAACCGTCCCCAGGAGCTCGGGTGCCAAGTCCAGAAAGCCCTGCTTTTTTACATTTATTTTTACACATATACCATTGGTTTAAGCTTTGGCCTCCACCCGGATTATCCTGACTGTGAAGAAGTGGGAATTGTCAGAGCATTAAAGTCCAGTCCTGTTCACCAAGCAGCAGAGCCGAGTCACACCTTTATTTGCGGTAGGTGTCTTTCACTGGAAAAAGAACCGTGCAAAGCAGTCCATTCTTTAAAAGCTACTGTCTTCCTATCCCTATTTTGAGGGTCTCAAGTCTGGCTTGCTAAACCACCTTGGAGGATTTAGAAAAGGCAGATGGCTCAATTAATTCCTTTTTCTATTAAAAAGCAGCTCTTGATTGGACTTACAACATATCCTGTGACAGAATCATCACAAAGAGAACATATCCTGTAATGGAATAAACCCTCTGAAGGAGTATTTACGTTCACGGCCGTTCATTTAATTACTTCTGACTCTCTTCACCCAGAAGAAAGAGAATGTGTCTAAACATATTGCCTGCTTTGCGTGGCAGCCATAACTAAACAGCATGGGATTCCATCTACTTTTCTCACCACCAGTTTGACGGGAATCTGATTTTGTTACCACTGATGAGCTTCCACTGACATTTTATTCTGAATCAGTAAGAACATTAATAGCGATTGGTGGGGACTCCAGCCTAGAACCCTTTGTTCAGGAAAATGTCTCCCAAGTTATAGATTAAGTGTCCCCAAACTATTGTACTTTTGGAAGGTACGCAGTGGACAGAGATTACATCACTATCAGAGATTTCATCTCTGTCTACTGTGTGAAATGCATGATTACAGTTCACACGGTTAATCTCAGTAAAAGTGCCTAAGATAATTTTTGAAGAGAAATTTGTATGGACTAATGTTTGAACCGGATAGTTTAGGACCAAAAATGTGCTATAGCTTTTCTGGCCAACTTAAGTGACATCCCCCCACCCTAGGAATTCTGTTGAGAAAATGGCCTCCATTAACGAGTGGCAGGTAGCGAAGGCTGTCCCTTTACTAAAAATATACAGAAATTCAGAGAGCATCGTGGTGTGGCTCAGAGATATTCTCAAGTGGCCTTTATTTCACAAAATTATTTCCAATACCATTTTTACTGTATCATACTGTTTAAATGAAAAAAAAAACAAAAATTGGCAATTTCATAAATGATGTGCTTTAAAAAGTATTTCTTCTACGTTGAGGCTGTATACATCGGATGGCATTAGTTCCCAAGCCTGAGTCAGTGTATTCCTAACACTCAATACATTCATCTGAATTTGGACTTTCATATTAGGTTGGGTATAGACACCAAAGGAGCTTCTGCGACATGTCACCTGGCCCGGCAGAGGCTCAGATTTTCATTCACTTGTGTGGTTTTTCCAACCCAATTATGAAAGCAATTTGCCCGTCTGAAAACCTACATGGGACGAAACCTATTCTCATCACAAAGGATGGGATGGAACAATAAAAAAATCCAAGAATTTTAGTAAATAAGGTAAAATTGAGGAAAAGTTCTGCATAAGACTTGTATTTGTTTTCTATTGCTGCTTTAACAAAGTACCACAAACTTAGTGGCTTAAAACTACATAATTTTATCACTTTGTAGTTCTACTGGCCAGAGGTGGAGCTGGCCGCATCTTCGGAATGAAGGTGTTGGCAGGGCTGCTCCCTTCTGGAGGCTCTGTTTTCAGGCCTCGTCCAGCTCCTAGAGGCTGCCTGCATTCCTCGGCTTGTGGTCCCTTCTTCCACCCTCAAAACCAGCGACGGCCTGTGGAGTCTTTCTTACAAATCTCAACCCTTGTCTCCCTCTTGCACATTAAAGGCCCCTTGTGATTCGACTGGGCCCACCCAGATAACCTAGGACCTTATTTCAGGGCAGATGATTAGCACCTTTAACTCCACCTGCTACCTTAAACACCCTTTTGTTTTGTATCCTAATATATTTACAGGTTCCGGTGATCAGGACACGGACATCTCTGGGGGGGCATTCTGCCAATCACAAACCTGAACAGTTGTAAGTTCACACAGCTGAATGCACAATCTATTTTAGGGGAGAACCGTGTCTCTTTGGTCTGGTTGTGGAAAGGTGCCCTCAGGGTAGGGCCGAGTGGACTGAGGCAGAAACAGCAGGAATCACCCCATGAAATAAAGTGGTTACGAATCACGAGGTGTGGGGGACAGCTGGATAAGGGCAATCGTAAGGAGGGAAGGATCTTGCCATAGGAGGAGGGTCTGTCAGTGAGAAATGCCAAAGGACAGCAAGTCTGAGAACGGGGCTGTGAAACATCCAGCTCAGACCTCCCTTGCCCATCTCCCCAGATCTGAGTAAAAATCCCAAACCTCCTTGTTGCAATGGAGAGAGGCTGTGTTCTACAGGGAGTCAAGACTGAAGGATAACATGGAAATCACACCAAATAGACTTGCAGACAGGCTAAGGAGGGCGCCAGGTACGAGGCAGAGGAGCAGGGGCAGGGGCGGCTCAAGGCAACATGGTGAGATTTGCAGAGGACAGACACTCGGCTGTCACCAGAAGCTCAGACAGGAAGGCCTCCCAGGACTGCAGACTGCCCTGGGACGGCCCTGCTCCCGTGAGCGACGGCAGTCTGCAGACTACAGCAGCAGAGACAAGGTGAAGTCCATTCTGGGGACGCTGGCACCTCGCCGTTCTCTGGGTAGACTGTGCTTTAAGAACAGACTTTAATAAACCTCCCCTGAGCAAGTGGACCTTTTCAGCCAGCGGTGATACAGTGAGTTCCAAAGTCCAATCCTATTACAGAGGGACCACGTATCCTACACGGCAGGAGGGAGAGGCCTGACCGTCACACCCTAATGAGAGCTATCACCGTGGGGACCAGACGGTGGACAGCCCATCATCCGCTCTCCCGCATCACCCGAGATGGCTGACCACAGTCCTTCCTGACGAGCCGAGGCAGGCCCAAACGGAAGTGTGATGTCTCGGCAAGATCAGAACGATTAGAGAACAGTCGACTGCTTCCCTTTTACACGGAACGGACTCCTGTAGTGTTCAAGGCCAGGAGAGATTTATTCCCCGTCAGAGGAGCTGCCCCGAAGGAGCTAACTCCAGACGCAGAACTTGACCTGCTAGCATTTGGATGGCCTCTTCCATTACATATCTCAAGGCTGAATCCACAAAAGACCACGTTCTGAGGGAAGTGGCCCACCTGAGTCACCGATAGCAGATGTGTAGGACTCCTGACCTGGCCAGTGCTCGCTAGTCACGGTGCAGGCAGGCCTGCCTCACCTCGGCCCAGCGGGGCAGGAAGTCGTGGGCACCATGTTTGTCTCGTTAGCATCCGCTCCTCTTCCTTACTGGCCTGAGGAGAACCTTCCCCCTATCGGGCTGGTTCAGGAATGGACATGAGTTATGACGAAAGGTCTCCTGAGGGGCTTCTGGAAGCTTCCTTGAACCACACAATTTTTCTTCTTCCTCTGGAATGTTCTAGAGTCTCGGTAAGCTGCCTGGAATGGCTACGGCCATCTTTCCACCAGCCTGGTGAAGCCAAAACACAGGATGAGGGAGCAGAGGAAAAGGATGCTTCCTCAGGAACGACTTCCTGCCTGAGATGGGATGTCTGAAGGAGGCAGTCAGGCCAAATGATGTGAAAGTGTCCCAATCACACCCTGTAGTTTGGTAAGCAAAATGCTAGGTGAATGGAGAGGTGGTCACGCGTCACTCGGGTCGGTGTCCCCGCCGCGCTGTGAGGCTGGCTGTAGAGTATGGGCTTGGAGATATTGTCCCCGTGGCTGATAAGGCAACTTCCTGTCATCCTGATGCGCCTGCTCCTGGCATTCGGCCTCCGCCACAAAAGTCACCTGGGACTCACTTCCTCGTGATGGTAAAGAATCTAACAGACACAACCCTGGGCATTTGCCATCGGGTCCTGTGGAGGACTAACCGCTCTAAAATGCCTCGTTCCGAGTCCAGTTCCAGCAGAGAGTGAATCCAGGCTCAGCACCGAGGACGGAGGGCCGGCAGCTGGGAAAGGCGAGACGGGACCAGGGACGTTTCTCTGCGGCAGAGGAAGCTCGGCCACCCCTGCTTCGTGGCAGGCAGTTCAGACACCTGCCTGCAGCTCGTCCAAGCTGCGAGAGGAAGATGAGCCTGCGGCTCCCATGTATCATTCGTTCCACTTCCTGTTTGTGATTTAGACATGGAATGGACTCCTGTTCCTTCAATCAGAAGACCGTTTAATCCCCAGTGGGTATTCCAGGTGAAATTCCCTAGCGGGGGACAGTCAGAGCAGTGAAATGGGACGCAGGGTTTGAGGTATGAAAGCACACTTGGCACTTACTGCTGGGTGACCCTGGGCAATGTTACAACTTCATCCCTGAACCTCAGTTTCCTCATCTGTAAGATGGGGATAATCACAGCACCTGTTTCATATTCAAGATGATTAAGTATGTACATTAATGCAAGGAAAGCTCTTCAGTATGTGTCTGGCACATACTACATACTCAACAAATGTTAGCCGTCAGTATTTACACAATGATGTCTTCAAGAAGGCTTAACCCAGAAAACCGCAGGTTTTGGCCACTCATGTTCTCTCGGCTCCTGAAACATGAGCTGACCCCCACCCCAGGTTGTCCTTCATCTCCGTAGGACTTTGATTCGAGACGAATGTCAGATGGCTTCTATCTGCATAACTGAACAATCAAGGCAATTTTGGCGTTTTTTGGGGGGGACAAAACAGGAGCGTTTAATCTTCAAACTTGACTGACCTGGAAGCATTCCTGTCGATATGAAAGATATTGTTTGGGGCGGCGGAGAAGCCGAGGCCGGCGCCCCGGCGGCACTTCCAGCTCGCGGCCCGGTCGTAGTCCTGCTGCAGGCTCTGCTGGAGGCTGTCGGCCGCCGCCTTGCTGAGCGCCATGTTGGGCCTTCCGGTCGTGTGAGGGGGGTGGCGGAGCGAAGGCGACAGATTTTTAAAGCCACCCATAAGTTTGAGAAATTTCAGTTTCTGTTCCTCGTTTTCGAAACCAGCAGTATCCCACTGGCCAAACTGAGTTCCCTGTGTGAAGAGAACAAAGGTGGTTATCTGCCTCGTTTCCAACCCTTTCCTTCCCCAACCCCGACCTCCCCAGGAAGGACCCGACTGATGAGATGCTCGCTCTGTACCGGGCGCAATGCTCACGAGCACATCGGTCATCTTCTGACCAGAGCCCTCTGAGGAGTGCTGTGATGCCCGCTTTACTGATCAGGAAATGGAAAATGGAGGCTTCCCACTTAACGAGGGCACAAGCCTACTGAGTGGCCTGGCTGGAATTCCATCAGGTCTGGCCAACCTCTGAGCCCTCCTTTTAGACGTCAAGCTGCCCATCTGCTTTACTCCTCCTCCCCTAACTCATGGGGAACAGCGCGGCACACGTCCCCACTATGCTGTTCACCGTGGCGTGCCGTGCCGTGCCTCCCCTCTCCTCTCCTGCTGGCCACGCAACCATCAGCCTAGGTTTCTGTCGGTCCGAAGGTGGAGGAGGGCGAGTGGGAATCGGAAACGCATGTCTCTCCCAGAAGCACGGCATTTTAGAGCGGGAAGGGAGGCCCAAAGAGGTAAAGCGTCACACAGCCCAGTCGGAAGCCGAGCCCGGTCAGGAACTTGGGGTTCCCGGTTCCTCCCACCCAGGCACAGACCACCCATGTTCGAGGAAATGTAAGAGAGCCCCTCAGCAGTGGGCTAAGCAAGGATGCCCCTGCCTGGGAGAGGCAAGAGACCCAGCTCCCCAAGATGATGACTGAAGTCACACCGACCAGGGTTAGCAAGGACATGAGCTCAGGACAAGCTCCGAGGGGGAGGAAACCAGCGGGCTGGCTGGGGCGGCCTCCGGGGCCGTGCTAACTTGGCCGCCATCACCCTGCCGCTGATGCTGCAAGGCGAGGGCCGTGGAGGTCCAGGATGCTGAGCGCACTGCCTCCAAGAGCTCCAGCACCAGACTTACTGTCCACTTCCTGGGTTCGGAAGCTTCCGTTTTGCCCGACTCACGATCGATCTCTTCTTGCAAGGCCTTTCGCCTCACCTGAGCAGGGGGGAGGAAAGAAAAAAAACATTTAGAGGGGAGCGGGGTGGGAGAAAAGGGAAGGATTAAAATGTACAAGCTTGTTACAGAGCAGTCATGGGGATGCAGGGGATCACATAAGGAATATAGTCAATAATGTAATAACTATCGGTGTCAGATGGGGACTAGATTTATCGGGGTGATAGGAGGTTGGGGGACAAGGTGTAAAAGGTGAAGGGATTAAGTACAAATTGGTGGTTACAAAACAGTCACAGGGATGTAAAGTAAAGCACAGGGAATATAGTCAATAATATAGTAATAACTATGTATAGTGCCAGGTGGGGACTAGTCAGGAGGATCACTTCTCAAATTATATAAATGTCTAACACTATGCTATACTGAAACTAAAAGAAAATAATATTGAATGTCAACTATAATTGAAAATTTTAAAAAGGAAAAGGTGAAGGGGAATAAGAGGTCCAAATATCCAGGTATGAACAAATAAGTCACGGGGATGTAATGTACAGCATGGGGAATATAGTCAGTAATATTGTGACAGCGTGGGACGGTGTCAGATGGTTGCTGGACTTATCATGGTGATCACTTCTTTAGGTATATAAATGTTGACTAACGATGGTGTACACCTGAAACTAATATAATAGTATATATTAGCTATACTGTAATAAAAATCTTAGGAAAAAAATAATGTTACAACAACTGTGTACAGTACCAGATGAATAATGGACTAATTGGAGGGGTTCACTGCATAAATTATATAAATGTCTAACCACTATGATGTACAACTGAACTAATATAATATTGAATGTCAACTGTAACTGAAAAAATAATTAAAAAAAAGAAAAGAGGAGAGATTACAATTGACACCACAAAAAAAGAAAGGATTAGAAAGGAATACTACAAACATTTATATGCCAACAAACTGGAGAATCTAAAAGAAATGGGAAAATTCCTAGAAACAGTTTTCCAAGACTCCATCAGGAAGAAAGAGAACATTTGAACAAACGGATTCTAGTACTGAAATCGAATTTACTCCCAATGAAAAAAAGTCACGGACCAGACGGCTTCTACCAAACATTCAAGAGCGAATGAATACCTACCCCTCTCAAACTATTCCAAAAACTGAAGAGGAGAGAAGGCTCCAAAACGCGTTTTATGAGGCCAGCATTATTCTAGTACCAAAACCAGACAAAAACACTACAAAATAAGGAAATCATAGGCCAACATCCCTGATGAACATTGGCGCAAACCTCAACAAAATATCAGCAAACTGAATTCAGCAATACATTAAAAAGATCACACATCATGATCAAGTGGGATTTATTCCAGGGATGCAGGGTTGGTTCAGTGTCCACAAATCAATTAACGTGATACACCACAGAAACAAAATGAAGGATAAAAATCACATGATCATATTGACAGATACAGAAAAGTATTTGACAAAATCCAGCATCCTATGATAAACACTCTCAGTAAAGCGGGAATAGGAGGAAAATACCTCAACATATAAAGGTCATGTAAGACAAACCCACAGCTAACATCAGACTCAATGGTGAAAAGCTTGAAGACAAGGATGTCCACTTCTAATCAACATAGTATTGGAAGTCCTAGCCATTGCAATCACAAATAAAAGAAAGAAGACATAAGAAGAAATAAGAATTAAAAGGGGGAAAAATAGGCATTCGAATTGGAAAGGAAGAAGTAAAACCATCATTATTTGCAGATGACATGATACTACTGGGTTGTCGGAAAAGTCATGACGTATTTTTTCTGTTTTTCGTTGCAAAAATGCATCATCACTTTTCTGACAACGCAATATATGTAGAAAACCCTAAAGATGTCACCACAAAAACTATTAGAATTAATAAGTGAATTCAGTCAAATAGCAGGATATAAAATTAATATTCAGAAACCGGTTGCATTTTATACACCAATAGCAAACTATCAGAAAGAGAAAATAGGAAAAGAAGCCCATTTACAATTGCAGCAACAAGAATAAAATACCTAAGAATAAATTTAGACATGGAGGTAAAACACCTGTATTTGGAAAACTATAAGACTTTGAAGAAATTGAAGAGACAAACAAATGGAAACATATACCATGCTCATGGATAGGAAGAATTAATATCTTTTAAATGTCCATACTACCCAAAGCTATCCATAGATTCAATGCAATCCCTATCAAAAAACCAAAGGCATTTTTCAGAGCTAGAACAAATAATCTTAAAATTTATATGGAGCCATAAAAGACCCCAAATAGCTAAAGCAATATTGAGAAAGAAGAACAAAGTTGGTGGTATCATGCTACCTGACATCAAACTACTACAAGGCTATAGTAATCAAAACAGTATGGTACTGGCATAAAAACAGACACATAGATGAATGGAACAGAATAGAGAGCCCAGACTAAACCCACGCCTATATAGTCAATTAATCTATGACAAAAGAGGCAAGAATATACCATGGGGTAAAGACAGTCTCTCAATAAATGATGTTGGAAAAACTGGACAGATACATGCCAAAAAATTGAAACCAGACCACTTTCTTACACCATATACAAAAATAAACTCAACATGGATTAAAGATGTAAATGTAAGACCTGAAACCATAAAACTCCTACAAGAAAACACAGACAGTAAACTCTTTGACATTGTTCTTAGCAATATATTTTTTAGATCTGTCTTCTCGGGCAACGGAAACAAAAGAAAAAAGAAACAAATGGGACTACATCAAACTAAAGTTCTTGCACAGCAAAGGAAACCATCGACAAATAAAGCCAACCAACTGAGAGGGAGAAGATATTTGCAAATGATACATCTGATAAAGAGTTAATATCCAAAATACTAAGCGACTAATACAACTTAACACCAAGAGAAACAATCCAATTAAAAATGGACAGAGGACCGAAATAGGCATTTCTTCAAAGAGGACATACAAATGGCCAACAGATATATGAAATATGCTCAATGTCACTAATCATCAGAGAAAAGCACATTAAAACCACCTCACACCTGTCAGAATGGCCATCATCAATAAATCAAGAAACACGTGTTGGCGAGGATGTGGAGAAAAGGGGACCCTCGTGCACTGTTGGTGGGACTGCACACTGGTGCAGCCACCTTGGAAAACAGTGTGGAGGCTCCTCAAAACATTAAAAATAGAGCTACCATATGACCCAGCACCTCTGTCTTCACCTATGAGGGTCAGTAAGGGTAGTGAGTGGCCCAGGTCACTTCATTAGTGATGGTCAAGGCCAAGCCCAGTGTGGTTCCTATGCTGTCCGGGACCGTGAAAATACCCCACTGCCAGCAAGCCCAGCTCCCACACAGGATGTGTTCCCCAGGACATCCAGCATGACAGAAACAGAAGCTGGTCCCCAACACAACCACCTCTAAAGGGTCCTGAACTCAGCCAGGAGGCAGCAAGTGGGCCTGGCTGGACATGTGTTCCCCACCTGGCTTCAGGTCTCGGGGACATTCCCCCCTCTCCCTGTGCAGTGGTTAGGGGGAGCAGAGCCTCAGTCTGGGGTTCTGAATAACCAGATGGCCCCTCAGGCCAACACCATGGCGGTGAAGGGGTCTCCCCGCATGAAGTAGAGGTGGCCAGCGTTCTCTGCCCCTGGAGGCACGCTATAGATGCTGGTTTGGTGGCCCTCGGAGTCCGGGGCGCTTCTGAGGCCAGGCTCTTGGGGCCTGGTAGGAGGGGCGTGGCAGGACACACGGGCGGGATGGGGCCTGGTCCTACCTGGTCTATGTGCGCCTCGTCCATGTTTCCTTTTTTTTCCAGCACCACCTCTAGGTCTGTGTCAGGCTCCTGCATGAGACAGCAAAGGGGTAAGAGCCAAGCGTGTGCAGCCTGTGCCCGGCAGCCCTGCAGGGTGCAATCATGAATCCAGAGAAGACCCAAGATCCCAGACCACCCCAACCCGTCACCCACAATCCTAATGCCGAGAGGTGGAGCGACTATCATGAGGTCACCCCCAAGGCCCAGGGGCAGGGCTGACGTGAACCCAGGTCTCCTGACTCAGGCCGGGTGCATGACCTTTCCTGCCACATGTGTCACTTGACCTTCCAGATGACACCAGTTCAGCAAGAGGAGATGCCAAGTGCCCTGCTGATGGGGGGGAGGTGAGAAGGAGGGGCGGTAGGCGTTGGCAGGGGCTGGGGAATGCAGAGGGGGGCTCGGCCCTCAAGGGGGTTGGGGACTGCCGGCAAACCTTAACTGACCCATGTCTCCTCCACACTGGCCCCCACCCCAGGTCCTGGTCGCCACCTTCTCCCCTGCCTCTCCACCCCCTAAACCTGGTCCGTTTCACAGAGCAGCTCAGGTGAGAGCTCTAAAACCCCAATCAGAACGTGTTGTGCACCTTAAACAATGTTATGCCAGTTATAGCTCAAAACCTGCAGAAACTCATATCACGTCACCCCTCGCCCCAAAGCCCTCCGGGGGCTCCCACCTTGTTTTAGTCAAAAATCCAAACTTCTGTGGCCTTGGTTCTGTCACGGGGCCCCCGCTTCCGCCACCCGTCTCTTTGCTCCTCCTGGGGCGCCCTCACTGGGCCTGTCCTGACCATGCTTACACGGGCCACACTCTCCTTGGCCTCATCCCAAGGGACCCTCGGCCGGCACCTTCCCCTGGTCCTTCAGTCCTTCAGTAGTGACAGCTGCTACATCTCACACATCCCTGGATGGCTGTCCCCTCACATCACCCTTCCAGACCCTGATGACAGGCGGGCATTTCCTAACTCAGTGGCTGCTCTGGGAGGCAGAGTCCCCATCACAGGGCGTTAAGCGGAGGGGACTGACCACCTTTCACTGGGCTCACGGCAGAAGGGATTCTAGATTCTGATGGGCGTTAAGGCACCAAAACTTCTGGGGTTCCTGCCAGGTCCTGAGAGTTTCTGCGTAGAGGGGGAGCGATCCAGTGGAATCAAGTCTACAGGACCAGGGCAAAGGTGGGCCAAGCCCAGGAACCAGGGCTGCCTGTCGTAGATTCCCCCACCCTCCCTAACAGCGTCTGGCTGGGCTGAGCACAGGCCCCACAGACAGTGTCCTGAGGACCGTGTTCCGGGGACTTGTCCTTCAGTCGGCATAAACTGAGGCCCACCCCTCAGTAAGTGCTAGACAGCTGTCAACTGTTCCAGTTACATGTGTCAATAAATCCCCTTTCTGGCTGAAGGCAGTTGAATCCGGGTTCGGGCAGCTAAAAAGTGGAGTTGCGTGCGTGTGCGCGCACACACTCCCAACTTGCCGCCTTCTCCCAAAGCAGAGCCAATTTCTGAAGGAAAGCCTACCTCCTCCGCCCACGGTTCTTCTTCTTTGCTCTGTTTCCTCTTCTTTTTCTTTTTCAGAGCTGGCTCCTCCGTGCCCAGCAGCTCCGCCTTCTTCTTGGACTTCATCTTCTTCTTGGCGGGGGACTTGGGACTGTCTCCTGCTGGGATGTATTCTGAAGCCTCTCCTTTGGCGGGCTTCTTTCTGCTTCCTTTCCTAGGGCTGCTCTCCACAGACCTGGAGGGCTCGGCGTGGCCTCGGGGGGTGTCTGCCTCCTGGCGGGTCTTCTTTTTCTTCTTCAGCTTTGCGTTGTGTTCCCTGGGGCTGCCCTGCTTCCGTTTCTGCCCCGGAGCTGCCAGCTCCTGGCCACCCTTCCCCCCTGAACAAGCACGCGGGGCATCCCCGGCCTCGCAGAACCAAGGGTCCCGGGCGCAGGAGGCCGTGGCCTCCCGGGCCTTTTTCTCCTTTTTGTGTTGTTTGAGCTTCTTGCCAACTCTGGTCACCTCCTTGCCCTGTCTGGGGTCTGGGGAGGTCTTCACTCTCGAACCAGGGGACGTGGCCTTCTTTTTCTTGTCCCTGCTGAGGAGCTCGGACGGACCCGAAGCGTGCTTCCAGGAGCCAGGCGACTCCTCTGTCCGCCTGGCACGTCCTGTGGCCTCAGGTTCCGGAGGCTCCTCGCATGCAGTGCTGTGGCCCTTTTTTTTCTTCTTTTTCTTCACTAGCGGCATCTTGGGTGCCTGCCCTTGAACCACACTCTTCGAAGGGGATATAGCTCTTGAGGGACAGACCTCGGAGAAATAACTGTCACTGTTTAAAACTGAGTATTGAGTCTCTGGTTCTTTCACCACCTTCTTCTTCTTCTTCTTTTTCTCCCGGAGCCCAAGGCCCAGGTCCTCTGGGTGAGTCTTGGTGATCATGCCTGAAAACAGAAATGGTACAAGTTACCCCCACACCAAGCCACCTTGGGTACAATTCAGCTAGGTATTGCCAAGAGCCACGTTTCTTTGAGTGGATGGTCTAAAATGTTAGGGAATGGGAAAATGGGGAACAGAGAGAAATATGATCAACGTGGAATGGAGTTAGCTTTCAGATAGCCCCAGGTTCAAATCCAAAGTGCTCCCTCACCTTACGTCAATCACCTATCCTCCCTGAGGCTTAATTTCTCCATCTGGAAAATGGGGGTAATACCACTTCCTTCTCAAAGGTCTGTTGGAAAGAATAAGACACAATCCACGGAAAGTGCTTGCTACATTGTCGACTCCTTTTCCTAACCCCCTTCCTCACGTCTCCTAAGCCTAGTCACCCTGTGCCAGCCACTAGTTAAGCCAGTTACAACTGCAGTTAAGCCTGACTGAGCAGACACTGCCCTTAGGAAGTGGACAGAAATCCCGAGCTCCGCCCTCCTTGCCAATTCCCACCAGCGGCAGGCAGTGTGGCACAATTAACCTGTCACCTTGGTTCATCCAAACAGCTCTTCTGCTTTGTGTCTGGAAATTAATCCCCTCTCCACACCTGCAGCCCGGGTGACTTTCTCTCCTAATTACTTTCCTGTGTAATGAGGGCAGCAGTGAGGTGGGGTGAGAGGAGCCAGGGCTGAAAACCACCGGGTTCAAATGGTGAGTGACACTGTCTGGCCGCACAGCTATTGGCTTCTCCAGGCCTCAGTTTCCCCATCCATAAAAGAGGGGTTGAGTCAAACCGGGGTTGGGGGGTGGGGAGAGAAGGATGAGGACATCCAGCCTGCAAGCCTCTTTTTAAATGTTCAAATACATTGCTAACATTTAATGACTGGAGATGACACACAGCAACCTAGAATGCTTTTTTTTAAAGGAAAATCTCAGGGAGGCACCTTTGCAAAGGGGCTAGGGCCCTCAAGTACATTTCAGCTTCCAGCTGAGCTACTTCTGTCACCAGCCCAGTTCCTGCTGCTCCCTGGCCTAGATGACATGGAGACACCCAGGGAATCCAGAAACAAGCATCCTCTCCCTGGACAGCGGGAGGGAGTCAGGAGCGTCTCCATCCTGCAGCTCTCCTCAGCCTCGGGGCCCAGGGGTCCGCACTGGACCTGCCTAACTCTTAGCAGCTTCGAGGAGGAGCCAGGCCAGGCCTGAGGTGGGGCTCAGATACATTCATAACTCGCTCCAAGTCAGCGTGGTGGGGACGTCAGGACAATGGCGGTCTTCTAATGTGCTCTACCAGCGTGTGCAACTGCAGGATGGCAGTGCTAATCCTTGCGACAGAGGAACTGAAAGCGGGTGTTCGGGGGGCTGGAGGACACGCTGGTTTGAACAGATGCCTTGAGATGTCCAAGTGGAGATGTTGGGTGGCTCTGAGGCTGAGGGGAGCGCGGGGGGGCCTGAACTGACATGGGTGACATACATTTAGGTGGTAAACAAGTGTTGAACAGAAAGAGCCCGAGGCAGAACTTTAGGGGATACTGACATTTAAATGGGTGGGCCGAGGAAGAGAGAAGGTGCGAAGGAGAAGGTGCAAACCTGGAGAGGGTGGAGTCAGGAGGCAGAGGGCGGAGGAGCGGTCAGGAGACACGATAGGAACAAAGAAGCCCAGGGGAGGCTGCGGTCAGCTTAATCCCCTTCTCTTCCATCGCTGCCTTCAGAACACTGTCGCAGCCTCTCTGACACTGAAGAGCGTCTCTTCAACCCTGCGGCCCCAAACGTATTCACTCCTTCAAGAAGAAACGCGCCTTACAGTGCGTCTCCTGCAAACGCTGTCTGCAAAAGCTCTTTTCAATGCCCGTGAGGACTGCTGGGACTACCCCACCTCGGAGGCTTGCAAACTGGGGTCTGGAGGCGTTCATTCCCTTGCGACGGGTCCCCAAGCCGGCAACTGGCAAAACGGGGGCTCGGAACCAGCCCGCAGGACTTCAGAGCCCGTGATCTGCACAACAGCAGCAACACCCCACTCCCGCTGCACGGTCATTAGCACGAAGCAAGGGACCCAGGAGGCGAGGCTGGTCCCTCCGCCGCGCCAAAGCTCCCGCACAAACACGGGGAGGGATGACGCGGGGGTCCGGGCCTGGCTCCAAGGGGAGAGTTTCTGGAGGCGGTAGCCTCGCCAGGGTTGAGCGCACAGGGGCCCCCACCTCCAGACCCTCCGCCGATGTAGCGTCCCCCGCACTCACCTGTAGGCCGAACTCCTCCGCCTCCACGTGAGACCCCGCTCCGCCGTGACCCGGAAATAACTCTCCAGGCTCTGGCCCGCCCCCATGAGTTCCGGCTGCTTCCGGGTCGCGGCCGAGCGGGGCGCGCGGTTGCCGGGGAAACCGCGGCGATGGCGGCGCCGGGGCCGGTGGGCAGCCGCGCCGCCCAGCGTGAGGAGCCGGCCGGCTCCGCGGAGTCGTCCGTCGCCACCAGGACGCCGGTGCCCACTGTGTCCTCCGTGTCCCCCAAGCAGCCCGTGTCGCCGGCGCAGGTTGCGGAGTCTCCGGGCAAGAGCCTGTGGGAGCAGATTTGCGAGGGTAGGCAGCTCGGGCGGGCGCGGGGCGCGGGGCGTGGGGGTCCGCGCGAATGGGCGCCTTCTGTGCGCCAGGCGGCCGACGTGCGAGGCCGCCTGGCAGCCGCGTCGCACACCCGACGAGCTCCCCATTTTACACGGGGAAACTGAGGCTCCGAGAGGCTTGGGGGAGGTGACGCTGCGCGGCCTCCAGCCTTGACCGGTGGCCAGCTCAAAGGCCGGGGGAGGCGAGGAAAGGGCGGGTAAAGAGGACCAGGTGGGGTGGGCCAGTGGTGCGCAAACCTCGATGAGTGAGCAGGAAAGCATCCACGGGGCGGAGGTGGGGAGCTTGTTCAAAACGTGGGTTCCCTGGACCCGCACACACAGAGCCTGACGGGGTGCAGGGAATTTGCACTTTCAATGAGCACCCGGGTCATTCTGATAGTGCTGATCGATGGCCCACATGTTGAGCAAGCATGGTCTCCAGCGGTTCTCAACCTGTGGGTCGCGACCCCTTTGGGGGTCCAACAACCCTTTCACCGGGGTCGCCTAAGACCATCGGAAAACAAAAAGAGATTTACATGACGATTCATAACAGTAGCAAAATCACAGTTATAGAGTAGCAACGACAATAATTTTATGGTTGGGGGGTCCCCACAACATGAGGAACTGTATTAAGGGGTCGCGGCATTAGGAAGGTTGAGAACTGCTGGTCTAGGCAGACTCGGGTTTTAATCCCTGCTCACGTCTAACCTTCCCTTAAGCTCGCCACCTTCTTTTGTGGCCCTCCACACACCTACGCTTGGTCATGAAGCCCTTTGAAAAATACTCCGCCCACGTCGGACACGTTGTTTCACTTGTTACCCTCTCTGTAAAGGAGCATCATAACGGCGCCTGTTTTATGGTGTTAGGAGAATGCGCTAAAGTAGTTGCAGAAAGTACTTAACAAACTGGCCTATTTAACAGCAAGAGCTCAACAGGTGTCAGCTCTTCAGAAGTATCGCGGGGTGTCTCTTTTTTTTCCTCCCCTAGGCTATAAGCTTCTCAAGGTCAAGGCTACCATCACCTACCTCAGATGCCTGAACCAGAGCTGCCCAGCAGAACTTGCAAATATGGTAGCCACAAGCTGCGTGTGCCTATGAAAGCCCTGTGGTCAGTGCAACTTTGGAGTTGGATTTTTTTAATTTTACTTAATTTTAGTAAATTTAGATAGCCACCTGTGTGGCTAGTGGCTACTGTATTGGACAGTTCAGGTCAGCAAATGTTTGTGGAATGGAAGAAAGAATGAGTCTCCAGGTAGAAGGAGAGAGAGAGAGAGATGAGAGAAGTGGGAAATACAGAGGCGGGAGAGGCTGGTGGACTCAATTAATAGATACCCTCCGAAGCCATCTGTTTCAACGGCCATCCAGTGTTTGAATTCCGCCTCCAAGCATTACATTGCGTTACATCCATAAGAATTTTTCATCTTGAATGTTCTCCGTGTAACTTGTACCCTTTGGTCCTTTGCCTTCTTGGTGCTGTGACCCAAGGTGCTAACGGTCGAGTTACCATAAAGAACCCGCTCAGATATTCGAAGGTTGTTATTGTGGCTGCGTGTCCCCCACAGCTGTCAGTGCTCCAAGCCAAACAGCGCTCCCTCATATAGCTTGCTCGTGGTGTCTTGCTGGGGAAACTGCTCAGCCTCAGCTGTACGAGAGGGATAACCCTTGTACCTACGTCACAGGGCTGATGTAGGACCGAGTAAGACAGGGAACACCGAGGGTCCCAGCGAAGTGGCCGGAGTATTAGAAAGTGCTCGATACGTGTTGTTGTTGACAAAGAACCAGACTTTTATGGCATTTAAGGATCATGGGGTTTATTTTGGTCAAACGGGCCAGTACGGAGAACGCAAAGATGGGGTTTGGTCCTCTCTGAAAAGGAAGTGAATTGATGCCAGAGTTCACAGCATGACGTTAAGGAGATCAAAAGTAGTGACTTATACACACTGGCACTGTAACGATTATTATAACCTGGAGGAATAAACCCAATTTCTCAAAACAAACATTCTAACAAATGCGGGTTTTTATAGCAAACGTAGTGAGTACGTTCAGTTTCTCACAGCAAACATGGAAAGCAGGCTTTGTGGCAATCCTAGCTCCGAGGTTAAGTATCACATTCTGTTAGGCTACCTCCACTTGAAAACCGAATTCTCCCAGCAAACGGACCTGTGAGAAACTCAGTCTCAGGGAGGTGAGATCCAGAACAGGTAAATATCAGACTTAAACAAGGTCTTTATCCTGCCTGACTGATGTTGTTTGTGTGCGCACGCACCTCATGATAGCTTATTTGTAACTGTTCTTCAGTTTTTTCATCTTTCCAGTGATAGCTAACTCAGTCAGGGCTTTGTATTCTCAAAGCCACTTGTATTAGCATCAATAAACGCCCACTAAGAGTCGGCTGGCTAAATAAATGTGGTCCATCATGCATGTAGCAGCCTTGAAAGATACCCAAGATTCAACACCTAGAATGGTTCCTGGCACCTGGTGGGCTCTTTAAATATTAATGAATGAATGAATGAGTAGATAAAAGGTCCAAAGTAACTAGCTGTACTGTTTGTTTTGTTCATTCATTCACTCATTGCTCGTGTCATTCAGCAAGTATTCTGTGGGAATATGAGAGTGGGCACAGACAGACCCAGGTAACTTCCTCACAAAACACAGTCTATTCGAAGAGGAGTCATTAATTGTTAACAAAATTCAAGTGAGGGTGAAACAGATGCGCGTTATGAAGAAAAAGGACACGGTGTTATAAGGTTCTATGCTTGGATGATTTGACCTAGTCTAGGAAATCTAAGGTAAATAAATGTACTTGTGTGTTATAGATACATGCTGTTAGTAAATGCATTGAAGAGAGTAGGTTTGGCCTGTTCCAGACCTGACAGTGGCTATTGGTGGTAATGCGATTCGGTGTGACTGACACACTACATAAGACATCTCCGTATTATTTGGAATTTTCTCACAATCAGCGTTTGTAATCAGACAGAGCTACACATGTATATCTCTTAAATCCAGATAAATAGTTTCCACACTGTATTGGTGATTCTCAAAGTGTTGGGGGAAGAAGGGTGAATTTACATGCTTGCTTGCCAGGGAGAAAAAGTGACAGAGCTAGAGCTATTGTGGGCAGAATTCTCAGGTCCCCACCTCTGGTCACTCCCCTCCCAGTTATTCAGTCAATCACGAAACTAGGCACTGCTATCAAGGGACTTTCTGAAGTAATGAAGTCTGTAATTAGCTGACTTTGGATTATTACCGGTGGGCCATGTACCCCAAACTGGCAGGCTGACCTTCACACCCATCCCTGTGACTGCGTGGGGTGGCTTGTCGTCCTCCTGTTTCTTATTCTGCCCTCCCATCATGTTCTTTTCTCCTCTCCTCTCTGTATGCTATTGGTGTCTTCTTTAAGGCACCGTTCTCATTCTCTTCCTTCTTTCACTCCTTGTAGCTGTCATAATTTGGGGACAGAATCTGAAGTTGTACCCTCTCGGGAAGAGTCTCAAACTCTTACAGAAAGCCTGGGCTCTTTTCACAGATGCGAATAATCATCTCTCAGCCATTCAAAATAAGGTGGTTTACATTAATTATCAACCTGTAATGGCCAGTGGTTTCTTATGTCTACAAACCACCAACCAAAATAAAATGTAAGAATGTTTTATTTAGAGGAAAGAAAGCTCCGTCATAAACTGCAGTGAACTATGGAACTGAGCTTTCCCCCCTCCCCACTCCCTTTAGAGTATGAAGCTGAGCTGCCTCCTTTTCCAGAGGGCTACAAAGTCCAGCCAGACGCTACGACTGCTGTGAGTATCGCCCCACAAAATCCAAGTGACAGGTTCTTACTGAGACCAGTACTGATAGCTGGGGGACGTCGCACAGTGTCGTGAGTTAGGGAAGGCACTGGAACTCGAACCAGAAACTCGGGGCCGGTCCCAGCTCTACGGTGGGACTCAAAGGGCATCACATAACCTCCTTGAGCCTCAGCTTCCGCATCTGTTAAATGGATCAGCTAATCCTGACTCTCTCACAGGGCTGTGGGGGCGCGCTCAGTGAGATCCTGGATAAGAAAGGCCTTGACAGGGGAGTTAACCCCATGTCTGTGTTGTGCACAGTTGCAGATAGAGCAGCTTTAACTGCATCCCCAGGTGAGCAAGAAGGCGCCTGGGCCAAGGAAAGCGGGCCCAGCGGGGCAGCCAGGAAGGGAGGCCCTCGGCCGGCCCGTCTGCGTGGAATAAAACAGGAACTTAATGGAGTTCCAAAGAAGAAAAGAAGGCTCTGAGAGATGCAGGGTCACAGGGATGGGACCAAAACCCGAGTCTCTAGATTTCCAGCGCCTTATTGCAGCTGCTGCCGTTAGACGGTCTTGAGTCTGAGAACCTCCTTGGCCTGTGATTGTTCTCGTTGTCGTCGCACCCTGTTCTTGCTTTACAGATTAATGTTTTCTCAGATTTCTCTGCAGAGACAAGACAGTTAGTTTCCTTCTCTGAATTGTTGGTGCTTCCTCCAGAGTCAGTTGTTTTTTGTAGACCTCCATCTTTGTCTTTTACGCTGTTGATGTTCGTTATCTGTGTGCAGAGCTTTGACTATTTGTTCAAAATTTTAAATGGAGGCCGGACTGGGTTTTTCTCCACAGCTGTTGTGGTTTTCTGCTGTTGTGCCTGTGGGTTTGTCTTCCGGATGGTTCTCTTTTATGAGTAGAAGCACTGCCTGAGCGGTCATGGGCAGTGATTGACCACTGGGAGACGTTTCTTCAGGGTCAGCAGGCAGAGAGCCTCCCAATCAGCGGGGAGTTTCTTTTCTTTTGGCCACCAGCGTGGCGCCCTGAGTAGTTCTACCCCTTCCCAGGCTGTGTGTTTCATTCGCTTACCGAAGAGTCATTGGAAAGGAGAGCTGGATAGCAAACGCCGACGTGAACGTAGCTTTATGTATATTGAAGGAGGCAGGAGCGGAGTGGGGTGGGGGGACGCGAAGTGGGCAGCAGGCCAGTGGAGCCCCCACCAGATTCTTACCCCTCTTCATTCCCTCTTCATTTGCACCCTCTGAGGAATTGGGCCCCTGAGCCCCGAGGCCCTTTGGAATTCCGGGGAGGAAGATGGACTTGCGTCCTCGGGGGCAGTTTGGATTTCTCCTGTGGGTCCTGGGACACCCCATCCCCTCTCTCTCATCTGATGCCAGGCTGTACCCCTGGTTCTTTTGGAAACATTTGCAGCTCTGTTGTCCCCGATGGTCCTCCCGTTCTTGTCTCTAGGAGGGGTTTATTCTTTCATTGTCATTTACGTGTCTCCAGGGGGAAGAAACAGACTTGTGCTCAGTGTGCCCCCTTGATCCCGAAGTCTGGCTGGGAATGTGGTTCCTTTGTTAGCTTATAAAAGAAAAGTCAATTATGTACACCATGTATATGAATTGATGTTCTCCCCGACCAGGCTGCACCCCTGGAGGAAATGGTTTTCCCTCGCGTCAAAACAGCGCACGTTTATTCAGTTCCCCATTCTACCAGGGACTCACATACGCTCTGCACTCCAGTCACATTGGAAACAGTCGATCCAAAAACATGTGCGTAAGGAAGTAAGATTTCATTTTTCCTAGTTTGGGGCAAAACCACAGGATGGGAGTGGGGGTGGAATGTCTTCTTGTTTTCATTTTAATTTTTAAGAGAAACAGCCTTTATCCCACTGATGTATCTTTAAGGTTAAAATGTAATAACGATGATAATAACAACAAACAGACTTTGATTACACATTCAGTACGAAGGGGCAAAAATTTAAGAAGTAGAAGAGAGTACCATGCTGCCTGCTTTGTGGGTTGAAGGCAGAGCTGTGGGCTTTTTACATCTTCCTGCCTGGTCCCCAGGTCCCTCTGTCCTCCCTGGTGAGGCCCCCTTTTGCTGGTTAGTTCTGTGCACTGTGGGCCGTGGCAGCCAGCACCACCATTGCTGCGGCCACGCGGCCCTGTCCATGGTACCGCCACCCCATTCCTCTGGGATCTCAGCTCCTGCCCCCCTGTGCCCGCTCATCCCCCTCCCGGCTGTACGTGTGGCCCTGGCCCTGTGTAGCACCTGGCCCATATCCTCTCTGGACTGTGGAGACCCAGACAGAGGTTTTCAGTTTCTTCAGTAACACAGCCCGACTCAGCAGCCCTCAGTAACGTTTAGGGTCATGCTGTTTCGTGGACAGTACCTTTTTTTCGCTCAGAAGCAAAACGTTTCCCAGATGCGCTTGGCCATTTGGGATTTTCAGTGGGCGTTTTGTTTGTTTGTTTTAGGCTCCCCCAGAGAATTTTTGGAAACATTCATCTTTCCAGTTCTGCTTCCCGGCATGGCCAGCCTGCTTCACCAGGCAAAGAAAGAGAAATGTTTTGAGGTCAGTTGTCCTGTTCCTCTCTGAATGCTCCATGATTGATTTTTATCAGACGGCAGCTCGTTATCTCGGTACCATCCATCCAGGGGTGGTTCTCCAAATGATCCTCTCAGGGGGGAGCCTGAGTTTTGGGGCGCTTGCCCGGCTCCAGCCACGACGCGTAGTTGTGCACACACATGGCTGCCAGTGATCTGGCCACTTGGGTTCCAGGGAGATGTCCGCCTTGCTCAGCTCACTGCCCGCCCTTCTCCTGGGCCTGCCGCTGCTGATCCCTGCGCGGAGTCAATCTCTCCTTACCCTTCTCCGGCTCTGGATTGATCCTCCCACCTCTGGCCTCTCCCTCCTCTGCTTCGTGCCAGATGCCACACATGTAACTTGCTTCGGGAGAGGCCCCGTGCACCGTGAGCGCTCTGGGTCCTTGTCACACTGCAGCCAGTGATGTGTGGGAGGCGAGTTCGATCCCGGCACACGCCCACCTCATTACCCTGTGAGGCCCCCTCTCCCACAGTTGACAGGAGGCTTTGGGGGAGGGGGGGTTTCCTCCACCGTTTTGAGTCCCAGAATTTCAAATGGCCCACAGGCAGAGAACAGAATCGCAGCCACGCTGACTACTGGCCATGCGCTTGCTCAGTGCTTCGTCCGTTATTTTTATTTCAGTTGTCCCTCGCAGCAGCCCACTGAAGGCCCTTCTCTTATGATCATCTGCATTTGCAGGTGAGAAAACAGGAACAGAGAGGTTCAGAAAGGTGATCAAGGGGAATTGCAGAGCTAGGGTTCAAATCCAGGTTAAATGATCCAAATAGATGCTAAAACCCATGGCAGTAACTACAGTGCAGATCCCCATCAGCTGGACACAGCCCAGGGCCTTTCAGGCAGCCCCCGTGAACGGGGTCACCCGTGGGGTTGCCCCTCAGCCCAGGGTCTCTGAGAAGACCTGGAAACTGCCCCCAGGGTCCTTTCTATACCAAGGAGACTGTTTCCATGCTGCTCTGGCAGAAATGCTTGGTTTGCAGACACAGGCCTATGGCACCTCGCTCCCGCCTTGTTCTCCTGGCTGCCTGGTCCAGCCCAGTTGTCCTGGTCCAGCCAGGAATGACCACCATGATCAGACCCCTATTCTCATTAATGCCAGGGGGCGCTCCACTGAAGGGGGTCATTAGCAGGAAAAGCTGAGCCAACAAATGTCAGCGATTCAGGCACTGCCTGTTAGAGGCAGGTACCTGCTCCCTGTCACCTGCGGACTGACTGCTGACTGCTGTCATAATCCCAGCAGTGCCGGTGGTCAGAGACTGTCTCATGGATCAGGTGCCCCCCCAGTGTCAGCTGATCAGACTACTTTCCACACACCGTCTCCCCCTTATAGTAACTCCCTGAGCCAGATCCCCTTTCACCTCTGCCCTGCTTTCCAGAGGAGGCCCCTGGAACTCAGAGAAGTGGATCGTGACCCGCGATCCCCCAGCTAGTGAGCGATGCAACACAGCCGCCAAGATGAGATGACCCTGGAGCCTGGGAGATGACCCCTCCCTCCCAGAAAATGGGGTTGGAGGCTGCACTCGCAATAGCACCAGGAAATAACTGATCTTTTTTTATTCGTGGCTGTTTTCTAGAGAACAGATTGCTACGTGCCTTAGGTTATGAAATCCAATCTGCTTCTAATTCTTACATGTATTTCATTTTCTTGTTTCAACTTACAACTTAATTCTTATCCCCTACTCATGGTAGTGAGCCTGGAGGTCAGAGAGCACAGCCCTCAGCCTGGCCCTGCCGTGCTCGGGTGGCCTTGTCTCTCTGGCTTTAGGACCTGCCGGCAAATGAGGGATACCAGGCAATCTCACAAGGGATGTGTCAGGGATATTTCTCTTGACTCTTGCTGTCAGCTGCGGTTCATTCAGTGTGCTGTGCCTTTCAGGACTACTGTGATTAAACAATAAAACGGGCCCACTGGAATATTGTTTGAATAGGTGTAAGGGATATCTGCAAACAGATTGTCACCCGAGCTCGCTTCGGTTCTGCAAACATTTATGAAGCCCTACTATGTGCTGATCAGAGGGCCTGGCCCTGGGGCACAGAGGGGACAAGACATGGTCCCGTCCTCAAGAAAACCACAGACTGGTAGTGAGGCCCGCAGTAGCTGAAGCGCAATGGGTGACTAAGGTCGTTTCTGCTTTTCTCTCCTTTACATCAGTCCTTTTTTGCTCCCCGAGATAAGAATGGATGTGGGGATACGGCAAGAGTGGAGCCTGTGCTGGGAACTCCCTCCTAGACGTTGGGGCAGCTGTATTCAGTTGTGCAGCCTTTATTCCAATTTATTCAGCTTTGAATTTATACCCCTTCCGAGGGCACAAAAATCAGCTAAACAGGCAGTAATTAAGATTTCACATTGAGGGTTGCATAGCAAATGTCTCTCCATAAATAATTTTGTAACGAGGGGGCCGGAAACACCTTCCAGCCTCTAGGCAGTGATAAAACGCTTTTAAAGAATCGGAGAAGGCTCTGTTTGTATTGGAGATTAATTAGGCTTCCTTGTGTCAACTCATATTTCATCTTTGACACCCACAGATGAGCTGCCTTGGGGGCTAAATGAAATGTCCTGAACATCAGATGCTGCCAGGCACTCACACAGAGTATTAAAGTCTAAATGTTGCAGTGAATGATCAAGGACATAGCAAGTGTGGGTTCTCCAAACTGATAAACTTGCGTTGATAAACTTGAAAGGCAGCTGGCACACGAGTCCAAATCAAACATCTGTTGCAGTGTGACCCTAAGTAAACTGTGAGCCTCAGCTCCCTCACCCATGAAAGGGACCACAGAGGTATTCTTATTATGGGAGAAGGAGGGGACGTCTTTAGTGACACTCAGGGCACCGTGGGCTGTAAGCTTCCCACCACCCGTCCCTTCAGGCTGGACTGGGAAGCTCAGCATTTTTTTTAAAAAAGATTTTATTGGGGAATTGGGGAGGAGGACCAGTCAAGTTGTTGTTCTTCAGTCTTAGTTGTGGAGGGCGCCAGTCACCATCTGTCTTCCCGTCGGCAGCTCGTGGCCTCTAACCTCAAGATGCTGTGTTCAATCTTAGTTGCGGGTGGGCGTAGCCACCATCCCATACGGGAGGTGAACCAGCAGCCTTGTTGTTAAGAGTGCACGCTCTATCCACTGAGCCATCCGGGCGGCAGCTCAGCTTAAGGTGCCGAGTTCAGTCTTAGTTGCGGGAGGGCGTAGCCCACCATGGAACAGGCAATCTTGTTGTTATACCAGCTGAGCCATCCTGCCACCTGTTGACAGCTCAGCAGCAGCTCAGCTGAGGTGCAGTGTCACTGGCCCATGTGGGAATCGAACCGGCGGCCCTGTTGCTCAGAGCTCGAGCTCTTAAGCCAACTCTTAACCAACTGAGACACTAGGCAGGCCCGAAGCTCAGCATTTTGAGCTTACCATATATGTACCATGGGTGAGTAACCAGGAACTTCTTTTATTTCCCGTCTTGGGATTTCTTAAATAAACCCTATTCCCTCCATGCCACATCCTCGCCCACCCAGGTCACACAGCCTTATGGGTTATTTTTGAAGGTTTAAAAATGACATTACTGGCATCTCAACATTTGTCAGGCCCCAACGGAACCCCTGTTACCCGTTCTGCAGGACACATTTGCATTTTTTTCTGTTCAGCTGTTCCTCACATCCTGTCATGGGGAATAGATGCTTAAATGGAGTGATAACCAGCCTCCAGCAAAAATTACATAACCAGAGCATCTTATCTGTCCCCCACAACCGACTTGCGTCCCCACAACTCTGAAACAGCAGCGTGACCCCTTGTTCACGGGGGTCATTTCAGTGGTGCTTGGAAGCGTTTCTGTTAGGTGGCTCCGGAGTAACGGCTGATTTGTACTTGCCCTTAAAACGCTGTCTTCTAATTATTTTTCTTGCTTTCCTTATTTTTAGTTTGTTCTATGATGGAGCCCCAGTAGTACATAGCAGGGACCCATTAAGTGTTTGTTGAATGAATGAATGAACGTGGTTCCTTAAAAGTCAGGTCCACTGTTAAGAGAGCAGTTCAGTTCCGGGAGCATGGGTCCGTTGGCCATAGCGATTCCGTACAAGAGGCGATTTACTGCCTGTTCCTGTAGTATCTGCATTACCGCCTCAAGGGTAGTGGGGTTCTGCCCAGGTCTGCTGGAGGGAGAGCAGAGGAAGGAGCAAAGCCTCTAAGATTGAAGGCGCCTCCTGGCCAATGGAGAGCCAGAGAGTAGAGCAAGAGGCTGGAGTTTCTAGCACTTTCAGAGGTCTTACTCTGTACCAGACGTTGTTCGGAGTACTTTCCCTGCAGGAACTCATTTAATCCCCCCCCTCACTCCTCCGATGTGGGAGCCAGTATTTCCATTTTACAGATGATGGCGGCGCAGCCCCACGGCTAACCAGCAAGGTCAAGGGCGTCACTAGCCAGTGCAGAGCCAGGACTTAGACCAGCAGGCTGGTTCTGGGGTCTCGGGGTTTGACCACTAGACCATGTTGCCAGTCGGTCTGAGGGCCTGCCGAAAGCAGAGGCCAAACTCCGAGAGGAAAGGTGGGTCTGGTGGCCGTGGAGGAGAGGAGTGAGGAGCCAGGCAGGTCTGGGGCAGCCACCTAAGCCAAGCCCTCCTGCAGGTCACGCAGGGCAGGGCCCTTCACTGAGATGGTCCCGTGAGTCCCAAGGCAAAGCCAAACCAAAACAGAGGGAATAAAGGAGAGAGAGAGAGGGAGGGAGGGAGGGGGAGGGAGAGGGAGAGGGAGAGGGAGAGGGAGAGGGAGAGTAGAACAAGACACAAGACCTAATTACTTGGCCATAGAGCTCTTGACTGGTTACCCCCATGTCTGGGTGTGTGTGTGTCTGTCTGTCTGTCCGTCTGTCCGTCTGTCTGTCTGTCTGTCTGTCTGCGCGCACGAATGAGGCAGCCTGTGGTACATGGCCCAGTGGTTGAGAACATGGGCTCCGGAACCGGGCAGACTTTGCTTCCAACCCAGCCTTGCCCTGGA